AAAAGGTTAAACTATTAAAGGTTTTATTAACTAAGCTATCTAGGCTAGCTAGAAAAGTTAAAGTATTAATATTTTTACTAAGGTAAATTATATCTAGATAACTAGAAGCTTTAAAAGCTAAGAGAATATAAGCTAATTAAGTTTATAAGATTAATATATAATAATTTTTAATATAATGCCCTATAGGCTATAAATGTGCAGATTGGCCTTTAACTGTAGCAATTGGTTAGTCATTATGGTATGATTTCTAAGTTGTTAGCTAGATGTGTTATTTACAGTTGAGGCTCGTGGCTGAGAGCTTAAATCAGCAGACAGAACTTAGTGCAAGGAGTCGTTTATCAAGACGTGTCTAAAGATGAACTTCTCACCATACTTCACACTGTCATGAAGGAGGAGCTGCACCTGTTTACGCGACACTCCAAAGCCTCCTGCAGCAGTTTAACGACCTGGATTGACGGTACCATAGCCTTGCCTAGCGTGTCGAAGGCCTAGAGACTCGAGTCCATGCATTTTCATGATTTTTTGGATATGTTTTGCCACAGCAGAGTTAAATATACCAATAAGGTCTTATATACTTGGTATAAAACTAGAGACAATACTGGAGTGAATCAGCAAGTAGGTCAGAATAGATTAGCCACTGAATTTCTTCGTAAGAACTTCAGTCATTATGGGCTAAAACTGGCGTTGGAAAGGTGCCTCTTACAGGGCATTTGCAGTGGGTTTGGAAGGAGAGTACACTTTTACTCTTCTTGATAGGCTGTAAAGTCTGAAGGGCTCAATGACACTTGTCTTGATGATTCTGCAAAGGTGTGTATATCGTGGGATTACTAGCATGAGTTCTGACTTGGTTTCCCAGTACCGATTTTACATTTGTAGCCCCTGGGCGTTGTACTCGTGCTTCTATTTTTACCTTTCAGAAATGTCTTTGATTTAAGCATGAATGACGGATCTAAATAAAACCCAGTCCTTTGCAATACTGTAATGTTGTGAGACTCAATGGCTGTTTGGAAACATGGGGACATGACCCTGCATGTTTCGTCCAGTCCCCTTTTGGCAATCGTATGACGAGTTACTGTTTGTAGCACACCTAAAAATAGCACTTGCACTTTGCCAATCATTTCGACTCAGCTTACGGAGTTCATTGGAAAAGATTACTGAAAAAAAGTAATTAATGGCAGAAGTTTCTTATTTTTAAATGATATTCTCATTAAGTTAACTAACCTCCGCGCCCCTATACTCGAGCTCTAGTTATTTTTGGACATTACTTGTCTCTTGGGGTCAGGAAAAACAGCAGAACGGCTTACACTAAAATTCACTGATTTCCCACCAAAGCCCGTCCACTGTATTTCTTCACCCTAGTCTAGTTGGCCTAACTTGTGAAACCACTGAAACATCACTAATAAGGCTGATCATTGCCCATATCTACAGACTCCTTGGGCGCATGCTGATTTTTAGCTTCTATAGATAGATCCTATCTTTGGCATAAATAAGTCTCCTTTTGCCCAGATCAGCTTCTGTTCATTCCAGCTCACATCTTCAGCATCATCACAAGCGACCTGCAGCTAAATCAACATTCTCCCATCGCAATGCGTTCAGCAATCTTTCTCGCAGTTCTAGTTGCCTTCATTCCTACTGCATTTACAGAAGAGCTCAGCGCAGATGATGTGCCCACCGCCTGCAAGACAATCTGCCAACCCATCGTCAACCTCACCAACGCATGCGACATCGACCCCAAGGGTCCCGAGAAACACAGTGACCGAAGACGAGACCTTGTCATACTTGATCACGAAGACGACGATGAGCCCATCGAAGCGGCTTGTATATGCACCAACAGGAGTTTCGACGTTGAGGGCGTGATGGGACTCTGTGCGAGCTGTATGGCACAGAATAGCAAGGACACAGAAGGTAAGACATCGATCCAACTGTAGAGTAATATTGGTCTTCTAGCTAACGCTTCGTGACACAGATATCGATAAGATCATGTCGCAATGCTCCTTCTCGTCAACCTCTTACGTCCGTGCAGCCACGAGTGTAGTCTCAGGCATCGAGGTTCAAGCTACGAAACCGGCTGCAACAATAACTCCCATTGCTACAAACACGGCTGCCGCAGCTACGGCAACTGAAACAGTTGGAAACAGCGCTGGGAAAGTCACAGGCTCTATCATGGCGGTAACTTGGGGCACTTTGATGTTGTTATCTATTCTGTAGATTTGTAGATTCTCTATGCCTCCGATTCCAGCAATGGGGACTAAACACAAATATCGCCATCCTTTCATTCATGCCTCCCAGCGTGCTCCAAAGGCCTCATGTCGTGTCTGATGATTTTCTGCTTAGCATGTGTGCCGTCTTATCCTCGAATACACGCACGGTGTCGAAGACTTCGAATCGAGGACATACTGCGAGTTGTCAGGCAACGTAGTAGGAGGAGAATTCGCAAGATCTCTTACCTTGCTTCAATTTTATCCCCCCTTATCCACCGCCATCTAGTGTTCAGACCACCCGGGTTACATCTAGACGGGTATACCCAGTACGCCGTCACGCCAGAGTCTGCAGTTTCGTGGAGGTCGACGACAACTATGAACCCTGTTCTTCATGTGTAGATGAGATGGAAGGATAGGTCGAGGGATCGTCGCGCGTCGGCCTTGGTGTAGACTCGCCCCTACTCCATTCGGTAGATGCTGTGGCACTTGAGGGCCGTTGTACAGATATTGGTACCGGTGCTGATGGTTGTGGTGGCGGCGTTGACGATGATATCTTCCCCTCTGCAGTTGTGTCTGCTAATGCCGTGGCCGCGTTGATCAGGTTTCAGGTCTAGCCAGCTGCCAGCCATCCACAGAGTCCATCTGTTGGCGGTCCAGGTAAGCCCCGACTGCGTAAACACGGGCATCCCCAGTAAGCTATCACGCCAGAGTCTGCAGCTTCGTGGACGTCGACGGCCACTATGCACCCCCCGCTACCGAGGCCGGAGCCTGTAAAGCTGTACAGAGGGACACGCAGTGTAACTCTGCAATATCAGGTACGAGACTGGCTTTCCCTCGCCCTCTCAGGCTCGGCCGAATCTGTCCTCCTTCTCACGAAGTAACTGCTAAACCTCATAAGAGTGAGTTTGGTCGCTGAGATACCCCACTGCTTCTGGTAGGCCCCAAGCGTCACTTCTCAATAGTGATATCACTCGTGTCTTGGTACGTGGGATGGCCTTTCCTAGTCTTGTCGGAGGGATAGGACTAATGTTCGGTATTCGATATTGGATGTTCGAGATCGCTCGTTCGTTCGTAGGCGGTAGAGTGTGGAAAATCGTTGCTCGTGGTGGCACTGGAACGCGCATCTCCGTCGACGTACTTCCAGCTCGAGGCGGATTGGCAGTGGCAGACACGCTCTCGCTGCCTTTGCTGTTGACGGATATTCCTTTTCATCATGTTGATGATTCGTAGAGGTTACGCGAAGACGTGGGCAAGTCGGCAAGTTGCAATAGGGGGCGTACTGGTCATTCGATTGATTCTTTCGGGAAGGGATTCGAGACGGACACTTCGCTGAATCGATGACAAGACAAGACAAGAGATCTGGAGGTGTCAAATAAGAGATTAGCAAAGAGGTTCTCATCCTGGAAAACGTCTCATCAATCTCGTAACAAACTCCCTCGGTGCACGATCAATCACCGACAAGCGGCATCGAACCGAAGCATGATACCAAAGATGAATCGACGATAGCTTGAGATGAGGACATGCCCTCGGTGAATACAACAGATTGAATGATGGTTCGGGGGCCAGTACGTGAGGCGTGAAAAGTCTGAGTTGGAGATGAATCCGAGGGGGGGGTTTATACTTGCGGAATTTGAGAATAAGAGGCAAGAGCGTGTCTTGAGGCCTCCGGTTCGATGAAGAAGAGCAAGAAGGAATGTCTCAATAAGTTCGCGTACATATTCGGACTCGTGAGGCAGGCGTTCGCGTGAGTTCCCTCTCCCAGGCCGAACAACAGACTCGCATGATATGTGGACATGTTCAGCAGGAACAACAGGGCGGTTGCTTTTGCGAAAGAGTTCGGTTTCAACAACTGTCGTTTTGTGAAGCCAGAAGCAATAGACGGCGTGACCAGAAGAGAGAGAGAAGGGAGCGCCTCGAAGATGGGCCAGCCAGTCAAGTGGAGGGGACTTGTGTACGGACGAAGACTCCCCCGCTAACTGAGCCCGCTAAGGTAGTTCTACCCGCGACAGATGGATAATTACCACTCGCAGTGGGATCTCGCAGAAACCCTCAGGCAGAAAGGAGTGTCTCTCAGGACAACACAGAACGGCACAGAACACTTACTGTATTTCTCAAAGCCCCTGTTCACAGCAAAGCAACGCAAGAACATTACTCGCTATTATTGCGTTCTTTCCAACCTTTCTCTTTGCCGTCATGAAAACACATGCTGAAGCTCCTCGTATGTTTCCTTCTTAGTCTTTCTCGTCGTGTTGCCAGACTACTGACGAGCATTATCAAAGCATGCGGATATGAAGTTGGGGACGTCCTGCAGTTGCAGATACTCCAAACCAATACCGACGTCCTTTCCCAAAACGAAACAGTCTCAGTCAGGATCAGCGAGTTCCTCACCTGCACCATGGCTACCGTCGTACGCGTCACCTTCGACACTGGCGACTGCGCTGTCCTCAAGCTTTACGATCGTCGATTTGGCAGTGGCCTCCGCGACTGCGGCTACGAAAACTTCCCCTACTGCGATCTATCCAAGGCCGCCTTCCACGGTTTCATAGAGCGAGGCGCCATGGGTCCTTTCCTTGAAGAGCTGGACGAGGAGGATGAGACAAGCGATTTGGTCCCTCGCACTACGAGCTGTATTCGGGAAGGGCCCGATGGAGTTGCCCGGTTCGAAGCTTTAATCTGGAGATACGCCGATAAGCACTTCAAGACCGAGGCCGAGGCATACAACCGTATGCAGGATCTCCAGGGGGTACACATCCCCAAGCTTCACGTTGTTGTGCGTCTCGTCCCTGACGAGGAAAACACACTGGACAGTGAGTACCTTAACATCCATGGCATCTTACTCGAATCTCTCGCCGGCCACTCTCTTGACGATCTCATTCACGCACCTTCTGCCCCCAAGTCCAACAGTGAGTGGTTATCTATCGTACAGCGTGCAGTCGACTCAGCACACGTGATCAACAAACATGGCATCATTCTCGACGACAGCGCCCCCCGCAACGTGGTTTTCGACGAAACCACACGACAGGTTCTCCACGTCGACTTTGCGCAGTGTTTCTTCAAGGACACGATGTTTAAGGCTTGGTGCTGGGATACGGATGCGGCGGACTAGGATGCCGACGCTGAGTTTCGTAAGCTCATGAAATCGCACCAGAATCCCCAGCGCATTGGGGAACCAATGGTGAGAATGGTACGAGACCAGTTTGGACTGGAGCTGGACATCACATATCCTGAGTACGAATACTAGTTTAAGATCATCTAAGACCATCTAAATACATACTACATTTTACATTCTACCAAGTTTACCTCAGTTTGCCTAAGTCGACCCAAGCCTTTTTGTGGATAGAGGTCTAGATGACTGCTAAGGATACAACAGAGCGGCGGCCAAGAGACGAAGACTCCTGTTTTTACCACCTTGCCCTTATAAAGCTTAAGTGTAGTTGCGCCCCTGTAGCCTCCTGCGAATCTTAATGGCAGTACTCTCCTTTGGGATTCTATATTCCCACATGGTCTTCATTGGAGGCTCCTCATCCCCTAAGTCCACATCATAATTCATAACCAGATACGCCAGAACGACCTTCATAACATGCAAGCCCAAGAACCGCCCCGGACATGCATTCTTTCCATAACCGAAACCAAGAAAGCTCTCGTCAAGAGTCACAGCAGAACGAGACCCAGAGGTTCCATCAACAAAGCGAAATGGCTTGAAAGTGCCTGCATCTTTGTAAAAGGCTTCATCTATATGTATACTATGCATCGGGACTTCGATGTGAACTCCGGACGGAACGTAAACATCATTGTCGAGAGTTATACCAGGAGAGTTAACGCGCCGTGGGAGGGCAAAGAGGCCGAAGTCGGACCACCGCATTGATTCACGAATTGCTGAGTCGGCGAGAACGAGCTTGGAGATGGTGGCACGATCCCAGATCTTGGTAGAGGCCAGGACCGATGTTGCCTCATCACGGAGTTGCGAGAAGGTCGAGGCTGCGTGTTCGCCGTTACTGATGTCGCTAAGAACGGTACTGAATGGGATCGATCCGCCTTGCACGAGGTTGAAGTTGAGAATCATCACACGGTGACCAACGCGGTGGGCATCGAGTTGTGACGGATCGCCAGTCGCGGCGCTGGCTTCTATGATCCATTGAAGGATATTTACCTGCGTGACTTTGAGTAGAAGTCCAAGGCTGAAAACAAAGGACTTACCGGCTTCTCGCTTGTCGAGTTCTGATTAGCTCTGAGAAGATCTTGTATAATGGGAGTACAGTATCTGATGCCTGCCTCCGTGTCCCATCTAGCATTCCATGATATCAACGGAGCAAAGATTGGCTTCAGGACTTTTGGAACCAGTGTGATGAACAAACCCTGGAACGGCATGTCGATGGCAAACCGGCGCATAGTCTCAAGGAACGATTCGTCTCGGCCTAAGTCTCAGCGTCAGTAGCCGGTCTTGCGATAGTGAAAGATAACTCACATAATGGAAGCCCAACAAGAACTCTGTTCAAGCCCCGCGTGAATATCCTCTGCACCGCTGGCCAGAGCTTCACCTCTGTCCACTCTTGACTCATGCCGAATTGCTCGTCCACAGCAACACACAGTTCCTCTTGCAATTCGGCTGCAAACTCGTCGAATCTCTTGCTAATCCACTTGCGAATCACATCGACGGTGTAATTGCTCGGGTAGACTTCTCGATCGCGGATGGTCCATTCAAACGATAAAGCTTCTGAGGCTGGATCGTGGGCTAGCAGCTCATCTTCGCGTTTGTTGTATATGGCTTTCAGCTGGGCCGGAGGAAGAATTAGGACCTTGCCTTTTCGGAATGAGGGGATGATGAAGGGTTTGTTGTGTCGCGAGTACTTGGGCAGGGGTCAGTGAATTCAAATCCTGGTAGAATGTGTTACTCACTTTCTCGTATCCCTCCTTCACCCACTCTTCTGTCTTTGAAAAGCTGCGTAACTGTGCTCTGGTCCATGCAAACCATTCATCCTTTCGAACACCAACGCATGGTAAAGTTTCATAAAAGCTGCTGTTTTTCGTATTTCCTTGCCAACTAAACCATCCAATGATAAGCAAGCTGGTTGCTAGAAGCAGAAAGGTAGCCATGACGGAGCTCAGATGCCCGCACGATATTGCAAGTCTAAAAGAATAAAAATTCGCTGGACATACCATGGAATGTTAATGGGAAGGAAATACAGATTCTACGGAAGGAAGAAAGCATTATAAATTGTGAGGACAGGCTGAAACAAGAGTAAGCACTAATATTGGCAACCAATTGAAAAGTGATCGACCGACCCAAACCTGTAAGTTATCCAGGCTGTGTGGTATTATCCGACTACTTTCATTGGTTACATCGGTCTCCATGGCTCGCATTTGATGCATAAATGTTCGGATCAAGAAGCGCCAAGAAGCGTACTTAAGTCCGTGCCAGGAGTAACTACAAAGTAGGCATATCGACGTGAGGTAACCTGCGACTTGGATGAGCCGAAAGCAGCCTCGTCACGTGCAAATTCACAGCCAAATTGGCGGTCAACGAACCAACATCGCTTCTTGAGAGGCCACAAATCCGGTCACAGTCTCTGTCAACTATCACTATCTCCCATTTTTAGCACCAGGTCCAGCATCCGCTGCAGGCATTTCTCTTAAAAAAGCAGTCGCGTCATGAGTCACCATTATCTTGAAGAGCTTTGGAGTGGATTGGGAGACGAAATCTCTCTCTATATCCGCTGGAATGATGCCCGCCTGATCGTTTACCTGAGCCGTTCCCAGACAAGCACGGATGTCCCTTCAATCGACAACACTTTCCTCGATAGGTACAACGAGACTTGTAACAACGACGACATCGACGAAGCCGAGGCTCTCTCCGATGAAATCCTCGATGCTGTCGTCGAGGCTGGAAGAGACACCTTCGACCGTGTAGCCCCACCACCTGCCCCTGGCCATATGCCAGAAGACCTTCTCACTCTACTGTTTCCCAAGGAGTATTCGTTTTCATTTCAAGCCTTGAATGGAAAGGCAGAAGTGGTACCGAAAGATAGTGGCGCCAAACAAGACTCAATCCCCCTTGGTCGATCTTGGGCCAACCATTCCACCTCAACGTTGACAAGCATTGCAACCTACCAGCTTATTCTACTAAAGAGATCCACGTCGTCGAGAGCCTTATCTTGGCGGATTATATCGCCCTTGTGCAAGTCGAAGGTAAAGAGATGTGTTCAAAGGCTGGAGATAGCAAGGGCGAGGATGCCACACAACGAGAGCTTGACTGCCTCTGGAAGATTACGAAATCCCTCCAAGCAGCTGCCATACAGGTCCCCAAACTCCTTGGTCTGATCACAACACCCGAAAATGGCAAGACTATTGGGTTCTTGGAGGAGTATATCCCAGTGGCTGAGACTTGGGAGCTATCCACACTCGGAAGAATTGATGATGTCTCTGCGATTGATGAGAGCCGTCGGAAGAAGTGGTTATCTCAGATTCAGGACACTGCTGATCTCCTACATAAGATCGCGATTACATGGGGCGATGGCAAAGCATCTAATGTATTGATTCATCGTGAAACAGACGACGCATGGGTCATCGACTTCGGGGGCGGATGGACGGAAGGCTGGGTAGATGAGGAATTAAGCGGAACGGTGGAGGGAGACGAGGTGGCTGTCCGAAAAACCATGGAATACTTACAGGTTTCGTAGGTGGAGAGTCATTGTATCGCAGCCATCGACGTGTACTACCATTATTGCCCAAGCAAGTATACTATGCGGTAACCGAGCAGCAGCGATGACTACTCGGGAAACTTCACCGACAAGTGCCTCAGCTGTTGTCTCATCAAGAGCCTCCCTGTCTTGGCGCCCAATTCGAGATAGCTGCAGGTTGATAGGTATCGTGGTTGGTCGAATCTGAGACATCGGGTCATAGCGGGCGGCTGAAGCCGCGGCGTCGAAGATCACCTTCCAGCATGGGACTGATCAGCTCGGAACTATCGAAAGCCACTTGTGCTGCTGTCATTCACTAGATTGGGCTTCCATGCGTCGAAATACTCCGGAGTCCCGTAGCTGCCAAGGGTTAAAGCCTTTGCGTGTATAGCATCTGGTTCAATTCATCCACGAGACCGAGTAGAAATCGTTCTTGAGTCCCTTCGTACAGTATCGGCAATGATTCTCATCATTCAGGTATTGGTCGCCAATGAATGATGACCTCAATGGCTTCACATGAATGCTGTCTCTAAGATCCTTGCTGCGATCCCTGCCCGGCGGTTTCGTTCCGGCCTGCAGGTCTCAGTTTTCGTGAGGACATGCTGCATATCCAGCTCCACTACCAAGTCTTGCAGCATTCCATGACATGTGATAGGATAATATCTTACGTACGAGATGTTGATCTTGTTCATCAATCCACCAAGGTAGAGAAGCCATACGTCAGTCCAGCCAGCAATGGAGACGTAAATCTCAGCAGTAAAGAGTACATAATGCCAAAGGAAGCAGTCTCATTTCCCCAGCTCAAAACTTCACTTCCAAAATATTCCAAAACATCAGTGTCGAGAAACAATCATCATGCCTAAAGAAAACGACGATATCCGGGACAAGGAGTTCGATGCGGTCCACGCATACTTCATCGGCCCCAAAGGCTCCAACCTTCCCGACTTCCGAGCCAACATCAACACCATTCTCGATGAACTCCTCGCCGCACGTCAAGCCTACCACCCAGAAGATCAGGTCCGTATCCCTTCCCCTCACCTCGACCCCCACTAACATCCACAGGCCTTCATCTCCAAAGAATACCGCCGCTCCCCCGTCTTCCTCAAAGCCAGATCCGATCTCCGCCTCGCCACCGAAAAGGTCGCACAGCTTCTTGGCGAACACTCAGCTCCCTTTTGGTCACCCCGCTATGAGGCGCACATGTGCACTGACCTTACCATGTCTTCGCTCCTCGGGTATTTCATGACCATGCTGTACAACCCGAACAATGTCGCGCTTGAAGCTAGTCCGATGACGACGCTTGTTGAACTTCGGGTTGGGCAGCAGCTGTGTAAGCTTTTCGGGTACAACACTGATGTGCAGAAATCTCCGGTTTCGTGGGGTCATATTACCTGTGATGGGACGATCGCTAATCTCGAGTCTATTTGGGTTGGTACGTATTCCCATCGTGGTTCAGTGAATGTGGATGCTTACAGGGGTAGCACGGAACCTCAAGTTTTACCCGCTCAGTCTCTGCCTTGCATTACGACGTGGTAAACTCCAGTTCATTGGAGACAAGTTCTACGCCACTCGGTGCTTTCACGCAACCAAGAAGACACTCTTCAAGGATCTCAAAGGATGGGATCTGCTGAACCTCAGCTCTGAAGTCATTCTTGATCTTCCCAATGAGCTGAACAAGCAATTTGGTATCACCAGCAAGTTTCTCGAGAGCGCTCTCAACGAGTTCAACATCCAGACTATTGGGCGCGAGATACTTGAGAGGGAGTTCCAAGTCAAGAACCCGATCAAGTATTTTGTGAGCAAGACGCGCCACTATTCTTGGCCCAAGGGAGTCGGTAAGTTATCCTACTGCTGTATTCATCGATCAACAGGTGCTGACCAGTGCACTCATAGCCATTGCCGGCCTGGGCTCAGGTAACGTGATCGGCGTCGATGTCAACAACGCTGCCCAGATTGATATCAAAGTCCTCGAAAAACATCTCGAAGAGTGCGTCAAGACCGAAACAGCCGTCTTCGCAGTCGTAGCCATCATTGGATCCACCGAAGAGGGCGCAGTCGACAGACTCACCGAGATCCTCCGCCTTCGTGACAAGTTCCAAGAGGAGCATGGCCTGTCATTCCTCGTTCATGCCGATGCAGCCTGGGGAGGCTACTTTGCCACCATGGTCAATCCCGACCGGCGCTACAGCGTTGAGGATCAGGGATCGTCTAAGCCTGAGCCTGAGTGGTACCTCGACCCCAAGACTGTTGAAGACATCAAGGCTATGGCTGAGGCGGACTCGATCACTGTTGATCCGCATAAGGCTGGTTATATCCCGTATCCTGCTGGAAGCTTGGTATACAAAGATGGGCGAATGAGACATCTGGTTACGTGGTCGGGCCCGTATCTTTCGCAGGGCTCTGCGGAGAATATCGGTGTCTATGGCGTTGAGGGCAGGTAAGTTTCTCAACAGTCCCAGTATCTCACAACGACTAAATCATCTTTTAGTAAGCCCGGTGCCTCGGCAATGTCAGCGTGGTTCTCCAACTCAACCATCGGCCTCAACCACCACGGCTATGGCAAGTTGCTCGGCGAAGCAACCTTCACCAGCGCCAGAGTAAGCCTCAAACCGACTTCTCCCAATCCTCAAGTACTGACAACTCTTAGCTCTCAGCTCACTACGCAACCATGATCAACGACGACTTCATCTGCGTCCCCTTCAACATGCTCGCGGCCGAGAACAACGGTAGTCGAGGGTTCCTCTCCAAGCCCGTAGAGAAGCAACGTGACAAGATCCGTGATCTCATCATCGGAAAGAAAGACCACGAAATCTTCGCCTCCAAGGACGCAATGAAGATCATCCGCGATCTCGGTTCCGACACCAACATTAACTGCTTTGCTCTCAACTGGAAGGACAAAGACGGGAACCTGAACACTGATCTTGAAGAAGCCAACTATCTCATGAAGCGAGTCGTCGATAGACTCTCTATCACGTCCGCAAACACCGATCCCACCGAGATTCCAATCTTCCTGACATCAACCCAGTTCCTCCACGAGGACTATGGCTCTTGCGCTCACAAGTTCATGGAAAGAATGGGCGTAGGAAAGTCTAACCAGAGCCTTTTCGTTATTCGAAACGTGGTTATGAGTCCATTCCCTACTCGCCAGAACTTCATTGACAAGTTGATGCACGAGTTTGAGGAAGTCATCCGCGATGAGGTTGGTAAAGTTCGCAAGAGGAATGATCCTGGTCAGAAGAAGGTTCAGTTTCTTGTGCAGGGTACACCTGGCTCTTCTGAGGTGTTTTTGTCCTTCCAGGCATCGTTTCACAGCGCGACGAAACGACAGCAGATTATTCTGTCTGGGACTCTTGATAGTACCTTGAGAGACTTTCATAAGGAGCTTACTGGTGGCAACCAGGATAGTATTGTGATGCTCGAGTCTACGGAAAAGGTCTTCATTGAGGATGTTGTCGAGATTCTTGGCGGCTTGGAAGTCATCATGTATGAAAAGGGGACCAAGTAAGTGGCAAGCTCCTGGTTCATCGCCGGCCTACTAACACTCTGCAGGAAATACCATCAGCGAGACGGAACCATCACTCTCAACTCAGTTGTCAAGAGTCGCCCCCTCAACTCCATCCATCGCGAAATCGACTATCCCGCCGAATTCATGCCCTTCTACCTCTACGGGAACGAGAAGGAGACCCACTGCTCACACATGCTCGTCAAGTCCCCCAACATCTCCCTCGCAGCCAACAACATCACCTTCAACCCCAGCCTCTCCACCGAGATCAACCACCGCCAATCCGTTGCCGAGCTCCTTGCAGAGGGCATGATCCTGGGCCTTTCCGAAATCCCCGAGGATTCTATGCAGCCTTTCCCTGAGAGGAACCAAGACCTCGCCGAGGAGTTCTTCTTCCGCCAGGGTCAAAAGTTCCAGGTCAAGATTTGGAAGGATCCTAAGGATGCTGCCGCTCATGGACCGGGTTTGCTTAAGGATCTTGGACGGCACTTGTATGAGGGGGAGATGATCTTGGGTGAGAATGTGTTTGTGGATGCTGAGGGGCCGAATGAGGATAAGTTGAAGGATAGGAAGGTTGAGTCGGACTCGTGGCAGAGAAAGTTGGATGAGGTTGGGAGCTTGTTGGATGGCACTCATGTCAACTGTCAATAGCGCTTGACTCGAAGATGCTCAGACTAGTTTTAGGAGCACTAGGTATCAGCTCAATCTATTTTCCCGTCGCTTCTATGTAGTCCCTTTGGGCTCAAGATTTCATCTCAATAGCATATCCTTCATAGCCAATGTGAACTCATCCGCCTTGGTCATTAGACTCATGTGGCTCTCCCCCTTCATGACTCTAAGCTCTGCACCAGGCATAAGCTGAACAGCCTTCTCAGACACCCCAATCGGAACATTTACATCCAAATCTCCATGCCACATTATCATCTTTCCCTTCTCAACCTTGACGTCCTCCAGCTTAAACCCCCAATCACTACCAAATAATCGTGCTTCCCACGCAGTTGCATAGCCGCCCTGCTTCATCGCCTCTCTCGTAGCTCTCCTCAGGGACTTTCTAAAGTCTGGATGAGTCTCCCAAACTTCTTTGTCGCTTGCTGATCTGGCACTTATGTCTTTATCCATCATTTCTTCCAACTTCTCTGGGTGTTTGGTGTCTCTCGCAGTGTTGCCCAGCACTCTATCGGTGATCCAACCCAAGATTTTTGTAGCGTGTGGCGCCACGTTGAACATGAGTCGTGTCATTGTAAGCATTCCTTGCGTCGAGAAAGACATTGGCATGACGCCAGCGACGGTACCGATGCCTACCAGACGATCTGACGGAAGGTCCTTGAGACAAGCGATGGCATAGGGCCCACCACCAGAGACGCCTAAGACAGCGAATCTTTTGATAGACAGGATATCTGCTAACTCTATGACGTCTTTGGGATAGTCGAGTATTTTTCTGTTCTTCTGAAATGTCGAGTCGCCGTACCCTGGGCGCGTCGGCGCAATGACGCGTACGCCATGCCGAGATGCAGCGCTGCTAATCACGTAACCCTCGTGATGAGACCCCGGAAAACCGTGGAGATAGAAGAAAGTGGGTGCATCGTCATCCTGGGCTCCATAGACAGCATATGAAACCTTTCTCCCGTCGGCTAAAGTGGCGATCTTGTCCTGATGGTCATCCATGTCGCGTATTTTGACCTAGAGCAGATGTCTCTAGAATGTTGGGATTTGATCGCAAACTAATTCAGAGAGATTTTGAAAACGGCTGTCGGATAGACTTTTCGTTATCAAGATCGCTCTAGGCTGATCCTTCGAAGGATCTTGAATTTGAGTTTGGTAATTGAACTACCGACAGTTGACAAAAATAGAGGACAAAGAATGTTGCATCGAAATCACGTGTTAAAGGAAACAGAAGTTGCACAACGAGACCAACCAACAAGCGAAATAGTCAAATTGAGTTTGACTAAGCCAACGTCGTCTGCTCGATGTAATCGATTTATACAAGAAATTCATTATTCAAGTCACTTGCAATCTTGAACACTGTTTTTTCTGTAGTTGTGTTTATCATATTAACTGTAACTATTCCCTCTCCTATTAAATTCCAACGGTGATTCTTAGATGAATACTCGAAACGACTCGATACTACAACAAAACAATCATTTCTTACAAAATGGCTACTTACCCTGAGCTTTACCAGACGTAATATCAAGCTGTCAAACCATTTGTCCTTTTCGGGCCGTTTCGAAGCTGTTATTTGTTCTTAACTTCTTCCTAACTAGTGTTGGCTTGAGTACAGGGTAGTCTGGCCCGACAAGCCGACAGAGATGCCACGAGGAGACGAAGAGCTGAAGGAGATTCATTGACGCGTGCCATGGTCCTTGCAAGTTGTAACCGATCGGACTCTCGCATCTCAGCTGATTCCGATGCTAGCAACAAGGCAGATGCTGGCGATTGAGCCGCATCCCCCCACGTTGACAGGATGGCTCGAGCGTCGTTCAACCTCGTTCATCCCGTATTTGTAGGATCCCGCTGCAGGAACCGAGTAGCTTATCTACGAGCTTAAATTACTCATATATCAAATTACTCTTTGTAACCACTCCAACAGGTTTATGTAGAGTAGAAGTAATGTCAATTAGGACACTAATTCATCACCAGAACCTCATTCAAAATGGAACGACAGCTTTTACCCGTCACCGACCGTCTTCATCTCCCCAAGGCTCAACCATCTGCGCCCAGACTCTTAGTTGAAACCCATCAACCTTACCGAGAATATGGATTACGGCCCGACAGCTCTCTCCGCGGAATGATACCCTCCCTGCGTCTCCATTTCGGCGATACTCTATTTATCCAGTGGGGAAATTCAGCTTCCAAGCCCAAAATCATTCACATGACTCTCCATTTCAACGGCTCACGACTCCCCTTCCCGACGGTCCGCAGTCAAAAGTCGTCCGTTCAAATTATTCGCTTCCGAAATGGTAGGTGGGAAAATCTGGAGAAATCTCCACACGACTCCAAGTTGACAAGGGTTCTGAAACCCATGAAATTTTAATCAATCACAGCCTGGGCTATATCGTTGCGGTATTTCGGCCCGCCCTCCTCGGTGGCACTAATCGACAAACATGGGTCAAGTCCGCGAAACTATTTGAAACTCGGTACTTGTGTCGTTATTGGTTGGGCTTGGCATTTCGAATTAGGAAAACGGAGGGAGCGGAGATATAGGGATCTTGATTGGTTGCCGTTGTCTAACGCTGGAGTCGTGACCTGAGATTTCGGAGTTGTATCGTTGAGCTTCCGTGAGGACCTTCATGGCTATTGATTTTCGGGGTGAGGCCGAAAGTGGAAGACCCCTATCCGTAGAGAGAAAGAGAGAGAAAGAATAGATATAAACCGAGTTCCGGCGGCCCAGGAAGATGTTTCTCACGCTATCCATCTCGTCATTCCTTAGACAAGTCACTACCTGATCTCTAAAACTCATTCACTATGAAGTCTCTCTCTCTCATCCTCTCAGCCCTGGCTGTCCAGGTCGCCGTTGCTCAAACCCCCGACAAGGGCAAGGAGCAACATCCCAAGATCGAGACATACCGCTGCACCAAGGCCTCCGGCTGCAAGAAGCAGACCAACTACATCGTCGCCGACGCAGGTATGCACAACATTCACCAGAAGAACGGCGCCGGCTGCGGTGACTGGGGCCAAAAGCCCAACACCACAGCCTGCCCCGATGAGGCATCCTGCGCCAAGAACTGTATCCTCAGTGGCATGGACTCGAATGCTTACAAGAACGCTGGTATCACTACTTCTGGCAACAAGCTCCGTCTTCAGCAGCTTATCAACAACCAGCTTGTTTCTCCTCGCGTTTATCTTCTTGAGGAGAACAAGAAGAAGTATGAGATGCTTCACCTCACTGGTACTGAGTTCTCTTTCGATGTTGAGATGGAGAAGCTTCCTTGCGGTATGAATGGTGCTCTGTACCTTTCTGAGATGCCTCAGGATGGCGGTAAGAGCACCAGCAAGAACAGCAAGGCTGGTGCCTACTATGGTGCTGGATACTGTGATGCTCAGTGCTATGTCACTCCTTTCATCAACGGAGTTGTAAGTTCACCCATTCCATACAAGTGAAATTTTTACTGACCTCTTCAGGGCAACATTAAGGGACAGGGCGTCTGCTGTAACGAGCTCGACATCTGGGAGGCCAACTCCCGAGCCACACACATCGCTCCTCACCCCTGCAACAAGCCCGGTCTCTACGGTTGCACAGGCGACGAGTGTAGCAGCTCCGGCATCTGCGACAAGGCCGGCTGCGGCTGGAACCACAACCGCATCAACGTGACCGACTTCTACGGCCGCGGCAAGCAGTACAAGGTCGACAGCACCCGCAAGTTCACCGTGACGTCTCAGTTCGTCGCCAACAAGCAGGGCGACCTCATCGAGCTGCACCGCCACTACATCCAGGACAACAAGGTCATCGAGTCCGCCGTTGTCAACATCTCCGGCCCCCCCAAGATCAACTTCATCAACGACAAGTACTGCGCTGCCACCGGCGCCACCGAGTACATGCGCCTCGGCGGCACCAAGCAGATGGGTGATGCCATGTCCCGCGGTATGGTCCTCGCCATGAGCGTCTGGTGGAGCGAGGGTGATTTCATGGCCTGGTTGGATCAGGGCGTTGCTGGACCCTGTGACGCGACTGAGGGTGATCCCAAGAACATCGTCAAGGTGCAGCCCAACCCTGAAGTGACATTCAGCAACATCCGAATTGGAGAGATTGGATCTACTTCATCGGTCAAGGCTCCTGCTTATCCTGGTCCTCACCGCTTGTAAGAACGTCAAACAACACCGATGTTCAATATGGATCCTGAGTGTCCACTTGCTGGGAAGCTATTGGAGCACATATGCAAAACAGCTGTCCACTAGCTTGACACGTATGTCGAGGCGAAAAAAACTCTTTCTAGGATAGGAGAACATATTGGGTATTGATAACTGTATATAAACGATAGTCTTTTCTGAGTATATTATTTCGAACATATTTTATTTCATAAACATCGCCAACACCAGATCTTGATTTCGTACCCCGATATTAGACTAACCGTCCCGAGTGGCTTGCATTAGTGGACTCTACTGCATCATCCATGTACGTCATCTTCACGTGTGGCTGAGATCTCGCTGATCAAGAGCTAATCCAAGTCGTAATAAAAAAAACGTCATGGGTCTTCTTGCTTCCAACAATCATCATCAACTTCACCTCAGCCACTTAGAGCATCGCGTTCCAATGCCGCGCTCACTATCAGCCGTCTCGTCTCTCGAGATCCGCGATCTTAACAGAGATCAGATCCGCTTTTATCATCCGGGCTACCTGAAACCGTTGAACCTTCTTTTTTGCCTACCGCGCGTGGACTACAACACGACAGAGGGGGCTTTTGGTGTGCACTATTTAACGGCTCTTACGGCATGCCAGATCGTTGCGAACAATGCTTTTGAGAAGGGATACTTGGCGAGGGATGAGAGAGGAAAGGATAGAGTATCCGACGATGAGACGATACTGCTGCAACGAGACTACTGGTTCTTCGTTGAGGGCGATGGTAATTACAAGCTTGACCTTCACTTGACCAGTGTATACTTGCTAACATTTCCAAGATCGATATGCAATTGTTCCAAGCTTCAGAGACTGGCAGTTTCCCCACGACAGACTCCCCGAATGGTGGAGCGTCCCAACTTCAAGAACATCGCTCTATGCGAAAAGATGTGCCGTCACAAACACCAGCTATGCTTTCACATGGGCACACCTTATCCCCAGAGAAGAACAGAGTTGGTTCAGCAAGAATGGCATGGGTCTTTATGGTGGTGGATCGCATACTATCGATGACCCGCATAATATTCTACCGCTCAAGGCGGACCTCTACGTATGCTTCGACCAAAGCGTGTTTGCTCTGATCCCAAAGCAAAATGGCCAAGCCAATGGCGTGGAGGCCAATAGCCAATATGTTCTTCATGTACTCGACGGAAGGGAAGCAGAGTTCACTGCCCTATATCAGAACAGACCCGTTGAGACTCTTGTCGAGGGAAGCCGAGAATATCTCTTCGCAAGATTTGCTTGGTCCATCTTCTCATTCTTAAAACCCTTCCTCACATCTGGCGTCGGACGAAGAGTCGTCAGATTCCGTCTCAGAAGTTCTGATGATGACGCTGAGGAGGAACACCTGGTCTCAGAAATGCAGAATGTCTTCTTGGATTCCAGAAAGCTTGAGTCGCTGTATGGAGGTGGAAACCGACGGAAGATGGTATCGTTGGAGGATTCTTATGTGGATGTTGAGGATGAGTGGGATGATGAGCATCCGGGACGGACTGAGATGGAAGGGTAGTGTGACTTTTTATGAATTATGTATCTGGTCAGCGTGAGGCGATTGCTAATGATTTGTCTGATATAGGAGAAGACGGCGGTAGTCTTTTATGACGGTATTTGTTTAAATTGGCTCTAATGAATTTGATGATTTATGATTTCGATGCTGCATCCGTGACGGGGCTTCTTCCTGTCTAATGAATGACCTTGAATAGATCTTTTGACTATGACCCTTCCACCCACCGCAAAGTCGTCGGCCTCCTGCTCTACCCGCCAGTTGGTCCTGTTCACCACAGCCAGGTAGATGGGTGCTTACCGTAATCAAAGTCTTGTTGGTTTCAATTGGTTGTGGCCCATGGGGAGTCGCAATCACTGACATTCGGGAGCTCGGGAATGGCAGCGGAGTTATTGCTTGTGCTTCGTCCTAGAACTGGTCATTTTCGGGTACACCTTGAATGTTTTGGTAGATGGTATACAATAGCTCAACCACGCCTTTAGTCAAGGCCGTGATGAACACTTGAATATCTTTTTGCAGTGCAGGCCTTCATTCCCGTCAGAGCGGGGTACGACTGTCTCAAACCCCCACTTCGCCGAATATGCACTTCCCCCGGTATTTGGTTCTCCATCAGTACGTGCGTTGTGTGACCTTTCAAACTGAGCTTGCTGCAAAGTCATCCCGTTAACCTCCAACTCGAACTGGCGCAAATCCTTAACAATCAATCAGTCCAAGGCAAGTCAACTGCGGAGTTGTTCTATCCTTTACAAATAATCGACCGCCGGAAGCACAGGTTGCGAATGGAATGATGAATTCATCGGATTGATTGGTAGAGATGTATACACCCCCCCAGTCCTTAGAGTTTCGCGTGGCAGCTAACCCGGAGCTCCTAGCTGGACGACCCCCAAGTTCTGTACCAAGCTGCCTCATCAGATCAATCGCGCAAGGAATATTTCTTCAACCCGGCTTTAGAATTGGTGACGTGTTCCCATATTCCGACGGGGAAGCCTCCGATAGGCTTCAGCTGCATATACCGTTGTGCTAAGTGCATATGTAATTCGCTCAATCAAGGGTCCTCGACCGGGGTCTCGTGAATATATGATATGATCCACAGACCCCTCATTTGTCATTAGCACAAGAGCTCCGAGGTCTCTCTCTTTGTCCGTTTGGACATCGAAGTAACGAAACGAAATCACTTATTATGGCTGAGAACTCTCCGCAAGACCCTGCCGTGACGGCCACCACTCCGCCAGAGGGCCACTTGGAAGTTGATGTTAGTTGCTGATGCTTCGCTACAACCATGGTTTTGCTTGCTAACGAGTTTCTCAGGATAACTTGGATTCCAATGATTCGCTTTATCATTCGACGTTAGTCAGTTGATCTTGATTACTTGTTTCTGGTATAATGACACAGACGGCAGGATCGGAGGTTCGAGTTTTTTATCGTCCGTGAATGCAAGCATATACAACTATAGGTGAGATATACGCGCAGGAACAGTTTTTGATAACCATAACTGACTCATTCTTATCATGTTTCGCAGATACGAAGTGAGCTACACTGAATATACCCCGGTGCATCATTAACAGCAGATAGAATGGACGTCGATATCATGCATTCCGAGAAGGCACTTATCCCGTGGTATGTGTCATAGCACCACTTCTTGACACCTTTACTCAGTCATATCTTAGCCCAACGACGAAGATGAACAAGATCGTATGGACCTCGTTCATCACGTGTATAGTATCCTTCTTGACGGAAAGCTCCACCTTGCCCCAATCGACGACAACCTTCAACGTGTACTCGACCTCGGCACAGGCACTGGTATCTGGGCGATAGATTTCGCAGAGTGAGTGAAAATGGAAACAAGAGCCTCGGGGTATTAGCCCGCTCACACGCTTCGCCATAGTGAGCATCCATCGGCAGCGGTTATAGGAAACGATCTCAGTCCCATCCAACCAGAATGGTAAGAAAAGACCTGCCATGCTGCGTATTATCGTGCTAACAGCTTAGGAACCCACCAAACTGCACCTTTGAAGTGGATGACTACGAGGACGAGTGGCTATACCGCACGGAATTCGACTTTATTCACGCCCGCGAGTTGGAAGCATGTATAGGTGACGAGGATCTCATGCTACAGCGAGCTTTCCGCCACATACGTTCAAACGGTTATATCGAATTACAGGGCGTAGACGCGCGCTTTGAGTCCGACGATGGAACACTCGATAAGGCGCCCAATGCCAAATTGTGGATGAAGCACCTCATCGAGGCTTGTGCCAAGTTTGGCAAGCCTGTTGACTGTGCGTATAAATGGAAGGACAGGTTGATCAAGGCGGGGTTTGTGGATGTTCAGGAAGAAGTCAGAAAGGTATGTAACTTCTCAGCTGGGCTTTGTCCTGTTTTACTGATTATTGTATATAGTTGCCTATCGGTCCTTGGCCGAAGGACCCGAAGCTTAAGGAACTTGGCCGGTATCAGGCTATCCAAGAGTCAAAGGTCATCGACTCCTACACGCCCAAACTGTTTGAGTACGCGCTTGGTTGGAGTGCAGACGAGATTCAGGTGTTGATGGCAAAGGTCAAGAATGAGCTACGAGACCCGGCTGTTCACCTGTATCTCCCTGTCTATTTTGTTTGGGGTAGGAAGCCTTAGTTGAGCCAACTGCGGGAATTATTGCGAGCTATAGCCAAGCGAGAGAATATGAGCTACTTCGTATCATGTGGCAAAGCTCTGACCTCGAGGCCTTTTCTCTTCAAATGTTCAGTGACGAGCCGATTGTGTCGTGATTGTATGTTCGCGTGTTGGCTTCTGAGAACAGTATCGTAGATGAGGATCGTGTTCCTAGCCTAGCGTGGCTTTACTAGAGACGAACAAATCATCCCTGTCTGTACTCTAGCCACATGATTTGTCACCAACAAACAAGGACTGCGGTTTTCAGGGAGCAAAAACGTCCAGGCCGGTCATTTATATATCGAATTTCTTATCATTACCCTATGGAATACTTCTTTTTGCTTCATGCTTGTATCCAATTTCGCTCCAGGCCTTCTACAGAGTCTTGCGCGCCAAGTTTACGCTCAACAACGCGTTATACAACGACGATCAAGCCACACAAGCTGCCCAACACGACCAACGACCAACAACCAACAAAGTGAGACTCTCCCAGACTCGGGTAAATACTCGGGGCGCTTCGGCAGTTGGCCCGACCCCGCGTGCCATTGAAGCATGTGCATTCATCGCATTCACACGTTTCAACGACCGCTTCTTCCGCCCTCAATCATTACGCAGAAAAATGGCACCCCGGGGTCTACCAGAGGCTATACCAGCCAAGATATCGCTCCTCAATCTTCAGAACTGCTTTGTCAATCTGCCGCCTTTGCTGTGTTCTTCGCTTGACAGTCTGAATACGGTTCGTGAACAGTGGCGGGTTTGGGTGCATGCTGACGCGAACCCAGCCGCCGCAAAATGTCTTGATCGAACTCTCATATGAAGATCTTACTTCTCGTGACGTATCAGAGGCATCCAACTCCATACCATCAAGATCCGCCTTTCTTGGATGGACAGGACTACAGAGTCGACAGAGATCTCACTCATCAGAAGAACCGCAAAGCTTGAGTAGAAATACAAGCCGCCCCAACAATAGAGGATCATCCTGGGTGGACATCGATGCCGCGTTCGCTCGGACCTTAGGTCTTTCCGATGGACAAGAGGTCACTATTGTATTGCATTTAGAACCTCCCCTGGTGAGCACCGTCCATATCGAGCCTCTTACACCAGAGGACTGGGAGATTATCGAACTTCACGCCAGCTTCTTAGAGTTCAACCTGATCAGACAAGTTCGCGCTTTGCCCAAACCAGGCTACAATCGAACCGAGGGTGCACAAGACCACCCTATAACTCTCCATCTGACCCCGACAACAACAGCAAATATCAAGCTCGTTTCTCTCCACCCTCCTACAGACTCACTATTTGCGAGGCTGGACCCCAATGCAGAAGTCATTATTGCACCAAAATCAAGACAGAGGCCTTCTCGTACTCACTCACGAGCAGATAGTAACGGCAGGACCAGCGAATCCCCCCACATGAAGCTATTTCTCAGAGGAGTTGATAGAGCACGTCTTGCAGATCTGTTTGATCACCAGCAAGATCCGAATGAAGGCTTAAAGATCTGGGTCGACAGTAATACACGACTCACCGCACTGACGAAAGGAATTAGTTGGGTATCCGTATCGATCCTCCATCAACCAACTTTCCAAGTCAAGTTTAATCACAGATATGGTCAAGACGGCGCGGATGGGCCAAGTGCCGCTTGGGTTTCTCCAAAAGTTGTAGCCAGGCTGGAAGAATGGAAAGATGCTCCAGACAACTACCACGCTGCTCTATCCTCCGCACTCTGTGTAGCGTTGGTTTCGGGGGGCATGGTTGGAGTCCCCATCAAGATTGAGTCTGCCCCTGTAGAACAGGCCTCAGCTGCTCAAAAGGTTCATTTTTAACCATTCATAGCTAACGCGATGGAATCGACAGGTGCTCTCAAGCTTGGTCCCAATGCGAGGCAAGGCCGCCAAGAAGCTGGGAAATCGATTCTCAAGATGTACAAGCAACCCAGTACCTTCCGGGGTCTTCTGGACGGCCCTATCACGGACGGGATGATCTTGGGTCCCCTTTCTTCGACTTCCGTGCTTCCTAGTTGGACTGGCGGGATACTTCGATTCGATGCCAACCTGACACAACCTACAAAACCCTTCTGCAACTGGTTCCTTAGTTCAGGTCAAATATCCTCCATCGAAATCGAAGACCCAATTCCCTCGCCAATTTCGAACTCCAAGAAAGGTCCCTTGGATGAATCAGTCCCAGTCCTTGCTGGCGTCGAGGATATCGTCACAGACGTCAAGTGTCACTTTTTGCATGAGTCTTCAGTACTGCTCATAGGAGGCCCCGGCGCAGGAAAAAGCTCTGTTAGCTTATTGATTGGACATCAATTGAGATCTGAGCACTTTTTTCACAGCAAATACATTTCTTGCCAAAAGATGTCAGCAAACGAAGAGCGCATTGCTACTATCCGAGACACTCTTGAACAATCTTTCCTCCAAGCAGCCTTGAGTGCAAGACTAGGCGGCCGTGCTCTAGTAATACTAGACGATGTCGACAAGTTATGCCCTGTTGAGACTGAACTTGTCGTTGGAGGCGATAATGCGCGCTCGAAGCAGATGAGTGAGATGATTGCTTCAGTCATAAGACGACATTCTACGCTGGGCAGTGGAGTAGTCATACTCGCGACTGCCCAGTCAAAGGAATCTCTGCACAATGTCATCATCGGGAACCATGTATTCCGTGAAACCCTTCCTTTGGACGTCTCAAACAAGATGTGTAGGAGGAAGATCCTCGAGATGGTGATACAGCAAGGCACAGCTACAGAGGAGGATGGAGAACAAAGGGAGGATGTCAGCGCTAGTCGTCCAGAAACCGCTAACGGTACTCAACCACAGAACTTCGGGGGATCATGGACGGATGTTCTCGGGTCTGCAGAGGCAGTTCCAGAAGCCAATGCTGCCCCTTCGCGCATGTTCAAGCCCGACATAGACTTTGCGGATCTTACGAATCTCACGGAAAGTTACATGCCCCGAGATCTTGTTCTGTTTGTAGAACGAGCAAAGTATGTTGCTTTGGCCCACTTCATATCACAAAACTCGGAGGACGGCAACAAGATGAGAGTCCCTCTCACGAGAGAACATTTCGAGCAAGCCCAGAAGGGATTTACACCAGTCGCCCTACGAAACATGTCTCTTGGAACATCAACTACGACATTCGACTCCATTGGCGGCATGACAGAAACCCGCAGAGTTCTTTTGGAGACTATAGAATACCCGACCAGGTACGCGCCTATCTTCGCGCAATGCCCGCTTCGACTACGCTCTGGTTTGCTTCTCTACGGATACCCAGGTTGTGGGAAAACTTTACTAGCTAGTGCTGTTGCTGGTGAGTGCGGACTGAACTTCATATCCGTCAAGGGCCCAGAGATTCTCAACAAATATATCGGCGCGTCTGAAAAGTCCATTCGGGATTTATTCGAGCGAGCAACTGCCTCGAAGCCCTGCGTTCTTTTCTTTGATGAATTTGATTCGATCGCACCGAAGCGAGGAAGTGACTCAACTGGAGTGACAGATCGTGTTGTCAATCAGTTGTTGACTCAGATGGATGGTGTCGAGGGCTTGTCTGGTGTTTACGTCCTTGCTGCGACCTCTAGACCCGATCTTATAGATCCAGCGCTGCTCCGCCCCGGCCGCCTTGATAAATCGCTCTTGTGTGATTTGCCGCACCTAGATGACAGAATCGATATTCTCAAATGTCTCTTGAAGAAACTGAAGCTTGATGATGATCTCAAAGGAGAGCTTGACAATAGGCTGAGGGACGTCGCTTCGAGGACCCAAGACTATTCGGGAGCCGACTTACAGGCCCTTATCTCTAATGCCCAGCTTGAGGCCATTCACGAGTACCTCGGAGACAAAGATACCGCGGTTAGTTCAGCAAAGACGAATGGAAAGGCCCGAGTCCAAGACTCTCGAAAGCCTAGTATCGTACAGTTCTGGTACGGCGTAGAACAAGACCGACTGCACTCCGAAGCAAACTCTGGCGATCGACGCAAACAACTTAGAAAACTCGCCGAGTATGAAGAAAAGGTGGTAAAGCTACGCTCCGAGCGCAAGTCAAGCCGACGAGGAGTCCAAGGCGAGGGAGATCGGAAATCAGACGACAAAGGGTCACATAAGCCGGAAATTCTACTTGCTTGGAGGCATTTGGAGAGGAGCTTGCGTGTTTCACGGGCTAGTATCAAAGCTGATGAGAAACAGCGATTGAGCTTGGTCTATGATGAGTTTGTTGGTGGCAGGTCTGCTGAGCTGCGGAATGGTCAAGGAGGAACGGCTGTTGGCAGTAGGGGAACCTTGATGTGAAAGATCGCATTGTGTTGGCTTCGTTTAGTAGAGACGTAGAGGTCTCGATTTGACAGATTCGTCGACCCTTGGTTGCGACTCAATGTTTCTCAAATTTGAACAACTGCGTACTTCGTGAAAAGCTTCATGTATTCGGCCATGCTTTGCCTACAACCTCTAATCTTTCAGTGACATTCCCTAACCCATTCGATTTGATAGTCATTCCCATCTGAAGTCTGCCATCTGCAGCACGGACAGCTCCAATTAGCAAAGTAGCTTTCTACCAAAGTAGGGCGCCGCATTCAGGGCACTCAGACTCCGGTTCAGGTGATTCGATTCTTCCGCAGAGGTCAGGAATCAGATCTGCTGCCAAATCTGGCGTTGTTCTGAGGAGTTCGTCAAAGCTATCCAGACCAACAAGAGTCTTGATGTTCTTGCTGACAGCCTCGAAGACTATGTCGCGAAGCCCTCTGTCTTGAGAAGGAGTTGTCACATAGACAAGGTTGGCGGCAATCGGAAAATGACTGGTATTCCATCCACTGCCCACAGCTCTCTGAAATTGTTCTTTCACCTCGTCCTTCAGCTCTGTGATGTCGTATTTATCCGCAATCTGGTATAAACGGACGTCGAAAATCATGCGAGAAGTATCGTCATCGTTGCTGTACTCCAACGAGTACATGAATCTGAGCATGGCGTCAACGACGTCTGGGTCGAAATCATCGATGCGAATAATTCCCTCGGAACCCTCCTGGCTACAGTAAGCGGTTGAAAGTCAATCACGGAAACTGCCTTACCTTCCAGTTGCCATTGAGAGCCGCAGCAAAGCACTTGGAGTGGGCCGACAAGATGATCTTGTGAGCCTTGAATACTTGACCGCCGCAGGTAACGGTAACGTCGGAGAGAGCATCAGTATTGTAGTATCTATCGATAGTGTCAGAAGACATAACCACAACAGTGGCTTGGCTTTACCTACCCTGCCAGAGAGGAGAGGAAACCTTTCTCTTCTGGAGGCGCCATCGTGAGGCGGTGCGGTGTGCTTGGGGAGGTAGTGGGTTTGAGGGCAGTCTTTTCTGTTGAGAGAGTGATGTGATTTGTCTTTACATCCAACAGGTGTAGCAACCATTATGACAAGGGAAAGGATCTATCACTACCTACCTATATAATGAGTCGAAATTGCACACGTATTTCTACGTACATGCAATTACCCGAACAAAGACGTGAGTGACTCGCAAGTGGTATCATCCGTGGCCAGCACTGACACGTATCACCAAAATATGCCACGCTGTTTACCTGCACAGACTGTCCTTTATAGATTCTTTAGCCATAGATTTCCAATAACACATATCACAATAGCAAACCAAACTTCTTCTACTAAAGTAGTCTGCTTTATACATCGATGTGTCATTTTGGTAGTCTAGTACTTTGTGTATACACGCAACGATCCGAATGATATGCCGCTCATCCTCGTCCCTCACCCCTATCTTAAGTCATAATTTTTGTGGTGCCTGGTAGCTACAAAACCTCCAGCCTCCTTTGAGAATCGCCTCTTTCGCTTGAATGTAAGCCAATAGCGTCTCTTACTTGTTTGCAGGAATTGGCCTGGGGGGCACGTGGGTATAATGTCTAAGTTGTTAGCCAGATGTGTTATTTACAGTTGAGGCTCGTGGCTGAGGGCTTAAATCAGCAGACAGAACTTAGTTAACCTGTTGATGCCCTGTTTCCTATATCGGTTACGCTTAACCAAGCAGTAAGTGCAATGCAATGATCCCAGTTCTGATCAAGTATCTCCATAGAGTAACAGATGGAATGAGAGCTGAAAAAGAATCACTTGAATGCTGCTTCAGTCACCAGCGTCTCTTTACCGTATGCGTGGTCTGTGTCCACTCCAGATAGTTTTCGTGACTTTTCACTATGTTTGACAGCTGCCTCACAATATTTGAAACCGAGAGCTGTGAGCTCAACTGTTGTAATGGCTTCTGAGCGGGTTTACGGATGATCAGAGACTCTATCGCTTGTGAAAATAAACACAGATCAACAGGGGAACAATATGTCGCCCCGCGGATGGGCCCACGGAACTACCGGTAAATCCTGTCACTTGCATTGGTGTAAGTACCTCTGTACTCTATTTATCCCGCTACCTAGTTGTTGACAGCACCAAGCGACAGATAAAGTTCAAGGATGAACGGGTGACGTTGAGCTCTACGCCAATTAAAACCAGCGGAACTCGGTCCGGAACCTTAGAAGGGAGCGAGGGTGCGGTTTCATGGCGTGACAGGGCTTGGTCAGTTGATGACTCTTTTCAAGATTTCCAGGGTCCATCCAATTCTAGAACGATGGCTTGGACAGACACAATTGAACTGCCGAGCGGGATTATTTTACGATTTACTTATGATCAAAATTATGGAATCGGTTTATAACAATCCTTCTGTCGACATCCCACGTCTTGGGGGATAATTACAAATTTTGGTTGGTCTCAGGGACCCCATCCGCCCGCGTAACCAATACCCAACACCATAAAAGCAATATCCTTGGCACCGGCCTTTTCCATGCTTGCAACAACCGTAGAATCATGAAAATAAACAGAAATAACATCATCAAGCCTGGATAAGGCCAGGAGCAGAATGGAATGTAAAAAGAAACAAAAAGAAACCTTACGAAAACAAGAATAAGAAAAGAATTCGAAGTCCACATCCATAGTCTTTCACAAAGCCAGGCGCAACATTCTGCAGGGGCTTGCTTCTCACTTCAACGTGTTCGGTGTCGTGTTTGGTAGAGTCAGAGAACAATTGCTGGGAACCGAGACTTGTAGTAGGAGTGAGGGGTCAAGAGATCCAGAATGAAGAAGATCCAGTATTCTGTTCATTGTGTATTGGGATAGCCAAAGTGAGTAATTCTTTCGCGCTGTGTTATCTCCCTTTGGCGGAGAAGACGGATGTTGTTTAAGAAAGGGCATGCTGAGGGGGGCCTCCGTGAAGCGAGCTGCGGGACTGGTAAAGATGGTATTTGTGTTCATTGTGCTATTCGATAGATTCTGTATCTATCTTCTGTGAGATTCCAGGTCAGGATGCATCGTATTTAAAAGAAACCGATGAATGATCTGGGCTAAATACAGGCCGGGTTGAAAAGCCATCAGACAATTCACTCACGTTTTAGCAGGGGCCTTAGCGGCATCAAGGCCTGAAGTTTACGGTGAAGACCCTGCCCGCAGGACTAGTGTACGCCCATCATGTGTATTGTGTCAGGCGTACGTCACTGAGACGGCAGGGTTCACCCACCATGAAAATCAGGGTCCTTGGATCCCCGTTCAAAAGTCAGATCAACGTTCTGTAGGTATTCCTCTTCATCCCAACAATCCAAAAAATCCCCCATATTCATTTTCTGAAATAAGTAACCCAGACATTCTCTACAAATACTCTTTCAATATGGATGACCCAACATATACATGGCCTGCCTGGAAGTTTGGTCTGAAGAGGGAAGATTTATCTAACAACCTTCACGATCAGTACAACACTTATCTTGCGCCGATCCAAAGTCCCGAAGCCTTTTATCACGACATCTCCGAAATTGCCCATACCGCACGTTCTGCCGCCGAGTTTCATCATCTAGCCCACGGTCGAAGACAACAGCGACTCAACGAATTGAACGAGGCCCTCGAGTCTGCAAGCTTCGAGATTATTGGCAATCCAAGGCTCATCGAGACGGCCCAGTGGGAGCATGCCATCCAGCTCTTTCGCACCAACTCTCTCGACTCGCTCGTTCAATACTTTGCCTCATATCTCCCCCAAGAACATCGTTGGCACCCGTTGCATCAAGACTCTGTACTGGCAGGCGCTGACGGCAGTGAAGGGTTAAGTAAAAGGCATACCTCTGGTACTACTAGGAAATTAAGTCAAGTAAGTACTGGAGTCGGTTTCTTCGATGGAGTTACGAGTGAAGCAGGTGAACAGAAACGAGGGGAGATGCGCAACGATAATCCACGTCGCAGGGCGAGACCCAGTACAAACATCTGCTCTAGGGAAGTTGGCTTTGAGAACACCCATTCAGCTGCACAGAGGAGAGCCTCCTTCGATCGTCATACAGAGACAAAGGGACCATTTCTCGAGTTCACTCCCAAGAACCCGTCATACACGGTGGGTCTCAAACTCCAACCTGCAGTTCGGTACGACATTATAAGTAAAATCGGTTTAAAGAGGAAACGAGCTTAAATAACAAAAGTCCATGATGGCACTTTGTGGTATTCATACAGCGAATTTAATTAAAACCCTTGAATGAAACTATTCTTTGCTTTGCATACCTATTGTGATATGTCGATCTGTGATCCGCAGAATGCGGAACGTCAATTCGGACTAAAGGAAAGAGCATCTTTGGTGTCACCAACTTATCAGCATGGATCTCAAAATTATCCATCGTACAAATTCACACCGCGTGTCGATCCTTATCGTGACTCAATTCACATGCCTAGTTGAGCACATGTCTAAATTTATTTACCTCGGCGTAAAGACATTAATAACTGAAGTATTGGCAGAGTTTGTCCCAACAAAACGGGATTAGTGGAGTTCAACAAAATCGACTAGCCAAAGCAGACTGGGGTCTTGACTATCGCCTAGTTATATACTTATCGCCAGCAGTAATGTTTATCCATCGAAAGCGATATCAAGAAGCAACTGACATTACACAACAGCAAACGCTACTCGGTTGTAATGGCGGGAACATCACTATGGGATTACATCTTTATGCGCACTTCTATCTTTGTCTTGCACCTCATCGCGCCCTTGAGCATTGTCGTCTCTCTCGTCCTATCACTAGTCACCCTCCCATTTCAGATCCCGAGCCTTCTCAAGGCATGGTTTATTCTTGAAGCACTTTTCTACATCTTCATATACCTTCCGCTCAACAGTCATCTTCAAAAACCCGCAAATCACCCTACCGCACCCTGTCGAGCTGATCGCCAAAGACTATTCCAACAATGTCATGACAACATTCCAGACGCAGGCCAGTATCTGAGGAGGTGGTTTCGTGATGCGCCAGAGCATGAAATCAAGCGTGAGAACGTCAAAGACTTCTTTCGATGGGGCTTTTTGAACATGGAAGATTGCGATTCGATGTATGATGACGAGTTGGAGGAGTATATTGAGGAATTGGAGGACCTGCTTGGGAGAAAGTTGGAGCCTGGTAGGGGGGATGCCAAATGCTTGCGCATGACTCTTGACAAGGTCGAGATGCTTCACAGAAGTTTAACATGGTACCTGGTGAGTCTCTATAAAGGATTGGTATTTCACTTGCATGTACCATAGATGGCTACTAACTTTAATTCTCTACCTTTCAGTGCATCTTTGTTGTCGACACGATAGCATCGGCTTATCTGCTGTACCATTCCTTCAGCTTTCACCGAACATCGATCTCCCAATTCTTCACCACTTTTCCGCTTCGGCCTCTAAGTCTAGTTACGCCCTACAAATCCCCCGCCAAGGGGCTCACCTACTGGCACCGTCCACATACGTCCAAAACAAAGCTACCCATTCTCTTTATTCATGGCATCGGCGTGGGACTTTATCCCTATATAAACTTTCTAGCTGAAATTAATGCAGCCGATAGTGCAGATGGAGATGTTGGCATTATTGCTGTCGAGATCTTATCGGTGAGCTCTCGCATCACAGGCTCGGCTCTGTTGAAAGAGGAAATGTGCGAGGAAATCCATCGAATATTGTCTTCGCATGGATGGGGAAATTGCGTCTTGGTTTCACACTCGTAAGTGCCATGAGGCAATTTGAACTCAGGTTATTAATATTTCTGATTTGAAGATACGGAAGCGTTGTCGCCGCCCAGCTTCTCCGAGACCCCAAGACCTCCACCAGTATCGGCCCCGTTGTATTCATCGATCCTGTGTCCTTCTTGCTACATCTTCCTGATGTAGCATATAACTTTGTACGTCTGTTGACAGTTACTCTACCAGTCGACCTCACTAACCTCTTTCTCCAGATATGTCGACTCCCAAGCGAGACTAAGGAGCATTTACTTTCCTACTTTGGCTCAAAAGACATCGGTATCGCTCATACGCTATTTCGGCGCTTCTTCTGGGCCGATAATCTACTATGGAAGGAAGACCTACAAAACCATCCTGCTGCCGTGGCTTTGGCTAGTAAAGACAGTATCATCGATACGAAATCCATTCGGGCTTATCTTGTTGGTTCAAAAGATTGGACGCGAAGCCCCCCGACTGAAGATACAGGAGAAACTGCAAGTGATGGGAAACTGGATGTGATCTGGTTCGAGGACTTGGATCATGGTCAGGCTTTTGATCACAAAACGACACGGCTGCCTCTCGTTGAGGTTGTTAGAGCATTCTGCAATGAGCCTGCGAGTTCTAAAGTGGCGGTTAGAAAGAAGTGACCCAATGTTCTGGTGTATAGAGACTTGATGTAAGGATGTCTATGAATTGAAAGAGTCTTCGGTAAGTTCTGCATCTTGTATCAACAGCGGTTGGCTCTCATATTGATGACGATGCATTAAGCTGCTTGCTTTCGTGTTCGTATCAATATAGTTTTAGAATATTCACCGTTTCGTCTTATTGTGCACGTGTATTTTGGAGACATCAGATAGGACATCAGGTAGTATGGGTCGAGGTTACAGAAAACGTGCTTAAGTTACTGACTCTGCTATAGCACATGGATCAAATGCTCACAATCATGGCCTAAACATATCATGACATAGAAATGACAGTTCAAATTAATCGCAGACTAATGTACACTGGTATCATCTTGCTATCACATCATACAGAAAACCGTTTGCCTGTTGCCAGATCTAGCCAATTCTGTTGGCAGTTGTCCAGCGATATACCGGGTCAACAAGGTGGCTCTCCACTTCAATGACAGATATCCCGCCCATTGTTGAGGTAGTGGCTGTAGTGTCGATAGATCGACGGTTAACCTTGGGGACTTCCTTGTTACAATTCAATACACCGCGGCTCCGGAATCTCAAACCCCCGCAAATACCAAGCCTGGAGTGTGCCCTCCGGATACCAATCGATAGCCAACGCATGTGTCAATCGGGACATCTGAACTGTGTCTGGCCAGTCGCTATCCCAGTCCAATTGACGCCAGTTAATCCTGAAAGGGGGTGGACAATCGCTCATCTGCAACGAGAACTTTTCTCGAAAGTCCAAATCCTGTACTTGCATGTGGTGAAGAGACGTGATGGCTTCCCAGAACCTGTGTCGGTTGGCCATGTAGACCTCTGAATAAGAGTCGGGGCAGAGGTTGACGTGGCGGATGATAGGGACTCGGAGTTTCCGAGCTAGGGGTGTTGCAAGTTCGGACTTCCATTGAAGAAGTCTAGCCTTGACTGCCTCGGCGTGCGCCACATGGTACGATTTAGATCGAGACGGATTTTCCAGATAAACGTTGAACTCGCTGTTGCGGTATCCGGTGTAGGATAGTGGTCCGAGTCTGTTATCATCGTTTGGTCGGGAACGTTCCCAGAAGGCATATCCGATAGCATCGATATCCTCAACAGGGATGCAAGCCACGGAGCTGGCAGGTGTCTTGGCTTCCACATCGTGCGAACCACGGAATGGATTAAACCAATCCCAAAAGTCTTCCAGTCCCCAGGTCTCAAGCAAAATCTCATTGAGACCCGAAAGGAGTGGAAGGATAGACTGGAGGTCCCCGGCCAGCTTTTCCTCATCCTTCACTCTTGAGGGGCTTTCGAGGATGACGCTCTTGACTTGCTTCAAGTCATCCACGCGGTATTGACCTATATCCCAGTGACAGCCCGAGAGTAGTAACCCAGGCTCAGGACACGGATATGGCGTGCGAGCTTCCCCCGGAAGGTCAGATCCGTAGTCGCTGTCATATGTTCTCGGAAAGGCTTCCATTGTGTAAGGGATGTAGAGACGATCTTGGCCAGGATGAAACCAAGTTCTTGGGCCTGTTGTTCGAGTCGCGAAGAAGAGCCGGTAGCCCCAGTTGACCAGCACTTGTCGTGATTCTGAGCATACATGTAAGAACGCAGGTATCTCGGCATCGCTGTACAGAGAAGACTCGCGGGTCAATTCGAATGCGAGCTCAGGATAGTCTACAAGCCAGTCGGTCGGGATGCGTGGTGTTTTCTCTGACGGCTTCCAAGGTTCGTAAAGAGGCTGACTTGAAGTGAAGCCGTAAGATTCTAAACGTGTCTGCTTGTACTGGTGGTTATGTGATTCCCATGGAATTCTGTGTCGCCAGTTATGAGCGAATGCTACCAGATCAGGGTGGAGCTTGAGAAGTGGCATTTTAACTAGCATCTGTTTGTAGAACTTTTCGAATGCATAGTCGAAATAACTCTCGTGATTTTGCTCGGCCCAAGCCCGCTTCTCCTTGGGATTAACTGGCCCTTCTTCCACACGAACGACCCGACGAGGGGTAGCGAGGATATAGATTTCGTGCCTCAAGTCATAAGGGAGATATTTGAACATGTGGAATGTATCTGGGGCTCTGCGGAACGGATTTCGCTTAGTCTGAGTCATCTTGGTGGTAAGACGTCTCTCAGATTGATGAGAAGAAATATCGGATAAGTTTGAAGGCTGAGGACGTAGAGCTCGAAATAAATATTCAGGATCGGGTAAGGTACATGGCCATCAGAAAGTGAGTGTTGTGCAAAACAATATGAAGTAAACAAGTTTGTTGGAAGAGGCTTGAGTGTTGGACAAACGAGAGCAACAGGCGCCAATCCTCACAGGATGGGATGGGGTACCCACCATGACAGGGCGATATACCAATCACATCATCCTGCGCTTCCATTCCGAAGACCCTGCCGTAAGGCATCAGGAAATAAACAAGGGATTTTTGCATACAGTGCTAAGCAGGTGTACTGCGCCTAGAAGAGGATGCTAAAATAAACTTAGCAAAGAGTCCCCTGAGCTTAGGTCGCACTTGGCTAAATACTTTGTCGCCTGGGCTCAAGGTCCCGACTTTTCTTGCCGCTTCTTAGTAGGTGACACGTAGTGAGAACTTATGTATATCATAGCAGAAACGGAAACAGATATTGAAGTCGTATCACTCGAAAGCAGGCTCCGGTTTAGAGCCGTATGGAATAATCCTAACCATATGTCTCCTCTCATTATCCTGGAAATCAGGTACAGCAGAGTGTGCCGTTCCTCGTTGATCCCAAACCACGACCGTACCCTTCTCCCACTTGACCCTACAACTAAAGTCCATGCTTCGAATATGATTCTTCAAAAACGACAGCAAGTGGTCTGACTCTTCTGGTAGGAAACCTTCAACATGACGAGCAATCGTGGGATTGACAAACAGTGATGGTTTGCCAGTGACAGGATGTTTGATGACGAGAGGGTGCGTCGCGTTGATTGCTTCTGCTAAAGCCCGTTCTTGACCAACTCGTCGTACTTCGCCTTCAGATGCCGATGTGTGATGAAGTTTGAGGCCGTGAAGAGTTTCTCTAAATGCAGGTGAGAGAGCATCGTAGGCTGCTGTAAGTGAGGTGAAGGCAGTGTCGCCACCGCCTGATTCGGGGATCTCGAGGACCCAGAAGAATGTGGTTGAAGGGACGTTGGAAGTGAAAGTCTGGTCAATATGCCAGAGATCGTACGTCGTTCTAGGGCCGAGAAGCTTTCTCAAATTGCCGCTGTGCTCTTGTCAATACACATGTTGCCACCCGAGAGACATTTCTGTGAAACTCACGTCTTCTCATCGGCGTAGACAACATGAAACTCTGGCCCAGTACCTTTCGGGTACCCCATCGTAGGATGCTGGTGAAGCGGCCCATAATGCTTGACAATCTCCCTCTGTCTATCAAACCCTACGTCCGCAAAGTCCTGATCTCTCTACAAAAGTCAGCACCTTGAATTCCAACCGCCAAACAAACTCACAAACACAACGACACCTCGCTCAGCAGCCAGCAAAGCTAACTCATCAAGCCCCTCCCTCCCCAACGCACTAATCTGCACACCCCGGACTTCAGTACCAATACGTGGGGTAATATCAAATGTCGTAGCGCCCTTTAGCAAATTCGCTTTGGCGGGATCAGCCCGAAGCCCTGGCTCTTCAGCCTCAAAGAGGGGCACAGCTACCGGCGCATTGTAGCCATCCGAGCGGGTAGGAAGATAAGCAGGATACAACGGCTCGGACGACATTTTTTACTCTGTTAGCGATGGAATTGGGATGTGCAGGCTGCGTCTTAGATATCTCCGCCTTCGGATGGTGCAACCCGAGTTTGTCGGGGCTTGTCCGACGGTTTTAGCTAGAAGGGGAGATTTGGGGACTCGTTATTTGCAGGGCTGAAGACGCAAGCCGGGTGAATGTACCCGCTCTGTAGATCGAGCCAATGGGTATTCTTGGGATTCGAGATAAGCAGTGGGGTAATCTCATGGTGTTTCTGCTAGATCGGACCCTTGATCACGACAAACACGGTAGTTTACAACTTGGCTCCGATCTTAGTGTTCACTGACTCGTGATCTTGCGATATTTATAGTCTAAGCTCGTCATGGCCGCCATTTTCTACTGAATATCGATACTTGACGCGAATCTAGAGCGTCTCTAGCCTAGAGTCAAATGTGGCGAGCGGCAAGTTTTTTTTAAATTCCAGGGAACCCCAAGTGTCGATCATTTCTCAACTCCTCTTTTTACTTCTCAGCGGTCTTTGAAGCATCAGAGATGTCGACACCAGTGAATGACACTGCCTGTGAGGAGAGGCAGAATATTGCTTATGTCGAGTCGACGTCGTGGTTGGCCAAGATTCATCCTTATTTCAAGAATCCGGCTCATGTTTTGGTGCTCAAGCTTGATTGCTTGTTGCTGGTATGGGCATTCATCGCAGGTCTTTTCAAGGTATTATCTCTACCTCTCTATGGAATAAATGATGCTGATGATTTTATAGGATATGGATCAATCTGCGACAACAGCTGCATACGTCTCAGGAATGAAAGAAGACCTCAAGCTCTACGGCAATGAACTGGTGGAATTCACGACGTATTTCTCCATTGGCTACGCTCTCTTTATCGTCCCATCGCAACTCATCCAAACCCGCGTTCGACCATCTCTCTTCCTCCCACTCTGCGAGATCATCTGGGGCTTATTCACACTCTTCACATACAGAGCTCCAAACGCAAAGACCGTGTTTGCCCTGCGATTCTTCCTCGGAGTTTTCGAGTCGACATCATGGCCCGGCATTGTGAACCTGATCTTCAATTGGTATGATCACTAATCACAGACCTCTAGCTTCATGAGTCTCTAACTAGTCTGTAGGTATCGTCCCGAGGAGTTGGGAAAGCGACTCGCGATCTTTGGCGTCAGCGGCGTCGCGGGAAACATGTTTCTCGGCATTGTTCAAGCCGCCCTCTACCGAAACCTCAACGGCGTGTCTGGCCTTGCTGGTTGGCAATGGCTCTTCATTATCAGCGGTATAATGACTATTTTCTGGGGTCTTGTCGGTCTTGTCATTATTCCAGACTCACCTGCCATTACTCGAGCTCTTTGGCTCTCGGAATCTGAGCGAGAACTTTGTCGTCTTCGAATGAGTGACAGCGGCGTCAAGACCTCCAGAATCATCCCCTTCAAGACTCTGGTCCAAAAGATGAAGCTCCTCATCCTCAGCCCCCTCTCATATCTGTTTCTCGCAGCATATCTTCAATTCGCCTGGAGTCAACGCGCAAACGCCTACTTTCTCCTCTTTCTAAAAGGCCTTCAAAACGCCGACGGAACACCCCGCTATTCAGTCTACACCGTCAACCTTATCCCACTTGGTGGCTACGCTATAAGCATAGTCTGCAACATTGGTCTTAACGCTCTCAGCGATTGGAAGGCCTGGCGCTGGCAAGTCAGCGTTGGCGCCGCCACTTTACAGCTCATCGCAACCTCGGTTCTCTCCGGGTGGCCTGATTCGTGGAAGACTATCATGGCTTTCTACTTTCTCACTTTTGCTACGGCTGCTTGGGGCTATGCTCTCCTTGCGTGGCTGGCGGAGATTTTGAGGAAAGAGCCAGAGGTGAGATCTATCTTGGTGGCTATCGCTGTTACGCTTGTTTATGCGGGACATGCTTCTATACCCCTTCGTGCTTGGCGAGTTAGTGATTCGCCCAAATATCCAGTTGGTTTCCCGTTGGCTGCTGCGTTTAGTGTTGGAAGTATCGTTGCTATTATGGGAATGTGGTTTTATGTCAGGAAGTACCCTGATATTGTAGCCTGGGGACTCGATCCTGAAGGCGGCCAGGTGTGTGACGAGGAGGAGACTATTCCAAGGGATGATGACCAGAAAACACCCGTGGAGAGAAGTGACCGAGTTTAGTTTTTGATGCGGTTACCGTATAACTGCTATAAACGTACGCTTTACTCTAACTCACGACTAAAAGGCACATTTCAGAGTTTCAAAAATGTACTAACTACCAGGACGTGTTATGCATAGCCTCAAGTGTCATTAGATCATGACAAAAGTGAAACATAAAACCCCCTTGTGTGCACAAAAGGATCGAGATTATGGCATCTTTATACAGCAGCTCCCCTCTTGGCCGCCCATGTTGGTCCTCCCTCTCCTCCATCATAGCCAATAGTGACCTGATCAGTCCTCACTATGCCCTCCTCGGGACTCTCTGGTCTGCACGATCTCGGTTAGTTTATGTCCTGCTGATATGGGGATGATTGGAGGGGCTTTTCCGTTGGGCAGGGAAGTGCTTGTTGGTTCCAAACAGGTTTTCCGACTGCAAAAGTCTGTTGGTTATACCCATGTTCATTGTTGGCTGTGTTGCTAGCAGCTACAAAAGAAATATGGTGAAAGTCTTGTTTCTTTAAACTCTTTTCTTTTGAGAGTATCTTGAAATTAAAAGATTGAATGTTCGTGTCAGGGGCAAGACAGATGAGTGTCCGTAAAGTCTGAAGCCGAGGCTTGTCTAGGAGGTAAGCACGCTATCATGCAGTGTTAATGGGCATGAAACACCTTTCTGCAGCGAACACTGCATTATGAGATCTCATGTTTAGATTATAACTCGACACTGTTCAGATTTCAAGCAAAGAACTACGATTGATGCACTGTGGTACAGATGAAATGGTAGTCAGCGGACGAGCACCGAAGAGGCAGCAGCAGGGAGGTTGTCCATGTGCTGCGGGAAATTACAGCGGCCGATAAAGCTATTTCACATTGATTTTCGAGCAGAATACATGCCGGCAGTATATCTATCTAATGGTGTTATCAGAAGCTGTCCATGCATGGTGCCCTGATCAGCCGTCAGCCACAATACTACTTACATGTACAAACCACGTGCAGAAGTTGGGCATTAATTGCACATTTGATTTAAGTCCAACCCCGCATCAACCTGTTGAACAGTCATCAACTAAGTTTAGCTATTAAAACATGGTTCGATTGTCGACATTATTGTGATATGTGAAAGTAAAGCCATTAGCTCAAGATGCCAGCCGTCAATACCCTCATTCAAATCCACACTCCTCTGGAGGCGACGGTAGACTCTAGAGTGAGTACAAGCTTATATCATGACTACTGTTGCTTTCAGCCGTACTGAAATAGCATTTACTATGTAGCATTGTCTTTTCTCATGGCATGAACACTCTAGGCAATGACAGTCACGAAGAGGATACATGGAAGGACAGAGAAACACGAGTCAATTGGGTTCAAGACCTCTTTCCAGGTCAGGTACCTTCGGCTCGAATATTGGTGTTCCAGCATAACGGAAACTCTGTATTCAGTCGGAGGTGATACAAACGTTAGTTGAACGCAATAGACAGAGCGTTCATGAAAGACGGGTTAAATATAAGAGAGCTGAGAGAATAGCCACGCGGAATGAGGAAGTATCACACAAAGTCGTAGATAAGACTAAGTAGGAGACATACAAGGTGGTGGAAGCTGAGCTGAGGGCAGAGCAGCAAAACCAAGATGCCGAAGACAAAGGCAACTGTCCTATAGGATGTTCAATACTTTAAAGTTCGATCTCTACCTCCATAGACCAACACAAGACTGCTAAGTAAAGGTCTCAAAGGATGAATCAAGTAAAATGCGCATCAGTATCCTATTTGACTTGTGAAACAGTTAGCTCCATAGTCGAGATCAGGTATCCTGAGGCCTCCTCGAGTCACATGGGAAGGATTTTGTCAACGTATGTATACGAGTGAGAATTGGTTTTATCTCTGATCAAAGAAATCACATGGCTGAAAGGGCCATAAGGAATCATCATAACACTCCATGCATTCATAGAGACAGTGACCTAGCCCTGCAGCTTAGCAACCAGCTTGTCTCCTAAAGCCCTTATACTCTTGGAGAAATCCGCACGGCTCGTAGCCTTCCAATCAGCACCATTCTTTCCAGGAACAGCCTCATCGCCCTTGAAAGCAATATATAGAACATCCTTCTCGCTATGTCCATTGTCTCCATTGAGGCCCTGGTTAGGGAAGCAAAGCTCAGCAAGAGAAATCGAGGCTTCGCCAGTGGAAGTACCTCCGTTGGTATCACCCCAGATACCGTAATGCTAAGCGACGTTAGCAAGAAGTAGTTATGGAACACTATGAGAGACTTGCCACTTGACCATTACAAACCACGGCCATGACACTCAGCGGCTTGATACCATGCTGCTGAGGATCGAAGGATGGCGAGGCCCCATCGTTGCCGAACACCACGTATGGATGTACATTAGCATCCAAGTCCGGGATGCCGTACTTCTTGACAGTGTCCTTGAAGGCAGTCTCGCCCTGTCCGGATGGATCATTCGAGCAAGCACCTGCATGGTTATTCGCTCCGTCACAGTCAATATCCATATTGTCGTAGTTCCCGTTGGAGCCCTTCAGGAAGATAGCTCCTGAGATATCGCCGCAGTATCTAGCGCCCTCGGGAAACCTGTCAGAAAGGCGGTTGGAACATGAGCCGGCCTTTGCTATCATTAGAGTCGTACTTATGAGAGATGGGGCAAGACCTACCTTGTGGTTATCGTATATGGATTTCAGATTTTGGGGGAGCTGGTAAGCAGAAGCTCCCGTTCCCAGCGCGAGAGCGGTAAGAAATGAAGAGGAATGCATGATTGTCTTGATGTCTGGAGCGAGAGAATCACTGACTTGATAGAGTTGATCCTGAATAGAATCGAAAGGGGATGTTTTAAGCTTTTATACCTGACATACACGTCTCTTATAACTTGAGTCCCGTTCATCCCAATAAAGCTGAAGTACACCGTGCCCTGGGATCAATTTCTCCATGCGATGCTTTAAGTGACTAAGTCTCAGGTCTGTCCAAGCTGCCGAACTCCCGAAGCGCTCTTACTTATTGGCCGCTTAACCTTGATAGGAGAGTCAAAACATGCCCCTAGAGTTCTTTGGTAACAATGCGGAAATAAACCAGGGGTAAAACTGCCTAGAACGCTGATTTGTAGTTCCGTGTCTTCAGCTTGCTTCACCCGGCTTACTTGTGACCGTTATCGCCTGATATAGCCATTTAGCTATAGTCAGTACGAATTTCTCATGAAATTGGGATCATCTGGCATAGCTAAAGGCAAAGTAGATCCTATCTTTGAGGTTATTGCTTCAAGGCTCGCGTAAGTAATAGGGCGCGCAGTTTACACCTCGGTAAGGCCTCCTATAGTACCTGCTAACATCGTGAAACACTAAGCAAGATTTCGAAGGATTCATTGATGGAAGGCCCGATAAGCCCCAATGATGGCCGTTAGGGTGTAAAGATCCTTAGGCCCAAATTCGACCCCTAGATCTATAGTAGTTGATAGTTAAATAAAGTTCCACGATCCTCTCCCACTTTAAATCAGCCAATATTAACTGCCGCGTGGGCGATCATCCTTCCTCGGCATTGGCTTCGCTCTATGTTGCTTAGCCAGTTCGATATGAGCTATCGGAGAAATTACAAGCCACAAGTCTATGTCTAAGCAGCTACGTTAAGTTTTACTCAAAGCTCTTCTGGTAACTATCAACAGGACTTCTACTCTAGTAGAGCGCCCAAAGCTCATCAATAAGTTAGGGGCCGGAACTCCCAACAACTTCATCACGTCTTTGCCGCTGACAATCCAATACACCCCTGTCTTTTTTCCTAGGGCTGAAAAAAAAGGTACAAGTCAAGACGGCTGTTTGGTCGTACCATTCCCTCGGCACGTCCCGACATGGCAATCCGTATTGCACTTGTACGATTAGACCTTTTCACTACTCAGAGGCAGACTATCCAGGCGGGGAACAGCTAGCATAGATCAGTATGAAGAAATCCGGAGAGACCGGCTGTAATGTAACGTCGGCCTCCACTCGGCAATCTGTATGCGGGATGATGATCGTTGTGGTATGATCGTTGCTCAAAGAGGAAGTTCCATTGTCTCTCTGCACAATAGTTCCCTGGGGTCGGCCGCCCAGCCAGATCATCAAGGTTGCGTTCGACGGCATCGTATAGGAAATTCGTAACGTAGCATATTCTTTAGAATTAACAGCCAATGAATAACGTGTTTTTAATGCCGAAACTCTCGAAATCCTCCTGTTCCTTAGCTCAGTCTGGGCCGAAGCTAGCCCAATCGAGTATCCCATACCCATACCCAAGCACGTTTCGAAACAGGAATCGAAATTCGAAGGGATAAACTAGTGTGACAAGTACAGAGCATGTCATAGATATCAAATCCGATAGGAGATTTCAGAAAGGCAAATCCGTATTTATTCATCGAGCAATGGAGTTTATCCTTGAGGCATGGGAAGCGTATGTATGAGGTCTCGCCACAATTTAAAATGCCCGCTTACCCAATGGTACTTGAATGCAGGTTAACGGGCCGAATAAGCCCAATATCCTGACCAGCTGGCCCTATGCAGTAAGTTAACGGAAAGAAATTGCGAGAAATCTGGCTGAGACAAATAAGCGGAGTTCAACTGATCGGCATCATGTCAGGCTGAGATGATATTCCCCGGACTATATATCTACGATGATAGTCTAGTGATACTCATTCTCACCTCACCAGCTCCACAACAGCCTCTGGACAATATGCACTACTCTGCTCTCCTTCCCTTGATCCTCGTCGGCTCCGCCTCAGCATGGCTTCCCCATGAGCACGACCTAGCAGCATTTAACCAGACTGCTCGCCACGAACAGCTCGGGAAACGATTCAAGCCAAACTTGCCCAGCGGCGTAACCAAGATCCGTGGAGTCAACTTTGGAGGTGAGTACCCAATATCCTTCTCAGTGTACATCTGCTAACAAGCACAGGCTGGCTCGTCTGCGAGCCCTGGATGCAGCGAGATGAATGGGCAAACGTCCTCAAGTGTGGCGACTCTGTATCCGAGTTCGACTGCATGCGCGATCACTACCTAGGATCAAACCGTGAAACCGGCAACAGTCGTTTCGAACAGCATTGGAAGAACTGGATCAACCCCGCAACTGTGCAGTCGGTCCATGACGTAGGACTCAACACCATCCGGATCCCCATCGGATACTGGTCCTACACTGATATCGTCGACAAAGCCAGTGAGCCTTTTGCTGATGGAAACCGCATGCTTCCTTACCTCGACGCTGTCGTTCAAAAGGCTGCTGACCTCGGTATCTATGTCATCATTGATCTTCACGGTGCTCCTGGAGGCCAGCAGGAAGATGTTTTCACTGGCCAGAACAACAAACCAGCTGGATTCTTCAATGACTATAATTTTGGCCGTGCCCAGAAGTGGCTTGCTTGGATGACGAACCGCATTCATACTAACTCTGCTTACTCTACCGTTGGTGTGATCGAGGTCCTCAACGAGCCTGTATCTCGCCATGATGCAAACAACCGCTATCCTGCTCCCGGCGAGGACCCAGGCTTGATCCAAAAGTACTACCCTGCTGCCCTCAAAGCCGTTCGCGATACTGAGGCTTCTCTCAAAGTCCCCGACAACAAGAAGCTTCACGTGCAATTCATGTCCAGCAAATGGGACTCCGGAAACCCCCGCTCCGTATCCTCCGTAGCCAACGATCCCTACACTGCTTTCGACGACCACAACTACATCGGTTTTGCCCTCGGCAACAACAACGGCGATCAGTATCAGCTCATGCACAGCGCTTGTACTGACTCTCGCCTCGTTAGCGGCCAGGACTTTACCTTCACTGGTGAATGGAGTATGACTTCGAACGCTGATTGGCATGACAAGAGTTTCTTCAACAAGTTCTTTACGGCTCAGCAGCAGCTGTATGAGAAGCCTGGTATGGCGGGTTGGATTTACTGGACTTGGAAGACGGAGACGAATGATCCAAGATGGACGTATTCATACGCCACGTATCTAAATTACATTCCTACTGATGCTGCTGGTCTGGAGAAGAATGTCTACCAAGACGTTTGTGCTGGTTATCGATAGATTCAACTTGTCATTTCTTGTCGAGAATCAGGGGCTAGAGAGAAAGCTCTTGGTACTATACTAGGTAGTCTTAAAGTTCTACGCAGTCTTTGCCAAATTTACCTGAGTCTACTTATGATTTAGGAAACGATATCTTAAGTTCCCTTGCCCCCTCTTGACATGCTGTTACACGTTATCTCAAGAACCTCTCTGGTCTTTTCGATATTGATCATTCCTATTTCGATCATCTAAATGACCGTCTTTGAAGTCATGAATATCTTTTCCATGTACTTGAGCTTGAAGAGTATGGGCATCCATTCATGATCCTTTCATCGCACTCGTCTATTGAGCTTCAACTCTAGCTCCAAAGACCTTCAACGCCTTCTTGCTAGCCTCTCTCACATCCATCCTCTCAAAGTATCTGACGACGTTCTTCCTCCCTGGATGAAGTATCCATGGCGCCATACCCGTGGTCTTTCCCTTCATCAGACTATAGAAGTGAATGTCCGCCGCCGAAAACCTCTCACCGCAAAGATACGTCTTTCCCTCCAGCTGCTCATCCAACAGGTTCAGATACTGCTGAATAATGACCCTCTATGCAAATCTCGCTTCGGGGATAGGAATCCGATGTCCTATGTAAAAGTCTGCAGTTCCTGGGTCATTGCGAACCCACGAGATGACAGGTTGTGCGATTTCAAGGTCCATTCGTCTCAGCCCTGAGCCACATGCGTGTTTCGGGACGCTCGCGAGGTGTTTCGCCAAAGAGCGACTTGCCACCGTGGGCTGTCTCATCGAGATATTCGCAGATGGCGGTAACCTCAGTTAGGACAAATCCATTATCGAGAACGAGAGCGGGAACCTCCCCTCGCGGGTTGATCTTTCGATATTCAAGGCCTCTGTTCTCCATGTTCATGACGTTGATGGTTTCGACATCGAGGCTAATGCCGCCTCTTTCGAGCACAAAGAGGCGAACAACCATTGGGTTGGATGCTGGGGCGTCGTAAAGCTTCATTGCTGCTCGTATCTGAGAAGGCTACTAAAATTTCAACAATCCGGATGATGAAAGGACAAGATTGGAGGCTGGGCTTCTGTCAGCAGTGACGTTTTATATCCCATCAAGCCAAATAGAGTTTTGGCCCCCTCGACCTCAGTAAGCCCCAAGGACGCGTCAACGTTATCTACCTATGTAGACACTCCAGGACAGCAAATGAATACCCAAGACTGTGTTGGCCTAATGGCCGACACTAGCCTAGCTATGGTTTCCAATGTCAGCGCGAGATTGCAATCGCCAACCCTTCACAGCATCATATATACTAAACAAAAATGTAAACGCTCCACCAGCCAACGCAACAACCTGATCCAAATCCGTAAGAGAGACGTTACTCTTGGGCATAAATCTTATCATACGAGTCTGGTATCCGAGCACGCCCGCAGCAAAGGCCATTGTGTTGCCAGCAAACCCATACTTGACGACGGAGATGATACCTGCGATGAGAACTGAAGCAAAGATATTCGACCACTTCTCAAACCCGCTGCGCCTTTCTTTGGGTCTCTCTTGGTCTTCGGTGCTAGAAGGCTTCGCTCTGCGATACATGGTGACAACAATCGTTCGAATAGTTGAGACACCAGTTAAGATAGCCATGATCCCCGATATGAATCCCAATTCTAGAACAAAATTGAACAGAAACGGTCGAGCAAAAGTGCTCCTTGACACCGGAAGATCAGGATATGTAAAGAAGATAACCAGCTACGGTGAAAAGCACAAAAAGGTCGAGACAGCAACACAGCCTAGTCGCTTCCACTGATATCTCCTCCACGCAGCGCTGTGCAGGAAAATCGCCAGAAATACGTAGAATTCGCACATAGCGAGCGGAGCCTCAAGCGCAGCGGCGAGTTGGATATCTTCTGGTGAATCGCTCAACAACAACCGCGGACGATCAGGCCGGTCATATTTGACTAGTTGATAGAGTGCATCTGCAGCTGCGACTACAGGCAGTGTAAGCGCTGCGATTGTGTCGTTTGTGATTGAATCCAAGCGTTTCGTGACTGGGTTGATAGTCCAGCTTATGAAGACGGAGGCTACGATGATGAGCCAGCTCCAGAAGGTGCCGGGGCCGTAGAGAGAGGATACTAGGGCCCAGCGATTGAGGTCTTCCGTTGTATTTGCCATTGATTAGAGGTTTTGGTCGAATATGTGGAGTTGGGCCCGTCGTTGATAGTCTGAAGTACCTTAGTTATAAGAAGCGATTGTGCCTTGTGAGGACGAAAACGCCTTGGCGCTAAAGCTGAGCTGGACGAGGCAGTGTTGAAGAGGCCAATTAGATTGACGGTAAGTAAAGCTGAAAGATACGCGTAAAGGCGCATTCGTTATTGATCAAAAGTGAGAGTTTGGTCTTCTCTGAAATCATGAATAAGTGTTTTAACTTGTAATACTTCTTCATAAGATCAGCTTTATTGACACTCACCAAGCTGACCGGACCATCTCTGTTGAAACACATTCTGGCTCAACGCCATGATCAGATCGTAGTCACCATTTGCTCACCAAAATCCAATTGGACACTATCGTAGTATGTAAATCAGATGGACATATCCTCCAAGCACCTGCTGTGACCTACAGATCCAGCAAGTCCATCAGGTGAGCGGATATTTGTCCGCACCCCCGACAGCCTCCATCCTCAAGCTCAAGCCACCACAAAAGTGTCGGACCCAGAATTGGCCCCGATTCCGCTAAGTACAAACAATCCAACAATGATGTCACACTTCAATGATCAATCCAGATGGTCAAGATTTCAATGCTCAATTGCTGGGGAATTATCATCCAAAACATCTATGTAGACCAACAAAAACATATCCCAAAAAAAAACTACGCAAAATGTCATTCATATGAGTACAACCGCTCTTTCTTTCTTTTCCTCCTCTTTCATTAAGATACAGCCAATCCCTTTACCAAGGCTTGACCTTGAGCATGCTACCCTCCTCAGCCAGAGCCTTGTGCAGGTCGAAAGCGTTGAAGAGAAGGTGAGGCTCGTGGCCCATACCCTTCTTCAGACCCTCCGACTCAGCCTTGTCGAAGTAGTGGCTCAGGATGGGCTGGTACTTGGGGTGCGCGCACTTGTTGATGATGACACGGGCACGCTCACGGGGTGAGAGACCGCGCACGTCGGCGAGACCTTGCTCGGTGACGATGACGTCGAGATCGTGCTCGGTCTGGTCGACGTGAGTCACCATGGGGACGATGCAGGACACACCGTGAGGATCGGTCTTGGAGGGTCGGCTGGATGGTGTGTGCATGATAGAGTACTTGGAGTTGCGGAGGAAATCGGCTGAGCCGCCGAGGCCATTGAGCATGCGTGTTCCACTAACGCAAGTGGAGTTGGCGTGGGCAAAAATATCGACCTCGACGGGGGTGTTCATGCCGATGACACCGAGACGCTTGATGATCTCGGGAGCGTTGGAGACAGCTTGGCTTCGGAGGAGGATCTTGTCGGCGTAGGCATCCCAGTTATCGTAGAAGCGCTTGAAACCATCGGGCGAGAAGCGGATTGATGTGGCGGTAGCATAGTCGAGCTTTCCAGAGTCGAAGAGATCGAGGAAGGTGTCCTGGATGACCTCTGTCCAGACCTTGAGGTTCTTGAACTTGGACTCGTTGAGGCCGCCGACAATAGCGTTGGCGACGTTGCCGATACCGGACTGAAGAGGCAGAAGGTTGGCAGGCATGCGGCCCTGGGCAACCTCGTGCTCGAAGAACTCAATCAGGTGGCCGGCGATCTGGCGAGAGGACTCGTCGGCATCGGCATTAGGGCCGGTGGCATCCCAGTAATCGGACTCGACAATAGCGACGACCTTGGAGGGGTCGACCTTGACTGAGGGGGAACCAATGCGGTCCTCGACAGCGGTGATGTTGTAGGGAGTGCGGTGGGGAGGAACGTCGGTAAAGGTAATGTCGTGGAGACCCTTGAAAGAGGGGATGGCGGTGTTGACCTCGATGATGATCTACCAAGCGCAATTGTCAGTGACTAAAAGTCGGCGATGCGGGCTTGAGCTTGGCGGTGACGTACCTTGTCAGCCATCTGAATCAACTCGGGAGTAGCACCAACAGAGGCACCCGGAACAAAGCTGCCATCCTCGAGAATGTCTGTAGCTTCAACGACGGTGACATCGAGGTTGCTGTTTGATCGATCCTTGGTGTAGAAGCCCTAGGGTCAAATTGTCAGCCGATTGTCTTATCGGAGCCGCAATAGCTCGGTGGGAGATTAAAGCGAGGCCGGGTGGTGGGGCCGCAATCAACAAATTTCCATTCTGCGCTTTTGCGGTTACGTACATAGACGAGATCAGAGGGGAACATGGACAAATGCTTGTCGAAGAAGTTGATTCGTCCAGAGTTGATTCCCTTGGCGATGTCCTTGCCGACCTGGTGAGGGCTTCGTCGGTTGATCATGTCGAGAGCAGCCCATCGGTTCTCCGTCTCGGAACCGGCCGAGGCACCGACGAACAGGGAGTACTTCATCTTGCTCTGGAGGTTGTTCTGCTCGACGTAGTCGGCCATAGCAGCGGGAACCTTCCTGTTGCGATTGTCAGTTGCATTGTTTGCGCCAAGCTCGGGTAATGACGAGAATAGCCGGTGCGGAGTCTGAAACTCGACACTCGAAGTAATTGCAGAGCAGTGAACTGTGCAGAAGAGGTGAGTAAACGTACTTGGGGTATCCAACAGCTGTAAAGCCAGACCAGCCGATATATGAGCCATTGGGAAAGTGGTGCATCAGATCCTCAGGTCGCGCAAGCTTCTTAAGCATAGCGGGATTGCGAACGCGCGCCTTGAGGGCGGCAGAAGCAACAGGTGAAGCCATGATGATCTGAAAGCAAAATGTACCAAAAGGGAGAAGAAAGAGGGGAGATTGTTCCGTTCAAGGAGGAAGTGTAAAAAAAGAGGAGGAGGAGGAAAGGATAAATAAGAGGGAAGAAAGAGAAGACAGCTCCAGCCTTGGTTAGTGGAGGTCACTCAATTGGATTGGCTTCGTCGGGGTGACGGTGACGAGGGGTGGATCACCGAAACCCACTGAGTCTTCAGAGCGGGGATGCATCCCTTCCAGTGGTTGGCCCGTCGGTTATAGTGGACGCTTCAGGGTGTCCTTTCTCCAAATTTGCATTCAGGTACCGTTGTGCCTTTTGGTTCAGCGAAGAGGTACAACGCGGAGAGAAGGGAAGTTCTGCCAAGCACCGGATTTACAATTCCGTTATATCATAGGGAGAAACAGTGTAACCTAAGCAGAGAGAATAACTTGCTGATGCAGTTGATCTCTAGATCTACCGACGTTGCCGAGAGGAGAAGTGCATCGGTCATGACACTATTAGGCAATACATGCGTGTGGCCTGATTCTCCTACACATCCTTGACTTTGTATCTTGTGACCTCACAAATGCTGACCTTGACTTTCTTGACCCGATGATATTTCTAATTAAATCCATCATGCAAAATACTTCTCTGGGTGAGCTTTACAACTGTAATTGTACACCGGCTCTTCCGCCGTCGAGGGCCTCCGAGTCCGTACCGTGGATCCCCGCCATCTTCTCCAAAACCCCATGCGCCCCATCTTCCGCCCGGCCGAGATGAGCACAGACCACAATCGGCATCACTCGGTTATCAGCCTCCCAAAACAGACAAACACAACACAGATCGCAAGCCATTGAAATTCTAGAACAACCAGTGCTGAAGACGGCGCTTCTTTTTCATCCGGGGTCTAGCGTCTCGGTGCCGTTTTGACTTACCCCGGAAAATTTAGTCGGCAATCAGTCTCGAATCACCGTGCTTGGATATACCCTTAGGTTCGTCGGGACAAGGGTAAGATCTGGGGTAAAAGTATGGGAGTGTGCATTCGGTGGTAGGTTCAATATTAGACTGTGCTTTAAAGTTCCAGGAATTAGACTCGCTAATGGAAGCACCTGTGCAAGTTCAGGTCGTTCAATATGTCGAGTTTGCTCTTTGTCACCTTTGCATGGAGCAATTGTTTTTCGCACCCCAACTGAATGCCCGAAGGCTTTGCAGCCAAGGCCACACTCAGGTCTACTGAAGAACCTCTGATTCTATCCCATCTTCAATGACAAAAAGATCTCAGTAAAGTTACATAAACTTGGGCTGTTTCAGTGCAGATTTAATAGACCATTGGACTTGCTTCAACGTCAGAATGTTAACTTCCATCGACCAAGCAAGTGCGATCTAGGCACGATAGGTTCCTCATTCTACCTCTCAGACAGACAAGCACTCAATTCCATCCTCATCATCATCACCAACAACAACAACATTCTCGCCATATCTTCTACAAGAAAATTCCACAATCATATTCGTCATCAGCATCGTCAAATATGCCTCCTCCAGACTCCCGAGTCGATGTGAACTAGCAGCAGAACATGCGACGTGTGCTCGGCCCCTACGCTCATGGCGGATGGGAAAACCTGTCAATGATGATAGGCTGGTGCTTACATGTTTACGCGACAGACAAGTCCGCTCCGTTACCAAAGCCTTGGAATGATGAAGATTGGGAAAGGTCTGCGAGGTTACAAGCATGGGGAGTACCAGCGATTGTCCCTCCAGCTCTAATGGGTCTCCCCCGAGGAGACAGTCGAGCCCTGGATTGGGGACTGTTTCACCAATGGATTAAGGATGAAAAGAGGATATTGGGAGAGGCAAATGGGCCGGCGGAGGCGGAAGACTTTGGATATGAGCAGCAAGATGATCCATCCCAAGCAGAGGCATTCCACGGAGTTGGAAGTAGTACCGAGGATCCTTATAGGAGTACTGGAACTCCGTATAGGATACTGGAGAACTCATTCGGGCCCTTGGGGGTGACACACGTATCGGGAGGACTTGAAGACTTTGGGCCTATACAGCAGGGTAGTCTTCCTCGGGAGGAGAGACCCTGGCGGGTTGGTAACAGCAGAAAGAGGCCGCGTGAGACAGAAGAGGATGAATCGGAGGAAATACACGGGCTAGGAGGGTCCGACAACTTCGGTGATAGGAAGCCAAGTAAGAGTATCCGAGGGGAGGGATCCATAAGTGTTGGTAACGACATGGAGAAGCTGTATGCCAGCATCATGAATGAGACGGAAGAAGATACATCGGAGGAGATACATGGCCAAGGAGGGTACGACGACTTTGAGGATATGAAACTGAGCACTCATGCCCTAAAGGAGATGCTCAAAGGTATGGATAGCACAGCGAAGATGCTAGATGCCATGATCAACCAACTACCCGAGATGGACTAGGATGGTATAGTTCCTTCGAGCGTGGGCACCAAGACAATCGTCACTGGAGAGAGAGGGAGAGAGAAAGTTCTTTAGTTTGATGAAGCAGTTATCAGTACATGCGGGTACATGGCATTAATAGACGGTTGACAATTCAAGCACGAGTCTACCCATGACTTTCATTCTGTACATGAGTAGCTTCCACGATACAAAAAGTACCTAGCCAACGTTTCTGGGTCTCTTTGCGCTCGGCCTGTGCCAGTCAGTCAGCAAGCGGTAACTGACATGCAGAGAACAATGACAGCCCAAGCATGTCTGGAAGCAGGTTGCCCGAAGTGTAAGAAATAGTCTGATTGTCTATCTGCCTTTCTGGCATCTCATTAAGCTAGAGCTCTGTCTTCCTCTCCAACTGCATTAAGCCATAGGCCACTATCATCATCTAGTCCCTTTCTCAATCCTCATACAACGCATGTGTGACTCACTCACTGTTCCGGGGAGAGCTCTTTCTCACGTTCCACAACATTTTCCTGGGCCTCCTGCGGTGTCACATGGATATACTTCCACTCATCCATAAGAGCCGCTTCGAAGTGAGCCTGCTCCTCAGGAGTCCATACCACACCAACCGGCCACCCAATGAGCGCTGCAATCACATCGTCATGAACGCCCCAGACAGAGAGTCTCCCGTAGCGCTCGATCTCGTCCATGTTCCACCTTTCGCTCCTTCGATTTCGGTTTCTCTCCTTGCGGAGGTGCATCCAGCATTTGTACGTCATGTCTCCTAGGTCTTTCCAGTCCTTTCCACTGTATGTCTCGCCGAAGATGCGCTTGAGGTTTTCTTCCCAGTTGTCGTTGACGATGGTCTTACCTGGGATGAGTGAGTTGTCTATGTAGGTTTGCTTTGGGTCGGGTGTGTCTGGTCGTGGAGCTTGAGAGCTTGGGGGTATGGGACAGAATTCTTTGAGGAGTGGGGATGGAGGAGGAGCCATGCTAGGATCATAGACAGTACCGCCGGTATTGCGCGCGAGATCGCTGACTTTCTTGTAGAAAGCGGTCGAGTAGATTTTGGCAATCATACGCGCCTCCTCGTCCGGGGATCGTTGGTTAGACATGTTGCTCGAGTTCGTAGTTGTGAATGTGTTGTTGTGATAATAGAGTGTCCTTGCTGTAGTGTGATTCTTGTGTTGATGGACCAGCAAATTGTTACGACGTCTAAAGCATCCTTATATCGCCTATTCCGGTGATCGAACCGACCATGAATAACTATCGCGGTGGGGGGATTCAGAGTGATGCAGTGGAACCAGAGGACTGCATATTCCATTCTGATCAACGGCTGATTTCACTTCGTGTCTTCTTCAGGGGGGACTCGAGGGTACTAATGCTATCGAAGCGATAGTTTGGCTGTGATGATACTACCAATCGATACGCAACTCACGGCTATTGACTCCCCCGAACTTCCATTCAGCGCATCAAGAACGGGCTGTAATTTGCTTCGCCAAGTAGCTCAAACCTTTGCGTGTCATTCACTGTTCAGTCGAAACTCTACTGTCCAAAGCTTGAGCTAGATTAGTCGATGGAACCTTCACTTCTGTTGATGCGAGCAATTGGGGTCAACCACGAGATCGATTGTCTGGCTTGAGCTATCGTAATCGCTAAAGTACTCCTGGCCGAGCGTTCCTACACGCTGCTAAGCCTGCCGTTCACCTGCCAGATCCGCATTATGATCTCCGTCGCCTCGTTCCCTGATCGCCAGTTTCCGTGAGTTTGGCTTCTTCCAATCCATGATGTCGTATTCCTCCAGAATCTCGTCATCTTCCAGTATCTCGCCCTCCTCGAGACCTTCGTCTGCCTCCAAAATCATCTCCTCGTCGCTCATAATCTCCTAAAACTCCTTCTCGACCTCGTCTGTGATCGGGTCATCGGGAAACCCAATGAGCGCCTTGACAGTCATTGAGTCAGCTCCCTACTCCGTCAATCTCGCAGCCTTGTCAAACTCCTCCTTGGTCCAGGGACGTCCGAGTCGGTGAGCTCCCTCAGGCTTGTCCTCGAGCTCCTCTTTGGCCTTCTCCGCCATGTCGGCGCAGCTTTCGTACTTATTAACGTGCTCGGGGCCGAGGACACGGGCGACGTTTTGCTGGAAGTTGCGGTCGGCGAGCGGGTTGAAGGCTGGCGCATGGGCACCCTCTGGCTCGGGGGCATCCTCCTTGTTTGGGGCCTGTCGAGGCTTTACGATGGAGTGTCTTCGGATGGAAGCCTTTACAGCAGCGGCATCCCTCGCACGTGCGGAGAGGGGATGAGGGGAGGGCTGGCGAGGGGAGGGTTGGCGAGGGGAGGGCTGGCGAGGGGAGGGCTGGTGAGAAGAGTGCGGGCGAGGAGAGTGCTTTCGGGCGACAACTCTAGGGCCATTGTCCCGACGAGGGTTAGGAAGGGGAGGAGGTGGGCAAGCATACTTTCGCTCATGGGGGGTCACCTCAGAGAGGCGTTTGTAGAGAGGGTTGTTGTAGAACTCCGAGAAGTCGTCATCCTCCTCGAGGTAGTTGTGCTGAGTAGGCATGATGAGGAGCTGCTACAGCAAAGGATGTTTGTACTGGGTGTAGTGTATTCTTGTGGCAATGAGGGTTGTATATTGTGATGGTTTGTGAAGAATAAACTCCAAGGAGATGTTTGTGTGGTGGTGGAAAAGTAAAAGTTTGAGATCATTCCGTCTTGTGGTGGTGATGAGATATTGCTCAGGGGAGGAAATGATTCATCTTGCCGTTCTGCCACTGCTAGAATAGTGGCAGCTACCATGCCCTCACAGTTCGCGCGGCTACCAGTAGTTTGTTCAGAGTTCAGCCGTGAAGACCTGGGGCCTGAGGATAGAACTCTGAAGCTCTGGAACTGATGATGGCTAACTTTCAGGTACTGGGTGATGAGCCTTCCACTGAAGTAAGCCTCGCAGGGAGAGAGAAACTTCTGGTTCTAAGTCAGGATGTCAAACAACGCGGTCTAAAGGCTTAACGAGACATGTTAAACTTATCCAAGGCTTATTATCACATAGAAGGGAGGTCTTGGGCTTTCTTCAGGAGCTTCCTCTTACTTTGGAGTCATTCTTTGGCACAAATTAACATTACTAAGGTACCTGCGCTTAAATATCAGATCGCTCAACGTGCAAGTATATGTCCCCTACACCTACCCCATTCCTGCTCCTTTCCCTTTCCATCGACGCAACACTCGTCTTCACGACCTTCTCGATCGCATCGCCACCACACACAGCGACAGCAACATTACCAGGAACACTTCCAACTGCCGTTCTGATGAACGTCGCGATCTCGGGTCGACCCTCTGTGTGTTCAATGGCCGAAGCGTGCGCACCGTCGAAGTCCATGTCCATCTCCTCCTTCAGCAGCTGCTCCTCCCTACCACTCGAGCCACTCTCCGAAGAGGCACTGGAGTCTATTGAGAAGCGTTCCAGTTCAACACTCGGTCCTCTCGTGGGCTCGTCGATCAATCTTTCACGACTCGCGTTCGCATTGTCACGAAGAATGGCATCAGAAACGGTGCCGCCCCTCGTTGCGGCGACTTGAACATTCACAGAGATGCCCATCTCCTTCGCCCTCGACAGCACACGTGATATGCGCTGAAGATAGGGCTCCGCATGCGCCTTCCGGCGAACAATGTACAACGCGTTGATCTTGCGAACACATCCCGGCGATTGCGTCAAAAGCAGATCCTCGAGAACAGGCGTAGTGAACGATCCTCCCGTTGATGCAGCGATAAGAACAACATTCTCAAACTGCTTCCAATTCGGCACCGCGCCAAAAGGCCCTGCAAGCATAACCCTCATGCTCCCGTTATCACCCCTCATTCCCGTCCTTCGCGCCCAATCATTAAGGTCCCTCGTCAATCCAGTTTTCGTCTTGATCGTAAGCTGAACATCCTGACTCTTCCCTTCAGAATCCGGAATATTGGCGATCGTGAAAGGATGTGGTGTCTCCCATCGGAAAGTCGGCAACCAGATCAAAACATGCTGTCCGGGCTTCCACTTGAAGCCAACGTTTCGGATAGTCATGGTGGTTAATTCGTCGTCGACTGCTTGGATGCTGGCGTCGTATGCGTATCGTACAGATGCATTCGCCGAAACCCGAAGCCTCAGGTTCCGCCAGATCGGATTCGCCGAGCGTGTCACTACATCGTATGCAAATACGCCAACGGCGCACCAGATGCTAAAGAGGTGATGGTCTGGAACGTGAAGGACCAAAAAGACGAGAAGTAGTACGACTGATATGATATGCTGTACCACGAAGAGTTCGTACTTCATACGTCGGAAGAAGGGCAACGTTGACGCAACCGTCCAAGCTAGGATGAACCACGCTCCGATTCCTGGTAGTACCATCTTGACGGTCTTGATCTCGGTCCAGAAGAAGCTAGCAGCTAGCCATTCCCATGCGAAGAAGCCGCCGTGGATGGTTGCGCTTGCGAAGAAGATCCTTGATGCCCATCTGTGGTACCAATTGAGTCTCTCGTACGAAGTTCCCAGTAAGAGACCAATTGGGTTGACGCGCACAGCTAGGAGGAAGGGTAATGAAGTCTGGGTCGCAGTTATCCAAGCGGCGCGAAACGCAATGCGCTCGTGGAAATTGGTATCGTGGTGAATGGACTTGTACGTTACAAGACCCGCCACGAACGCCGTGTACGCGACAACGACAATTGTCTTGCGAACTGGCAAAGTCGCCGACCGAACTGGGAGTCGAAATACTCTTGATACAAGAGCCTTTGGCGCATCAACCAATTTCTCTACCGTCGAGATTGACGTATCTGAACTCGCCCCAGCATCTCTTCTTTTTATCCTGTAATGTCTCAGCCTTATTCCCAAGTTCTTTGGGTTGACATACCGTTGTTTAGCGATAAAAATAGATATTAACCGTGAGACAGAACCAATTATCAACACCATCGCCAAGACATACCAGAAAAGGCACGCGAGAAAGTGCTGCCTCACCGAATCCTCGCTCTGATGCCCATGACCATGGCCATGCTCCTCTTCTTCGTGGCCGTGTCCATGACCGCCGTGTCTTCTTAACAAATCCATAACGATTACATGGAGAAGAGGAGGAGGTTGGATTGAAAGCTAGCTTGATCAACAGGGTAAAGTAGATTACGTGATGCGAAATCTCCGGATGGGCCGGGTCGTAATTGGTGGAGGGGAGGGAATCTTGCTCAAATGGACTCAGCCACGAAGAGTCTCGAAGGACATTGACAATGAGCGACTACAGCATTTGAGCTGTGTTCAATTGGTAGAATGATCTTCTGCATTGAGACGGCTGAACTTAATCTCAGCTTTGGGATGATGCTATTTTGGGAGCATTACCCTATACCACCGTGGTTTGAGAGACGTGTTTACGAGGTAAAGTGAGGAGTGAAGCTCTCCGAATAATATCTTGTCGGCGATTGGATAGCTCGTATACGGCGTCTAGCAGGGTACATAGAGTATCTAACTTACTCGGGACCATTGCGCAGTTCTCGTCGGGACGCAACAATACTTTGAACCATGAAATAGATGCAAGAATAAACTCATGAGAGAATCTTCTAAGCTCATACAACTGTACCTGAATCTTTCTGTCGCTCGGGATACGTCCCCTGAGAAGCATGCTGAACAACATCGATGCGGTCAAGGCAATTTCCATTAATTGGAAGTCTTGACCTTTCTGCATCTTACTGGGCAGTAACTATTTATGCAAGGGAATACGTTGACCAAGCCGAGAGAGGCCAGTCACGAGGACCCCTCATTGTCCCTAATTCCCACGATACCGCCGCCATGACTGGGGGCTCTCCTTCATGCTCAAGGCCAAGATGCCCAGAAAGCCGAGACCAACGAATTCGTGATCTCTAACCCATGCTCATTGTATCCAAGACCCTCACCGAATGTCATGACGCAACTCCCAAGTGCAAGCGCATTGACCGACGTCGCCAGCTCAAACGTCCAACTCATCACCTGCAAGGCGTCCAATGTCTCAGCCCGTATCAACATTCTTCCTCATTCCCAATCACCCACTGCCATTCTCAGCACTCTCTGCCGATCACCCATCCGTAAGCGGCTTCACTCGTGCACATGACCAAGCCACCGATCGTCAAGCTGCATAAACAGCGTCACATTCTAAAAAGACATGTGAAGTTCAATTTTCGCAATCGATACGACTCTATTGGTTCCGATGTCGGGCGCGTCATCTGTCTCAGCCAGTGTCTCTTTAATGGGCATGAGGAAGAGATAGGCGTTTATAAAAAGAAAGGGTTTTGGAACATGCAGTGATTTGTTGGTGGTTGGAGATTAACTTGCAGCTTGGTAGAGGCACAGCTCGTAGGTGGCTGTCAGGCAGTCTCTTTTTTTCGTTCCTGGGCGTGGCACCCCAAGAACCCCCAAACAAGGTTATCATGTGCAACACGAGATCACTCTACCACGACGAGGAATGGTCATGCAAAAAGAGGGTGTTGTCGTTTTATTGCATCAGATGCACAGAAATCTGATCTTGATGAAACCCCTCGGCTGCTCATCGCATCTTATCTTTCACATGCTACGAAATACACTGATGATAGGTTCTCGATGGTTCAGGCACAGGCGCAGGCACAGGTCCAAAGTGAGTTGTCATGCATTGGATCTTCTTCTATTTCTGGGGATCCTACCAACAAGTCCCAAGCGCTTGCCAAGGCCTTTACCCCATTCACGATTCCTCTCCCATTTTCAGCGACGGCGTCAAACAGCCACGGGAAGACCCGACGTACAAAAAAAACAAGAGGTCTGTGTTTCAGACGCTGGGATCACCCCCGCGATTGAGTGAGTGAAGTGGGTGAGTGATTTTAGGCGCTCTGTGAAACTGGTCTGTGACTTCTGGATCAAAAGCTGGGTGATCAGTGCGAAAAAGAACGGACGAAAAAAAAAAACGAGACCTTGGATGATTTGCATATCAGGTTCAGTTATTGACGGGTCGACATATGCAGACATGGATGGGTTATGTACAGATGCATCGGTACATGTATTTGTGTTCCCACTTGATGCTTGACACGTGGATACCATGAAGCATACTGGTAATAATCCTGAGACTGTGATCATGGGCATCACTGAGTCGTCTTTGTGAGTACATTGTTCAGCTACTGTGGCAAGTCTTCAAGACTTGTGCAATCCTACAGAGCACGGCGTCGAGAAGTGTAAACGCCAGCGGACGGACCGACAGACAGCCAGACAGACAGAAAAAAGGCGCAGCAACGTGAGAGCGGGCCGCCCAAAAGCCAAGTCCCAATTAACCCCTGTCGCTCGCCTGCGTGACGTGGGACCAACCCTGCTAGACCCCTTCTAACTCGTTGGTGTCAAAAAGAGTGACTGGATGGAGGTGTACAGTCCTGTAGAAGCAGAAATGTCGGTCCCTGCAGGCGAGATCGATAGACTGCTTATTCCCTTCGGTATGTTTGTTCCGTAACCCACCGACTTGAGCTGTTCCTGAGCTGATGAGAACACAGAGCCTAGATACTAAGGTAGACGAGAGAGACAGAGACACTAGAGACGGGCATCATGCCGGGCCACCCCCAGACACTCGGACTCTCGTTTGTGTCGGGGGATACAGTGATACAAGCCCATGTCTGTCTCTCATTTTCACTCACTCTCGTCAAGAGCATGTGAAGATGAATATCCAACACTGGTCCTACAAGCCGTCCACGTCATATGATTCCCTGCTTCACATTCCATACTTGCTATAATTACAATATCTTCCCATTCTCTCTGCACTCTGCACTCTGCACTCTGCACTCTGCATTTTTCGCTTTCTCTCGGTCCACCACCTCCTGCAAAGCCCCATAACTTTCTCTTCTCTTCCGGTCCCGCAGCCGATCGTCAACGCGCAAAGCCGTCGTGGGTCATACCGCAACTCCACCAATTGAGTAACAAACAAGCTCCACTGGCCTGGCTAAAGTTTGGGTAAGGTGATGTTTTTCTCGTGGTAAGCGGTTGACGGTTTGGACTAACTGGATGGGCTTGAAGAGAAGAAAAAAACAGGACCGAAGGACTAAAACAACAACGCACCGCTTGAGATCGTCAATATCATTCGACTTGGGATTGACGACGTGTGATAGAACAAGGCATAGCAGATTGACAGTCAAGTAGACAGACAGACACTCATATTGTCTTGCTACTCTACTCTCACTCTTCAGCTTAAGCTTATTGTTACTCATAAACAACCTCAACTTCACTCCAACCTACCGGCTTTTACTCCCGACATTCCTCAATACACATTACAAACCAATATCCACCATCAAAACACCAACTCGTCCTATTTCATCAACGCTAATCCTTAGGTACATGACACCACCACCGTCGTGCATGTCCTTTCACCGCCCAGAGGCCAATCCAACACCCCTGGTCCCCAGCATCCCGCTTAGAGCCCCTGCTAGGGCCCTGAACTTTTTCTCAACTAGGGTGCCTTTGGTTCAACTTGGGTTAAGTTAAATAACAAGAGAAGGGCAGACCGCAACTTTTGGTCTCTTGTTTGTTTCTCCCACAACCAGGTTTTTTTCGCCTTCGCTTCGCTTCACCGCGGAATAGAAGTGGAAAGCTTATCCCCCTTTACTCCTTTCTTATATATTCATTACTTTGTCCTTCGTTTTTTGTTGTTGGTGACTTGGACCTTGGCTGGACTGGGTCGGAGATTTGTGTCTGTCGCTTTTTGGGGGATTATTAGCAAACGGGTGCTGTTGTGAATACCCTCTACCTCATCATACCTACACCCATTTACCTTCTCTTACTGGAACGACTCGCCACAAATTAATCTCACCTTCAATTCACCTTGCCTTATACTTCGACTGGTCAGCTTGGCATCGTCGGATGTTCGCCCGTCATGGAGGAAAGGTCTGAGTCGCGAGCTTCAGGCACAACATACCATAGCTTTGCAGACACGGAGTTGTTTGAGCCTATGTCTCCCCCTCGACCACCGGTTACCCACGATACAGCCAGTCTTCAACACCTCGAGCACCTTCAACATGAGCTTCAGCGTCAGCAGCGTGAGGCTCCGAGTAGCAAGGACTGGGTGAGAGAGCGTCGACCTGGCACGGCAAAGATGCAGCGACAGGATTCAGGCTATGAGTCAAACACGCCCCGACGAACCTCTACCTCTAACACCTCCCACGGCGGGTCTACTATCAACAACGCTCACCTTCTTGTTGGCCGCCGCTCGTCAAATGGTTCTTCCAAGGACGGTAGCGGTAGTGGCAGTGGTAGTAGCAACGGCTCAGGAGTGAGATCTCGTTTCAGAGATCGTCGCCCTTCGCTCCGTCGAGCAGCAAAGACTCATCCCGTTCAACCAACACGCACATCCAACCAATCCCTCCACCTCGTACGCACCGCAACAGCTACTTCTCCCCCCAAACAATCCGCCGCATTCTTCCACTTCCCATCGCCAGATCCCATTCAACTCGCCGACACTGTTCCCGACCGCCGCGTGCAACCCACGCCCATCCCCTCACCACCGCCTCAGACAACACACTACTGGACCAGCGACCGCACCCGCCGTCTTGAATACGCCGCCATCGACGCTGCGACGCGCGGTGTCAAGGGCTGGGTGCTGCGACATCTCGTGCCTGATTGTTTTGTGTCGTGCGAGAATAAACATGTCTCGTTCGATGATGATTCAGGCAGCGTGAGAAGGTATAGACTTGAGCTTGAGGATGATCATGTTGAGAAGGCGGGAGGAAAGTGTGTGCGGCGACGCAAGGCATGGAAATTCTGGCGTCGCAGAAAGGTCGATGCTCAACCTACGGCCTACATCTGAACACACCCAACTACCTCATCCACGAACAAAGAAACACTACAACACCCCCCATATCGCATCGCATCGCATCGCATCGTTGGCGTTATATACCCGTTGGCTTTTACATCGAGTTAATTTTACAGAAAGAACACCTGCATGATACAAGAAGATAATGATTTGATAGCATTTGGAGCGAAAGAAAGAAAGAAGGAATGCAAGAAAGTATGATCTAGATGAAGAGATGTCGCATGAAGCTTCTATTCTGGTGAGGGAAGTTATTTATTCTCTATTTTATTTTATTTACCTGCGCGTTACTATTTAACAGATATTTTCGGCACTTATTATTACTATTTATACCATAAGCATAGTTAGTATTGTTTAAAGACAAGAATGATTGACTTTTAGGCAAACATGTCATGTCCAACCTCGTGAGGTCCGTGACCCGTTGTTCTTTGTTCTCCGGGTGTTCAATAGCTTGGACCGAGCGTTGTTCGCAAGCTCGGTGATGATATAATGACCGGGCCTCTCGATTGACCGCCCAATTTCTGAATACTCCAATTCTAACTGCCGATTTACAATGGCACAGCCGATCTGCAAGAAACAGCCCATGATGCTCATCTCGCCGAGTGAAACGCCGGCCACGAGCCGCTCCGTCTCCGAGGGTCCACTCCGGAGGTCAGCTTCGGAGCCTTGTCAAGCGATACTACCGATCCGGCGCAAATCCCTGGAATCAGTGGCTCCGCTGGCCAGGGAAGAGGGAACTGATCGGGAGGTGGAGAAAGTTCCGATGAGTTTTGCGAGGATTGTTGTGAATATGCAGGAGCATTACACGGCGGAGTTGGAGGCTGAGAGACAAAGAACGGAAGACTTGACGAGGCAGAATGAGGAGATGATGAGGAGGATGGGGGAGATGGAGATGAGACTGCAGATGCATGTTGTTCTCATGGATGGATTTGTTGGGTTCATGAGGGATGTCAAGGAAGGGAAGTTTGCAACTGGCGGAGGTGCTGAACTTGAGATTGCAAAGTCATTTGGGGGAGAGCATCTTGACGAGGTCCGAGGGCTTGTAACGGGGAATTACATGCCAGTTCAACAGAGCGTGGAGCAGCCAGCTACTGAGCCTATGGTCTTTGATGATGAAGACGAACCTCACGAAGCAGCGCTAGCAGTCGTTCGACACGTCAGCTTTGATGAGTCGCCATCGACGCCAGACCTGGAAGCACCTCCTGTACGAAGCACTGGACGACGAGCACCAAAGCGCAAGAATCCTCCTTTAAGGCCGCATCGCGAGGTCAAACGCCAAACAAGAGCAACTTTGCGGAGTGTTCGACTTCGTGACACTTCATCGTGGACTGCCATCAACACGAGGAATTCTCCGTATGCAGGCGCTGACTTGAGCAATGGAGAAGACAAGGACCTTGACTTCACTCCTGATCTGGAAGTTGACGAAGATGACGAAGAGGAGGATGAAGAGCAGGATGTGGTGGAGGACGATAGCGACGATGAGATGGAGGATATCCCAAATGCACCAGCAACACCATCGCCATCCCTCTCAGACGAAGATCGCGAAACCACAAAGACAAGATACTCCGCCCCCCGCTCCGTCGCATACCGCTACGCCAGCGGTCCACCCGGGCGCAAGTTCAAATACCACCGCATGCCCAAGTCCGTCGCGTTAGTATGGCAAGAGTGGAAGCACGGCAGTAACGGAAATCCATCGATTCAATCACTCGAGGAAAAGTACAGCACGAGATGGCGAATGGGGACGTTGCAGGAACGCAAGTACGCGAGCAACTATGTTGGTGTGAGACAGAAGGTTGTGAGAAAGGTGGAGGAAATGTGTGAACAGAAGGGACTGGCGCCGGAAAAGGCTTGTGAGATTTTGGATAGACGCGTTGATGGGAGGATGCAATTGCTCATGACGGCCCTGAGGAAGGGACAGGATCCGTTGGTGGTTATTCCGAGGCGGTAGTATGTCAATCAGCGATGTTGATCAAAGAGACAAATGACTTGAATCAGAAATGGCCATTGTGAGTGAGTGACTGAACAAGCGAACAAGCCTCATTCAGGCGTTGTTACAGACAAGTGTTCACTGGCCTGAGAGACAGGCCCTTTCTTCGATGAACAACTTCTTTGACGCCTGCAACACCAACCATTGCTTTGTCTTCACCACCTGAACATTCATACACTTGCAGAACATGATCTATCATTTCACCCACAGACCTCGCTACCAATCATTAAAAGCACTTCGCATACCGTTTTCTCACTTGACCAGCTTCAAACTCTCGAAGCTACACAACACTTTACCCACTGTCTCTACAATACGTTACTCATTGTGATTAAAAGAAACGCTTCAACACCATGTGCTATATACAGGTCGTCCATATCACGCGTTGCGAGACCCGTCGTCCAGCCATCATTAACACTACTACCGGCAAAACAGTCTACCATCCACTCGAACCCCCTGGGACCTGCGAGCACCGCCGGCCCTTTCGCGACGGAACATGTCATTACCATGGCGACTGCTGCTCACCCGGGCAGATCTTCTTCTGCAACGCAAAGGGCCCTAAGGATATATGTCGTGGTAGGCAGGCCTATCACATAACCATTCATCCTCGTTACATGTACGAATCCGGTATACTTCACCAAATGGAACCCATCGAAGACTGGGAGGCCCTCGAGATGACCACGGATGTCTTCGCGTACGAGGAGGATATTCGGTATCAGTTCTTTGAGGCCGGCGCGTTGATGTATGAGCTTGAGCAGGACGCCGAGAAGCTTGTCGAGTATATTCTGAGCAACCAGACCAGCTGTCCCGAGGAAGAGGCAGAACTGTTCCTTGAGCATGGCGATCTTTATGAGATGTGGTGTGAAGCGCATCACCACTTCGTGGGACTGATGGAAGCGTGGGAGATTCTAGCGAACGTAGGCTGTATGGAAGTCTGCCCGTCTTCCCTCCTGCGCGTCCATCCCTGGCGAGATTGCTTCCAGGAACGTCCTACGCTACCGAAAGGATTTCCGCACTTTAGTGGTCTTCCATTTGCTTGGATCGACAATGTCGAACAGCAGGATGATATTCTGCGATGGCATCCCTATTACTCTGAGCACCAGGCACCACCTCGTCCAGAACCACGTATTAAGGACGATGCGCTGTGGACTGCGCCTGCGCCACATGGTGCCAATCCAGGGTTTTCCGAAACGACCTCTGCACGGGACCCCGAGGTTCGGGAGGAGATCAAGGTGCTGCCATATCCAGGAGAATGGGCGGAGGTGCTTGAGGATAAGGCTCGACGGATGGCTCAGATTGAAGCTGAGCCTACTTCGCTTTCGTCGAGTTCAGGACCAGAAATACCCCCGTGGGTCATTCCTTATGGTAAGGAACCGGATATGGGATGGAAGGATATCGATTGGCATAAATGCACCACCATTGTTGAACCGCCTATGAGCCCGAAGACTCTTCCGCGCAAGGGAGTGGTTCGTCGGGTCATGCCTCCGAAGGAGAGTTACATGAACCCTAAGGACGCGCCCAAGAGTCCAACAGCTCTTCCATACAGAGGAGAGTCCCCGAAGGCCAGTCCCCCATGGCAAACTCAACCTATATCTAAGGAGGTTATGCCTGGAAATCTCTTCGGCGACCCTCTCGAGGCTCAATGGGATAGGTATAGCTTTACTAGGACGGAGAAGCCGGCAGAGCAGGAGTTTCTCCATATTCCTTCACCAGTGAAGGAATCTCAGATCGTTGCACCTAAAGTAAAGAAGACCTTGAAAAGGAAGAGTGAAGAAGACCTAGATGGTGGGATTCAGAGGAAGAGATCGAAGGGGGTGGAGATATTGGCAAAGAAGGCGATTCTTCATGGCCCTTCTCTACAGGCGTATTTTCAGGCCACTGCATGTAGAGCAGTGGGGACACTGAAGAGAAAGAGCGAAGAGGATTTGGATTGGGGGATTGAGAGAAAGAAGCTGAGAGTTTGTACTGTTTGAGTGGATTCTTGAAGTTCAGGGAATTCAGGGAGTTTAAGGCGTTCAGGGGTCTAGGATTCAGGAGTATTGGAGTTCAAGCGTTTGGAGTTCAGGCGTTTGATATCAAAAGTCATAGATGGGCTAGGGTATAGATTGTGACCAAAAAAATACAAATGGTGAGGAACATATTAGCAGTTTGATCGTGAGAAAATGATTGTCTTGATTGATGCTTTACTAATACTGATTATCGTTTACTTGTTGGGTTGTCTGAAGCTGGTGACCAGACCAGTTTCCTCATCCCTCTCGACACCGCCACCGATGACGATTCCGTTTGCACGGCGAGGAAGACTCAGCAAACCCTTACCGACAGCGTTATAATCCCCAAAGAACGTATGAGCACGAACATCAGAACCAGTAGTCAGTCCATGTCCCAAAGTGACACCCCACATATCTCCAACACGAATAGCATGCGCAGAAGAACTAGCATCGCGCTCCAAGAGAACCGAGTAAATGCACCCCGTGAACATTACAACGCCATCAGCTTCATCGGCGGGAAAGTTCCAGCGCTTCCCGTCGGAAGAAACAGGATGCCATGGTGTGACTAGAACCTTGCCTACGCGACACAGGATCTCACTCTCAACGGGGGTCTTGAGAATCATGGCGACACGGCGCGAACCACGGGGTGTGCGAACCTTCATACCGCGTCGAAGTTTGCGGATCTGCACCGTTCGACCAGAAGCGAGTGCGACGACTGTAGAACCTGCGAAACAGACGCCGCGGGAGTTGCGGTAGGAACTCATGCTGAAGCCTGTCATCGAACCATGTGAACGGCCGCCTCTAGAGTGCACGTGTCGAGAAGGTTCGGGGGCTGGGAGATTATCGAAGATTTGATCAAGCGCGTCGCGGCACGAGATGAACAGAGGACTCTCGGTGCTGTATTGAAGAGGCCCGGGGTCCTTGAAGGAGTTGCAAACTTGACGAGTATGGGCATTGAGGAGAGATGGGAGGAAATGGCATCCCCATCGGTTGAAGTACTCTTTGCTCTCAATCGCCATGGAGACTTGACCCTGGGGCTCATCCGCTGATACGTCTTGCATGAGAGATTGGTTCTTCACATCTGTAAAGTTCTTGGCGGGAAGGGTATCGATCCAACCTCGAAGCTCCTCACGCTTGTTCTTCATACCCCGTGTAATACCGTGCTCACCATCTACCCCAATAGGAAACATGGTCGAGATGAAGTTGCAGATTAGAGATCTCGATTCATGGTATGCGATTTCAGAGGCGGGCAGATCGCTGTACTCCAGAATGCTGCGCTGATTACTCGCCATAGGAATAAAGTCAGCGTCTTTTGAAAGCATTGACTCGAGAACCTTGCGGCTCTTGAGGCAATCCCCAGGCTTGACGTATGTCAAATGCGCATCAACAAGAGCGCGAGTTGGATTCTCTTCATTCAGGAACTCAAGCTCCTTGAGCCCATTAGTGCTGAGGAAGATATCACGGGACTGTCCAAACTGCAGATTCCCAAGGTTTATCGTAAGTTCAACCTGGCTATCTTCCGAATCATCCGCAAACACTGGGACGATCTGGTCCACGGACGGCCCAGTCGTCTCATACAACTCCAAAGACCTGGTGTATGAGAGTTTGAGAACGGCGCGTGTGGCAAATGTGCTTTGGAGGTTTGCGACGGCGTGGACGAATACTGTTCCGATCATACCGGCGTCGGGGATGAAGGCGTAGTTACCGCCGCCAATCTCTGCGATGGACTTGAGGAGCCCGGAGCGGAGACTGTAGCCGAATCCGAAGGTGTGTATTGAGGCTGGGAGGGGACCCATTGCGCGGATTTTGGGGACGAAACCTGCTGCAGGGTTCCTGTAAAGGTGAGTATGTGTACTTGAGAGAGGATGGAGGAGGACTTACATGTGGTTTGGCATGCCGTCGGTGAGGATCATGATGGCAGGGACGTTAGTAGACGACTCTCCGGTGTTGAACAACTTGATACCGTCAAGCAAACCCTGCCAGAGATTGGTAGCATCGAGAGGCGTCATGCTCTTGACATTCTTCAGCGACCGAGCTTTGTTCTCTTTGTTCATGGGGATAAGAGGCTGAAGAACTTTGGCCTTGGAAGCAAAAGTCACAATACCAAGACGATCATTCTCGTTCATCGACTCGATGATAGTAAGAGCAGCATGCTTTGTGAGGTCAAGAACGGATAAACCATTGCTCTCGTCGCTTTCTCCAGGCACAGGCGCCGCCGCGACCATGGATCCGGAGACATCAATGACAAGCACAATATCGCAAGGGACATGGGGGATCTTGACGGATGGCTCCTTTGGGGGTTCGATCTTGACCAAAAGACCTTTTCTGTTTGGTACGGGCTCTAGACGAAGAAGAGCATCTTTATCTGGGATGGTCCCGATGGGTTGAACCTGTTCCTTTTCGGGGTCTTCTTTGGGCGTCTCGTCATTGGTGTTCTTAGAGCCAGTGACGAGACTGCGAAAGATGGGTACTCTCTGCATATCATCAGTTACAGTAATCCTTTAAAGACGACTCTGGTACATACCACCATGATGGGCTATTACTACCGTGTCAAACGGATGCGAGATCTCACAGAGTCTCAAAGGGATTAGATGAAAGAGTTGAGAGGTTAAGTGTAAGCTGACTAGACAGCGACAGTTAGCATTTTAATAAATAACATGTTCCCCAGTGAATGCCAATCTTATGGCCTTACAGCAGGATTGTGAGTCTGACCGACTGTAAGCTAGCCCCATGTCACGATTCGCCCGTCATACCGAACGGACCACATGGCAGTACACTAGGATGCCAAGGTGATTCGCCAGGCAGATTGTTTGGGCCGCACGAATACGGAGAGGTAACATTGGCACCAACAAAGAAAGAGAGAGACAAATGTCTGCCTTGATATGGCACCAGATTGTCGGATCGCTTTTGCGGGCGAAACAGTGTTTCATGGGCTGAGCTGGTGGGCCAAGGCAGACATGATACTTGCCCGAAACAGGTAAGATTTTTGTGAGAAGGGGGCTTGTGGTTGGCCGTAGTGACACATGGCGGACTGCGAGGCATCTCCAATCTTGCGGGGTAGAAGGGGATTGCGTGTAAGAGGCTGAGGGTCAGCAATAGAAGCTGTGTTTGTTAGCAAGCTCCGATGAACATATCCATCAACGCCATTTACACTTGCGGACATGATTGGCACACAAAATGTTCGGTGATTGCTCTCATTTTCACAAAGTCAAAGCTTGGATAGAAGTATGAGCTGAAAAGGCGTTTTCCATTTAGTGCTAGTAAAAGATGTGCGGCCATGGTGTCCTGTCGCGCAACTGAGGTGTTGGTTCACTAAGACAGCTTCGTCGTAGGGAGTGGTTAGTCTAGGACAATTTCTGTCCTATGGGAACACAACCATGGTCGCTGTAAATAGTCGACCTTCTATTCGTGGATGCGATATCAGGCATACACATAAAAATCCACTAATAATAGTGCCAGGCTGCAATTCTGGTCGTTGGGAAGAGTGATACAACAACGGTTCTTCTTTGCAAGTGGACACCCTATACCACAAGTTCTATGGAGTGGAGGTTCGAATACCTACAGCATAAGGATAATGTGAATCCTCGGTCAAGCCAAAGTGTAGTGCACTTGAGTATCATTTGTCACATTACTCAAGTATATACAGGCATGATCTAAAGACAAAGTGGACAGTAATTAGAGTCATTCTTGGGATCACATTGCCAACCAGCTTGCGCCTTTGGCTTCCAAGTATCAATAGCTCGCTCAGGCTTTGAACACTCTTCTCTCCTCGACGCAATTTCTCCTGTAGAGATGATCTAGTCTTCTTCTGTCTAGCTATCGTCATTATATATATTTTACGAATATTTTGGGGTTCTCGGAATTTATTAAAGTCTTTTTTAAGCATCGGCGGACTCCGAATATTATAGTGGATCCATCCAGCGATGATGTGGAGATGCCAAAAAAATTGCCTGAAGATCCCAAATTCTTGCAGGCGCGGTTGCTTCGGCCCTACTTTTTTTTTCTTTTCCTTCTTTTTTTCCTCCTTCCTTCTTCCTTTTGGGCATTAATATCTCTTCACCTGTCCCCGTTGCAACCCTTTTCCTTTCATTCTTCTATATACTAAATTACGCTCCTTGCGACGTGTAAATACCGCAAAAATGGTCGAGAAGCTCTACGTCACATACAACGATGTAAGGAGAATTTACCCCGCCACCCCGCCTTGATGATGGGCTGTGATGCACATCATGAAAAGTATAGTTATGCGACAGTACCATGAGCGTGATGGAACACTGTTTACTGCGCACAGGACAGCTGCAGCAAATAGCTCTTGATCACTAGCTATGGCACAAGATACACAAAAGGTCAGCTGCTGACGTGCTTCCCAGGTGCACAAGATGTGCCAAAAGTCCGCTGAGAAGCTTCTCGCCGACTTCCAGCCCCAGCTTCTGATCGCCATCGGTGGCGGTGGTTACGTTCCCGCTCGAATCCTCCGATCTTTCCTCAAGAAGGCCGGCTCTCCCAACATCCCTATCCAGGCCATCGGCCTCTCCCTCTACGAGTCTCTCGGCAACGATGAAGTCGAAGCCCCCGGCACAAAGGTCACCCGAACACAGTGGCTCGACTTGACCTCTCTCGGCGAGATGAAGAACCTCGTCGGAAAGCGAATCCTTATCGTTGACGAGGTCGACGATACCCGAACAACCCTCGAGTACGCTGTCAAGGAGCTTGAGAAGGATGTTGAGACTGCTCGTCAGCGTATGGGCGGGGACGCTCCTGCTCCCAAGACCGAGTTCAGCATCTTTGTCCTCCACGTATGTAGCACGGTACCAAACTTACATGTTCAAACTAACAAAAATTTAGAACAAGGACAAGCCCAAGAAGGGAACGCTTCCCGATGATATGCTTACTACCCGTTACTCCGCTGCTGAGACCGTCGGTGACGTCTGGATCAACTACCCCTGGGAGGCCATCGACATCGACGAGCATGACAGGAACGCCAGCCTGCAGACCAAGAGCAACTAAGTGTTTTCTGAGAATTTGGAGTTGGGAAAATGGCGCACAGATCTAAACGAGATATCATATACATGATGAATGAGATTCCTGAACTATCGGTTCGAAATATTACCTATACAAAGTTGCTACCAAAACAGTGCCAGACACAAGCCAGAGCCCGCTAACCCTAAAATGCAATGAAACCTTGCGCCTGCTAACATTTGGCACACCAGATACCCGATTTCAGGTCGCCTTCCTCTCCCAGAACTTCAGACTTATCCTTTTCAGTTTATCTAGTGTGTCTTGGATCCCGTCCAGAATTGGACTCGAGCCTGAGCTCATGAAAGCCAACTTTTCGTTGAAACGGATCGGGTAGCGCTTGATAGATTCCGGCGAGTCCCGTGACAAGATGTTTTCGCTCGCGGTAGTATACGCTCGGATGAAGCTCTCGTACGTACGCATCTTCAGCCAATACTCTTTCCCATGGGCTTTGTTTCGTTTAAGCGGAGATCGCGGCCATACTGGGTTGTCATAGATAGCTTTGGCCATCGCCTTTGTTTCGTCTTGGCCTGGTTGCAGAGGCTTGCAGTCGCCAAAGCTGGTCATCCACAGCTTCGTATGACCTCTCTTCTCAGGCGCAAGATAGAACTTGACGCCAGCTGCGTCCAGCCTGCACTCCCAGTGTAGGATTGCCAGAGCTATGCCCATCTGCTCACACCATATTTCCAGGTATTTCTCTGCCTCGCACAAGAGCTGGTCAAGATACACGGGGCGGGAAAGAAGTCTTGTGCTTAGGGGGTCGTCTGGAGGTGCCATCATGCCGAGCTGGACTTGAAGCCTGACATTTGACAAGTTCGGGTCATTTTTGACTGACTCTTGAATACTGGAATCGACAAAGGTGTTGACAAGAGCGCGGACGGTGGCTGGGTGGAGAGGCGGAATGAAGCTGGTGACGTATCCTGCTGTTGGTATATCTTGTCCTTCATGATCTTTTCGGATAATCTCACACACGGAATACGGGACATACGGTTGATGAGGCACGTCGGGTTGTTTGGAACGACGATTCAATTTTCTCTTGTTTCGGCGTTCAGATCCTGTGCTTCTTTCTGTCGGAATATCTTCGTGTGTCTCATAAAAGTCACGTGTCGCTTCCCTCCATGAGGCATTCATTTTCTTTACGACCGATATATGGTTTTGCACTTCTTTCTTGATAGCCTCGGGATTATCAGAAAGCTGAGCGGCATATGTTCTGCACCCGACTTGGACTGTGTGGATGTTTGAGTTGTTGTGGGAGGGTAGCTTTGTGAGCTGGTATTCCGTTACAGTCCTGGGTTCCCAGAGACACCAGTAGGAGCGGCCGTCGTATGAAGCGAACTTTCTGGGGTCACAGTCATATTCTGTACTGATAGTGTATTTGCTGTCTCCTTCGTCTGTCTTGGTCGTGTTGTCTGCTGGTGTAAGTAGGGTAACGACTTTAGGAAGGCGACTTTGAGCGCGCAGCATGGTATTATCAGGAGCGTCTACTTTGTCAGCCATGATAAAGAAGTTGTTTAGGCTTTGCGGCGCCGGAGTGAAATGGTTTGATGGTGCTTCGGGATGAACGCTCTTGGGGTGGATGTGTATCGTGGACAAGGCAGGATATATGAAAGGTTGAAAAGGACTGGCAATCGATCTGGGCCAGCGGGAGTCTTATTTGCCAGGTCTAAAGTTTACGACGCCAAAGTTTTGCCATTTTGAAAGTTTATAATACACATGTTCATGTCTATAGTCTAATCATCAACTCTATCATCCAAAACCCCAGTAAGTAAAATGCAAAAAGAGGGTATAAGCTTTTCCATCCTGTCTCAACCCAAATAACTGTTCCAACTCACGCTTCACTTAGTTCTCCTGGGTGCCCTCACTCTCATGCCTCTTCTTCAAAATCTTCTCCGTCTTCATAAACTCTCTGATCCCAATTGGCAAATCCGCATACAGCTCCTCGTCCCAAAAGTCTTTTGCGATCTTAGCCTTGCCAACCTCTGGCGCAACCCAATTCGACTCTGACCCTCCACCGTCCGAATCCATAGACCCCTCGTGTTTCCTCAGCGCGGCTTGTGCCTCTGCGTTCTTGAGTTGCCACTCCTCTAGTTCATCGCGGTACTGGTCATACACGCAGTTTACGCAGCCGCTCATGCAGCAATTATCCGGCTCAACGGGCTTGGGCGGTACGAGCACGCCGGCTATGTATGTCGCCTTTGCTTTTCGCGCTGCTAAGCGCTCGTCTTTCTCTGCGGAGCCGAAGAGGCGTGAGCCAAAGACCAAGCGTGCTTTTTCTTCTGGTGTTTGCACAGCGGTTTTCGTGGGGAACTCGGATTGCACTGAGGGATCTGCTGTTTTGGGGGGAACTTCTGGTTTGTCGATTGGGATGTGGGACGGATTGTTGAGAATGACTTCGTAGTATGGGCCGAGGGAACTGCGCTGCGGCCAGTCTTCTTTTCGGTTTGGTGCGGCGCTGACGATGCTTCGTGAGGGTATTAACGGTCGTAGCCGAGGTAGTAATCTGGACGGTATTGACATTGTGAATCGGCGCTGTTGAATTGATATGTATACGGGTATGGCGAGACGGGTTTTTGGGTGTTGAAGGGGGAAGAGTGGCGGGCGGAAAAGTGAGGAAGTTCGGTTGGTAATGCAAATAGCGAGAGCCGAGAAAGTTGGTGTTGAGGGTCGGAAGTCCGTCATTTTCGCCTCGGACGTCATCGGCTGGGGTGAAGCTAGCGAAAACTGGGGTGGGTGGGGTTGAATGTGAGTACATACTTTCGTGATAACCTCAAAGTCACTGGAAGTTCAGAAGATGGCAATCAATACATAGATCTCTTCTCAATCTTCCAACGGACACCCAGTCATACAATTTGCACAAATGGCTTGAAGGATCTCTAGCGCTCATGAAAGAAGCACGTGACTCGTACTCGTTAAAGATGCTGGGTTGTTGATTCACTCGGGGCAGTTGCTGGCTAAGTGATCACTATAGAGTCAAGGCTCCTTTGGAAATCAGTGTCAAAGCGCGACCTTAAAACCTCCGTGGATTTGCAGCCCTCAGGTCTTTGGAAGACGCTTGTGTAACCTCAATCCACATTTGGCATCGCGAAAACAATTTGCCCGTTTCGGTAAGCGGTGAGGCCCACTTCCGCAGACGCGACAGGGTCATCCAAAGTAAACACGAACCATTGCGACCACCAATTATCGACAAGACAACCCAACATCGCCAAATGTTATAATCAGGGCCCTTAAATCGCACACATATCACATCCAATGGAGGAATCTGCGCCAAAGCGACGGCGTACTTCGCCGCGCACGTCTCTCAACGCTGGCGCAACTGAAGAACCTGCGTCACCACAGAGAAGAAGGCCATCATACGCATCACCGACCAAAGCAAGCATGTCACGAAACAACCCCGAGGCTTTTGAGCGCCGAAGATCGAGATCACCGCAGAAGTTACCCAGTGCTCGAGCTTCCGGCCAATTTACTTTTGATAGTCCTTCTGAGGGTCTTGCAGCGCGCTTAGCGACGAGTAGGATTGTTAGCGATGCTCCTACGCCTACGCGCCCTGAGGATACGACGCCAGGATCGATTAGACGTGTGGAAGGAGGTATGGCTTCTGCCACGAGGAGGACATCTACGAGAGCGGGTGCGAGCGCGGAGGAGGATGACTTTAATCCGTTTCGAGGGAAGGTTTTGAGAAGATCGCCCCAGGCTGGGATTAGGATGGATGTCGATGTGCCTTCTGCTTCGATGCCGCAGCCTGAGTTGCCGCCTGCGATCGAGGCGAGTTCACCTCCTGCGCCGCCTGCTTCTATGCCAGAGCCTCAGCTTGGATTGCCTTCGGATGAGCCTATGGAGGAGCCTGAGGAGGACACTCCCATTCAGTCTGAGGAGCTGGCACCTGCGGAGGAGACGTCACTGGCGAAATCCCCATCAGCGGCTGGAATTCCGTCACCAGCACGGTCGTTTTCCTCGTATGATCTCGAGATCCCAGCGCGATCTTCATCTCCAATCAGATCACCGTCCCTAGCTCAAGCTGCTGCAGCGCCAGAGCCAGAAGCGGAAGAAGAATTGGACGAGGAGCCTGAGCAAAGCGTAGAACGAGAACCAGAAGCTGAGCCAGAACAAGAACCAGGGTCAGAACTCGAGACCGAACCCCAGCCTGATCCCGAACCAGAACGAGACTCTCCAAGCCCACCACCACCTTTGCCAGATTTCTCATCCTCCCCCCCACCAGCCTCAATGCCGCCTCCAAGAATACCACCATTAGTGCAACCGAATTCGCAAGACGCCGCTCCATCAGCTTCACAGCCAGTAACTCGACTACCGCCACGCGACACAGGACCGCGAAAGAGCTTCCAGAACAGCCCAGTTCGATTCCGCGAGTTCTCACAGCAACGGAACTCACCGCTAGGTAAACCGCCGTCGCGTCTGTTGGAGAAACCAAGAAAGAGCTTCGCTCAAGCGGGATCGACGCTCAGAGAGCCGCCACCTGTTCAAACCAGCGCTCCGGAGGCTAGACAACCCCGGGCCTTTGATCCAGATGCAGAGAAGAAGAGGGAGCGCGATAGAGTTCAGAAGGAGATACAGGACTTGAAGAAAGACCTCGAAATTGCGCGGAAAGAAAACGAGCGTATTCGATTGATGCAACAGTCTGGCCGCATACTTGCACCGACAAATCAAGACGAGGTCATCAGCCTTATCGAACGTCACCTGATGTCTACTGGAACAGGACAGAGCAAAACAGCATCACAGCAATTGTTGCAATCGGCGCTGAATCCCGCTGCTCTGTTGCCTTTCAGCAAGCCTACCGCCCCTGTAGTTCGACCATCGGTTCAGGAGAAGCAGCCTGACATCAAGTCACATCATCCCGTGGCCATGACAGCGACAGAGGAGCTGCCCTATCTTGAACTTTTTACTCCATTCTCTATGACATCCAACACATCTATTCTACCAGAGACGGACGGAGAGCCCATGAGGCAACATTATTCCATCACACTTCGATCACGCGAGATACCAGGGATCTTTACAGCCAAGATTGAGATGACAGTCAATGCCACAGAGCTTACGGTTCTCGATCTCGACGTCACAGCCTTGGAACCAGCTGCAAAGTCTGAGCTCAGTCCTTTCATCCGCAAGATCTGCACAGGTGACTGCAACCGTTCCATGCAACGCAATATCGGCATCCTCTCGTGGGCCATGGGTGAGTGGCTTCGAGTCGCCATCGATAGAGCAGGCTTTTGGTGCCAGTTGGACCAAAGTCTAGGCTCGAAGGACGGTGTATTAGAGGCTGCAGCTCGAATGCGCTCAAAGAAACACAGACGGAGGAGGGACAGCGGTGAGGACACGGATGATGATGAGCCGACACGGGTAGAATCTGTCAAGAAAGCAGACCTCATTCGCTATTTGGGCCAGCAACACTTCGATATATCAATTCCATACGGCGATGCAGAGGAGTCGGGCTCAAGGGTGCGACTAGAATGGAAGACCGAGTTTGACTGGACTGGAGAAGCGCAAACCAGACTTTCTGTCTTGGTAGGCGCTCCAGGAAAATGTGAGTACACGCATGACTCCCACGATGGAACCAATTACTGACGATCACAGGGCACCAAACAGACGAACGAGGCTCACTTGCAAAGATCCCCAAGCTTTTTGAAGAACTTGTACACGGACACGAAGAACCAGAAACAGCTGTACGAACAATTGTAGCACTTATTGCCGGCGAGCAATCATGATAGAGTCCATATAGATGGCAAACCTCACAAAGCACAGGCGTATGATGTGTAGAATTCCTTTGCGCAGGTCGCAAGAACAAGATACCAGATTATTGTAATTAAAGCTTTGTAGCCTCACCCACATGTCCCCCCAACCCTTCTATTGCCGTTTAGATCATCGTGTGCGTGTCCGCTTTTCACCAGTTTAGTCGACAGTAACGCCGAGCTGTCGGAGCTCAACCTTGGCCTGCTCAATCTCCGCCGTGAGCTCCTTGTGTGCGTTGGGGACGTCGTTGAAGGTGAGGATGCCGAAGCCGAGACGGAAGAGGAGGTATGCGCCGAACGAAACGAGGGCCCAGAAGGGGAGCTATAATACCGTAGATTAGAGAATTGGCATTGCAAAAAGTTCAGGGTATTAACGTACCACAGGGACGATCTGCTCCTGGATCAGAGGAGGAAGAGGGATGAGCTCAAGGAAGAGCGCAAGGTAGAGCTGTACAGCGTTAGTTCAATTCCACCAAGATTGCTGTGGTAAACATACGGAAGAAACCAAGAGGGCGAGGGAAATGGTTTGCTGAGCGCGAGTCATCTTGGCGGTTCTGTTTAAGGAGCGTGGTGTTGGAATGGGCGCGGGGGAGGAACTGTGATGGTATCGTGGTGCTTGAGGAGACGTGTCAGGGGTGCGCGTTGTTGGAGCTGTTTGGATGACTAAGATTGTGTTAGGTAAGCATTTCCACACTCAATCTACCTACCCTACTCCGTACATGGGAAGTTCTTGGCTCCAGGGACGCCTAATACTCTTACCGAAGCAATAGCAACTGGTTACTTTCTTACAATGTTACGAAATACTCAAGTAATTGGAAAATTTAGTCATTTCTTATTCACACTGATGTAAAGAAGAAATTAATTCTGTTTATATTAATTGAAGTTTGGTCCTACCCGCCGTGGTAAAGACCAGTAAAGCAGCAAGCCTCTTTCCAGGTCCGTGGCTTGTTCCTGCCAGTATAATCAGTCAACTCAATTCGCAATGACAGTAACCTTAAACCACCTTCCGGCTACATCTCAATCCACCAAACCAACTCTCATCGACCAGAGAAAATATATGTCCTTTTCTCAACGCCGCCTTTGTTCAAGCACCTTGTTTAGCCATCTAGTTACCCTTTGCTTCTGGAAGCCTCCGTCATTCTCCCGCTGAAGTCCCGAAAACCGAATGAAACGACGGCCATTTTCCATTCCACCCACGACCGTTTCTCCCACACCTTGGCCATTCGATACCCTCGATCTTCCACAGCTCCATGTATCTCAAGCGTGGTATAAAGCGCCAGTCTTGTGACTTTTGCTATGGGCGCAAGATCAAATGCGATTGGGTATCGCGTCAATCCGAAGGCTATGATCAATGTTCGCGTTGTGAGTTACGGAATATAGCTTGTACCGCAAATACAAATATCGACAACCGCAATGGAGCCAGACGGAGCTTGCGCCGTGATGTCCGCTCTGCTGCTGGTCGGATCTCATCCAGTCCCGATGGCGGGCATGTGGCCGATGATGGTAACCTTCCCAGCAGTACCAACGACATCGACCCAGTCAATAAGGAGACCATCCCCGCCCTACCCCAGGATCAGGTGCTACCTATTGACCCAAGCTTACAATATACGGCTATTGACTCTGAGTCTGCGTGGCAAGATATTAGTTGGGATCTGGGAGCCGAGAGCATCTCCTTTCTTGACAGTGTCTTTACACACAACTATAACTTCGACAATATGTCCAACAGTCCTCAGATATACGCCAGCGAGGAGGTCGCGGGCGCTTTACAAAACCCTTATGAAATCCTCGAGCTTGATCCGAGCACTCTCAAAGCAGCCATTGACGCTTACTTTGACCTGACCTCACTCGCTATCCCGATACTAAACAGAGACGCATTCCAGGCTGACTACACGAGCCACAGAGCCAGTCCTGCATTGGTGTACGCTGTCGCATGCCGAGGATGCCCCTTCTTATCGATATCGCGAAAATGGCTGGTGCAGCAGCGGCTGGCGAGCGAGTTTAGACGAGCATGGCTCGAGGCAAGGTCAGCTGCAGGGGACAAGCAATCAATCAGACTGGACGATCTCGAAGCCCTGGCTCTCATGGTTGAATTTGCTTACGAACCAGCTGAGGATGCCAACACAGCGCTCCATTCCCAGCTTGGCAGCCTTTTCCTAACACACGACAGCCTGGTCCTCATGACATTACAGTATCAGATTCTTTGCCACGCGTCCCTGTCGGAAAGCCTTTCCGTTCATTTACATGGGACAGAAGAGCGAAAGAGGTTGCTTTTCTGGTACGTGTTTGGCAAAGATACGTTCCGCGCTCTCGACCAGAAATCTTCATCTCGTATCAGGGACGGCCATACTGAAATCGTCGAGCAACTACCAGAGCATGAAGAGAGAACATATCTAGATGCCATACTTGCCCTGGCCATCATTGCGAGAAAGATAAATCATGAATTTCTGGGCGCTACTGCTGGACATGCAAATGTCAGTCACCAAGACGTGGTCAAGCTATACGGTCAACTGGAAGAGTGGCGTAAGACGCTGCCCCCTTACTTACTTTGGGACACTAAACGAGACGCCAGCCTACCTGTTGAACGCGGTACTGGGGAACTGGCCCAAGTGCGCCAGCTGCAACAGGCTGTCCTTTTGTTGCTAGAACACAACTGCTGCATGCAGATCGAAAGGTGTGCTTCAGAACGTGGAATAACTAACCCGACCTCCATGGAGGGTGTTATGCTGAATCATCTTATCGAGTACCAAACCTTGGCAATGACGAACGATATAACAGAAGCTGCTAAATGGTTCCAGTCGCAGAACATATGCCAGGACACACCTCAAGGAACTGTTACATATCCTCTGATTGACCTTTCCCCAGAGATTCTGCGCGATGTATGTGCTGGCACTGCTTATTGGCTGTGCGACCGCGGAAAGAAACTTTTGAATTCCGCTAGCCATGGGCAGGCTTCCCTAACGCAAGGGGCCGAAAGCTTTGCGGCAAATGCGGCATTACTGAGAGATTCCGTGGCAACAGCAAAATCGCACAAGGATACATCGTGCGTGGTCGAGAAGTTGGACGAGCAGCTCTCATCTTTGAAGGAGGCGATCAAAAGCGCCAACAATGGTTGATGACTGACTTTACTAAGCACTTCTTGACTCTTGTTTGAAAGTCTCGGGACTCTTCATGGTATTTTATGAATGTTTATTGGCCATACCAGGCCTTTCTTGTTGGCATTGCGATATCTCGAAAAGGGACAAGAGGGAAAGGTAAAGAAAAACAAGAAGCACCAGAGTTATGCTGGCAGTATAATGTATTACGGGGCTTTTATTGATGGAGCGTCTTTAGATATCTATTCTTCAGGGCATGAAAGGTGCTATTACTTAGCAAGTTCCAGGGGCTGATACTTAATGAGCGTTTTTACAATCGTATCAAGATCTGATCCAATTGATGTGATAGCCGGTATAATGCATCCTCAATCCTTTGTCTGCGCATATGACATACTATAGTTCCCGGCACACAGAGGCTTTCCTGAGTTGGCCTTGCGAGCTCCCAGCGTCAACTCAGGGTGAAAGATAGTCAGGGTGACGGTCATGACTACGATCGGTACGCTGTCCAGTGCAAAGAAAACGCCTTCCATTGACGCGAGAGGGCCGTTAAATCCTCCGCCTAACTCTGCACATCGCCAGCACGACCGGACAAAGAGACAGGCGGAGGCTATCACTAGACCTGCAAGCCATGCTCGTTAGTCATTGAAATTGCATAACAACAGGATACTCTCACCTAACACGTAAAGATGTCGCTTCTCATGACGAATTTCATGCCAAGCCCGGCGGTAAATGGCCCAAAGTGAGGGACAAAAGATGGTCGTGAACAGGACCTGAACAGCTAAGCCGGCGATCATGAGGTTTACACCGATTGGATCCTCTGCAAATATCGCTGCAAGAGAGCCACCGCATCCTATGAAGCAAAGACATATGAAATCGCCGAGTATAAACAGGGACGCGAATATGCGAGGGCTGATGCGTGTGAACCGAGATGATGAATAGTGTTGCTGTAGTGTGCTGATGTTGAGATAGAGGGCAGAGGATAGAAAGGTCGGACCAAGTGTAAGACCAATGATGTACCTGCTCATACTCATTAGAACCCATTGTAATAAAAACAAAAACAAAAACAAAGAGATGGTAGAACTGACATGATGTACCCATTCTTGTTGGCTCGATTATGTGAAAGCTGAACCTTTCCACAATATCCGATGAGTTCCAATAGAATGCCACACACCATCCCAATGGAGTACCCATAGAAACGCCAGAAGCGAATGGAAATGAGGACATGCAGAAGAAGAAAGATCGAGTAGAAAGACAGGAAAATTGCATTTGGGGCTAGAAGTGGTGAGAAATCTATAGCTGCGATACCGTTCGGTAGTGATGTAGTTGTGTTCATGGTCGCAGTTGAAAAGCTGAAACTGGAAGGAATGTTTAGGCTGGGGTAAAGAAATTAACTTGAAGAAGTACGACACCGAGGAGACAACTTGAGTGCCATAAAGATTCTAATTTATATAGAATACGTGGATAGGACGTGGGGCCGTCTTACACCACATCCGAGACTAGCGGATCGACAACGTCCGACGCGCTATATACGGACATCAAGCGGTAGATAAGGAGTCTCTAAACGGAACATAGACGGTCATTAAATGGAGATTCAGCTGCTCTCAGAAATCTAACTTGCGTCCAGGCTGAAGGAAGACAGTACTATCTGTATATAAGAACCACTCTATACCCAGTCTCGAATGAAATTACTGTAGAGACTCAGAGCGACCGTCGAGATCTGTATAGTTATATCAAAATGCGTATCCAAATTCTAGGAACAGCTATATCAGCAGCCTTCTTGGGCTTTGGCACAGCACCAGCACAGGCTCTGAGCCCTTGTCCCCTTTTTGGACCAGATTTTCCCATTCCAACAGCTCTGGGTGATGAGATTTCCCTTAAAAATGCCCTTTCCGAAATCCTGAAGCTTGTTCCAAGCCTTGATATAGACTTCCAGAACACATCTTTCTCCATTGACATCTATCCAGCGGCAGACAAACGACCCCTTTTCAGCTATCATCACTCAGCTGCATACCATGGACACGGCGTCCAAGTCGTCAATGATACGACGGTTTATCGCATAGGAAGCATTTCGAAATTGCTCACGGCCTATGTCTACCTCCTAGAGGTTGGGGACGTGTCGTTCAACCAGCCAGTCACACGATATGTGCCCGAGCTAGCAGATATCTCTGCAAAGCTGAGGAACAAGTCAGCCTATGCTCTCCAGTATGTGGACTGGGATGCCGTAACCATTGGCGCACTCGCATCGCATATGGCTGGCATACCGCGAGACTTTCCAAGCCCTGCTTCAGCGGACCACCAACTAGAACGGTTGGGGTTTCCGCCAGTTCGGCCAGTTGACTTTGCCTACTGTGGGAAAAGCGTACTGTATCCTTGCAACCGCACTGGTATGTAGCTCTCGTCCAATATCTCTCATAATGCTGAAACCTATCAATAGCCTTCTTTGACGCCATACGGACGCGTCACCCATCCGAAGCGGCCTTTTCAACCCCTATATACTCCAACATTGGCTACCAGATCATGGCCTATGCGCTTGAGAATATAACTGGAACAGCGTATCCTGATATCCTGTCACGCCAGCTCATCTTTCCTCTCGGCTTGAATTCTACAAGCTATGCAAAGCCAGCCAACACCGACATGTCTATCATACCTGACAGTCCAAGCAGCTCTTGGTACGATGTTGACACGCGGGATGAGGGACCAGCCGCTGGAATATATTCGTCGATCGCGGACTTACGCAAGATCGGGCAGTCTATCTTGACGTATGAGATGTTATCGCCCTCCCAAACTCGACGATGGATGAAACCAGTCAGTTTCACTGCCGACTCAGAGGTTGCAGTTGGCGCGCCATGGGAGATTGCTCGTGTTCCATCCACCAGCAAAACTAGTTGGATGTACACCAAAGGTGGTCAGCTGGGGATGTACAGCAGTCTGATGGCTTTGCTGCCAGATTGGGGCATCGGTTTCACTGTTCTGGCTGCTGGAACCGACGCCCAGGAAGTCGTGGGAATGATCCCAGCTGCGATTGTTTCAAAGCTAGTTCCTGCTTTGGAGCAAGCTGCTAAGCGACAAGCAAGGCAAAGTTATAGTGGCCGCTACGGGAACGAAAGAAATGCCATGACATTAGCTGTGCAGGACAGTCTACCAGGACTCGGTGTCACGTCCTGGCTTGTCGATGGCCATGATATGTTTGATTTGATTCGACTGATGGTCTCAGAGTCGTCGACTGGCTCAGGGAATGTCAGCATGAGATTGTACCCGACAGGGCTGCAGACGCAAACAGACGGAAAGACTAGACTTGAGAGCTGGCGAGCGGTCTACGAGATCATTGAAGTTGTCTCGTCGTCCAGTTCGTACTGTGATAGTTGGTTCGCCGTAGATTCGGTCACGTACGGAGGTGTATCTATTGACGAATTTGTCATCGATCTTTCGGCCGATGGCACCTCTCAGGGTATTACCGTAAGTGCCTTTGATACTCGACTTGAAAGGGTACGCCATTGATCTAGTGCCACCGAGTTGATTTAGTAGTGTACAGGTGGGATCTGGCATGTTGAGCCTTAGTTGCCAAGGGGAGGAAAGGAGGGCTTAGGATATCTTGTCTAGTTATGCAATAAAACAACTTGGATATACTCAGTATACATTACTAAGAATTTGGATCAGTAGGGACTTATAACTGAGGGCTTAGATTGGCACAGAGAACTTGGTAATTATCCTACCTTAAGCCAAACCTCGCCCATAAGTGTGACTCTTTCCAGAACGTGGGGTTCATAAGCCTGCAACCCAGCCGTTGCAACCTAACTGTAGATCCGTAATCATCCCCTGCAGCAATGCTTATCATACGTTCATGGGGCACTTCACTGGCCAGCAACGCGGAAATATTCCGTGAATACATCCTATGACCCCTCGTTGCCATCTCATTCATTGAAACTCTGGAAGGCTATCCTGATTTCATTCTTCCTCTCGCCATTAACTCACAACTGGCGGCGCTCGTTCTATGTAGTTCATTATTTAACACAACGAGTCCCTAGAATCCCATGGATTACAAAGTCGTCGTCGCAGCGGTACACGCCGCGCCTGTGTTTATGAATAAGGCCGCTACTACTGACAAGGTTATCGACTTGATTGAGCAAGCGGGCAAGGAGCATATCGAGCTGTTGGTCTTTCCTGAGACGTTTATTCCTGGATATCCGGTACGTCCTCTATTAATCGCCCTCGATGCTGTTGTGGCATGACTGACATGGCCAAGTATTGGATTGAGTGCTATCCCCCCCTCCAGCAAGTAGGGGCCCTTGCCAAATATGCCGATGAGAGTGTCGTTGTTCAAGACGGCGACGAAATCGCACGCATCTCAGCTGCCTGCCGTCGCACTGGTATAGCCATCAGCCTCGGTGTTTCAGAGCGCATTTCTCAAGGTTACACTCTCTTCAATTCTCAAGTCAACATTGACGCAAACGGCAATTTGCTAGGCGTACACCGCAAGCTACAGCCAACATATGTCGAACGCTCTGTTTGGGCGCAAGGTGGTGGCCATACGCTACGAACATACAAGCTGGGCGCTTCAGGACGGCCTCTCAACCTTGGCGGTCTTTGCTGTTGGGAACATACCATGAACGGCGCGCGCCAAGCTCTTATCACTCAGCATGAACATATCCACGCTGGTGCCTGGCCTGCCCTGTCGACAATGGCTGGCTTCGAAGCCGTAGCTGATTCTCAAATCGAGGCTTTGATGAAGGCCCATGCCCTTACAGCCCAAGTCTTTGCCATCACTGCGTCAAACTATGTTGATGATACTTGCCTCGAGTGGATGGAGAAGAATCTAGGCAAGCAGGAGTTTGTCAAGGCGGGCGGAGGCTGGTCTGCTGTTATTCACCCGTTTTGCTCATTTCTTGCTGGGCCGCATACTGGTGCTGAAGAGAAGCTTGTCAAGGCTGAGGTGGATCTGTCGCAGCTTGGACAGGTCAAGGTTTGGGTGGATGCTGCTGGTCATTATCAACGTCCGGAGATCCTCAGGTTCAGCTTTGATGACCAGCCACTTTGGGCAGATGAAAAATCAGCCCCCAAGAGACCTTCAACTGTTGAGAACAAACCTGAAGAAGAACCAGTGCCAAAGGAGAGTGTTTAAGAGGGTTATATATCACAGAGTATGAAATCTTGTAAAAACCAACAAGAATTGACTTCATCACCTATATCACCTCCACAAACTGTACACGGCCGAGTTTATCAAATATACGTGTGGCTGCGAAAAGGAGACAAAGTCCATCTAATGTCGAATGCACCACGTGACGAAAACCAAATACCATCCGATCACTAAAGAATGGGTCAAGTTTGGCCAACTACTGTTTCAAATCCCTTATACCCTCCTTTCATTGAAGTAACCGCGTCTTCGAGCAGCCTCTGGCAGCTCTGCTGGCCTATGTTTACCTTCGCCGCTTGATTCCCACAGCAGCTGTGCTTGTTCACACCATCGAAAATGCTCCAAAAATCCATCTCGTGTGTATACTTTGTCTCGAGCCTCGAATGCCCATTTCTCGCCCCTGCTACCGATGATGTCCTTTTCGAGAGCAAGTTGACACCCGGCACACGAAATTCCGTGCTCGACATTACCGGTTACTTTATCATGATAAGGAAGTGCGCATGACCCCATGAAGTTGAATTTTCTGTTTCGTTCGGACCTCGCTGACTGGGCTTGCGTCGTTGTTTGGGATTTCTGTCTGGAAATCAAACTGGCCTGATGAAGAGACACGATCGAAATGCGAGATTTGTACACGGATTCCTCCATCGAATATATGCCCGGCAACGTTTTGAATGACTTCAGTTGACTTAATTCAGCCTTTGTCAAGTGGAATTCCTTTTGGGCAGCGGAAAGACTTTGTACTTGAGTCTCGGGAGCCTCCTTGAGGCATTTGAAACAGCATCGCGTCCATATAAGGAGAGACATAAACTCCCCAAACTCGCCACAAAGACTACAAGACTTGAGACATAGGGCGTTGTAAAAGTCGAGTAGAGAAATGTCAACGGCGAGTCGTGTTCTTAACAGGGCGCAAAGAAGATTCAGTCCGTGCAAGACAATCATGTGATACTGCTTGAGAGAGTCTACCGTCTGTCGCGATCGAAGATTCGTTTGTCGAAACTTGAACAGAGAATGCACATCAAGGCGGACCAACGTATCATGTAGAAGTTCCAGTGGTAGCCGATCGAGGGATCCAAGTCCTACATGACAAGTCCGCGGGAAGGCTGTTGCTATTGACTGACGAATATTGATGTGTTCACTGGGCGAAAAACAGATCACGGAGAGGCCGAAGTCTTTGCGATGGTAGGTGGCAATGCGAATAATGGCATCGGCTTGTTCTTCGCTGAAATGATATTCTGTGGCGGAGCGATATCCGCGAGGCATAGAGGTAGCTATTTATGGGGTTGTCTATGTGCGGGAGTGGAAACAAGCGAGCTTAGACGTCATTGATGGGCGAAAACCTGGAATAGGCATTTGGAATATGTACTGTACTTGTTATCGAAAAAGTAGGACGTCGAGTTCCATCCCATCACTGAGCTGCGCTGCATATGGCTCGCTTCTACAGTCATTCGCCTCTTAGATACCAGTCCAACCCTTTTTGAATGACAACTTCATATACATAAATCAAGAGGAGGCTCTTTCTATGGGAGCGTATTCAGCGCGTGCCGACACAAGACGATCTTTGGTGCCTGGTGACGCCAGTTAGGGGAGCATGTACCGACAGCGGCACAGATTTATGAGGGCAGACACGACTATGGGCGATAATGCGTGAAACGAAAATGGTAGAGCAGCAGTGGTCGTTGACGTTGGCGTTTGTCGGGCGGAGATTGGCCCAGGAATTATTAGGTGGGTCAGATAAGCGATCCCACCTCAGCCACAACACCATGGATTTTTGATTTGGACATCGTGAGTCCATGGGCACATACGACCATAGCTCGTGGAAAATACGGGGTCCCGTTCGCTCCCCCAGAGTCAAGCCGCGAAGCGCCGGATTAGTAGTTGGGTCGGTGACGACCAGCGAATACCTGGTGTTGTATGTCTATCTTTTGGTGTTTAGACCTTTTTGTTTTAACACTAAAGACCTGGCAAGGATGAAGACATTGTCAAAGGAACAATGGTTACACCGGAGGTGTTGGATGAATGGTCTCTTTCTTGCTATTATACTTGCGCAATTCACCCCAGAGTTAAGCCCTGAGTCGGTGACGACCGGTGAATGCCTGGTGTTGTATGTGTATCTTTTTGCTGTTTGCCCCTTTGTGTATATAGTGAAGTGCTAGTATCAAGCATTCTTTCCCTTATATTGAAGTCAAATAACTCTCGGCCATATTATGCCCAAGGTGTCTTGAAGCGGACTCTATCCACCGCCTTTTGCGCCTGGTGCTGCTGCCACTGTTGTCCAGTGCATCATTGAAGGAGATACGAGTCTGAAGGCATCTTGGAAATGATATCTACCAGCACAATGTACAATAAAGTCAATTACTAGCAATTTGGATAGCAATGGCAGGCTCAATTACAATAGGAAGCTAGTGAGCTCGCGCATAATGGGTGCATCATAACCTGAATTGTCAGGTTATTGTGCAAAGTGTTGGGTGAACAATAGAACTTCTCCCGACTGAAGGTCTGGCGGGCGTACTGCATAAGCCAGGGTGTATACAGGTACTTGAAGCTCAGAAATAGTGAGATCGAACGGCTGCCTAGGCAACGCTCTCCATGAATCGACAGTGAACCTCCTATCCGCTGCCCCCGTTTCGCCATTCAACCCCCCTCTTCTCGTCCCTTGTTTACATCCCCGGATGTTTACTTCTCCAACCCGAGCTTCATCTCTCCCAGCTCTCCCATTTCCCCATCTCTGTCTATAGCATCTCTAGTACAACACTTCACACCGCGATCCAACAAGTATTGATCGAACAGCTTCACTCAAGGTAAGATTCTCCTTTTCTGCAGAATATATCACAACGTTATCATTCCCCGTCCTTGGTTCCTCATAATCTTCCTTCTTGATCATCACGAGCTCGCAGTAGTCACCCGACTCTATCCTTGATCTTCCTTTTGTCTGTACCCCTCAACGACATCACACTCTTCAGTCCTATCCCCAGGGCTGTCGATCATCGCTGCACACTTTTCAACTTACTACGTCTATCTTCATCCCCATTTGCTAACCTTTTCTCATCCATTAGAATCCCATATCCGCTCTCCGTTATGGAGCCCACCAGTGCTCAAGCGCTGCCTGCGCGCATAAAGCGTGAACGTTCGCCTGAACCTGAGGTTCCGCCGGAGGTCACTGCCAACAAGCGCCAGGCTGGCGAGACATCCGCTGTCGCGCGTGCCCCTGTTCTGTTCCGTTGGAGAACCTGTCAGGAACTCGACGATGTCGAAAGGCTTAAGATTAAAGAGAAGGCTGTGAAGCTGGCTGACGAGCATTGTGGCCGAATTCGGGCTGTGCTTGAACATTTTCTCAGCACCTCAAAACTCGACCACATAGACGTCATTGTGATGGGACAACAGATCATAGAGGAGTGGCTCAAGGAGTATGGTAAGTATCGCAGCCTATCTGAAGAATGTTTTCGTGACTCTTGCTGATTTGTTCCAGGTCGCATTCGTTACAAGCGCAAGAGTCTTCGCATTCTGGTGGGAGTCGAAGGCCCTACTGGAGCAGGAAAATCGTCTTTCTTGGGTTCTCTTCTCCGAATTCCGGAGCTGTTCCCTTCAGGACAAGAGTCAGCAGCAACTGCAGTCGTTGGGAAAGTATCCTGGAACTGGGTGGATGCCCCCGGCTTTGAGTTCAGGGCGAAGGTCATCTTCCGCAAAAAGACGGACGTCCAAGAAGAGCTCGAGGGACTATTGCGAAACTTAACGTATCTGGCCAAACTTTTGGCTGGCAATACTGAAGATGAGGAAGACGATGGAACTGGCCAGGCCGACAATATCGCTATCACTAGAGAAGCCATCGATCACGAACTCCCGAAGGTCTACGCCGTGTGGGGCTACGAGGAGGGTTTTCTTTCAGAAGCCGTGAGCGGTTTGAATCTAAACTCAACATACACCCAAATGGTTGATGCGATTCTGAATTCTAACTCTAAGGCTCTATCTTTTCTCACGGCTGGCACTGCTTGTTTCAACGCGACGACCGCAGAGAAGCTCGCTGAGGAAATAAAGCCTTTCCTAGACTCAACTACCGTGGAACATGGTGGAGAGAAGCAGTTTTCTGCGTGGCCATTGGTGAAGGAAGTTCGCATTTACACCAAGGCTAATGTTCTAAAGCCAGGAATCACCCTGGTCGACCTTCCTGGATGCGGAGATGCTGTCGGTAGCAGATCTGAGGTCACCGAGAACTTCGCCCACCGTCTCGACGTGAGGATGGTAGTGAGCCCCATCATACGTGCCGCAGATGAGAAGCAAGGCCAAGTGCTCATGCAGAATGGGTATGATGAAGCGCAGATGAGGATCGCTGGTAGATTGGACGGAAACGGCTTTTGTGTCATCATGTCAAAGATGGATGATATGAACGTTGAAGTCTACATTTCAGGTTGTCCAGATTTACGCCGCGACCCCGAAGTACTTAAGAAACAGGCACAAATCGAAGACCTGAAGAAAGAGTCGGTCGACATCAAGCTCATCCTCAGAGAACTTAAAGACAAAAAAAAGAAGGCAGAGAGCGCCAAGAAGAAGGCAAAAAAAGCATATAAGCGTGCAAAGAAGAAGTTTAAAACCCAGCTGAAGAGTACGTTATAATTTCTGTTGGTGTTCAATACTAACAACGCATTTTAGAAAACCCTAGCACAAACGGGGACCATTTGTCCGATCTGAAAAGATTTCGAGATGAGCAAGCCCAGGCCTTCGATCAAGCGAGCAAAGAATTGAAACAGTGCGACAAGCGCCAGTCAAAAATTACGAAGGAGATGTCGTACATTAGAGACTGGCTGCACCATCGAGCAATCCAGACTCGAAACAAGCGGGTAAAGCAACGCATTCGGGCTGACTTTGACAGAAGACAGCGAAATCTCGACGACCGCGACAACGTTAGACAATCTCAAACCGAGGGCGAATACGTTCTTCCCATCCTGCCTGTATCTACCAGGGCATTTTGGGAACTTGAGAAGAATGAGCTGAAAATGCTGGGATTTCCCAGTCAAGTGTTCACTGGGGTGCCAGCTGCAGAACAATATTTGCATCGAGCAACCCTCAAGAAGCGCGAGAAGCATCTTGATGAGCTGCTTGACCGGTACCAAAATTTGATGACCATGATGCAGATCTACTCTGCACCAAATGGCCAGGATGGTCGTTTCGACTTCACGAGGTCCGAAGTCGAGAATGCTCTGGCTAACACCCACGCCACCTACATGAAAGTAAGTAGCTATCCCGATTCCCAGATTTTAGACTATCGCAACACTTTGCTGACCAACTTGGATGTAGAAACTCAGCACTACCCTCTCCGAGGCTAGTGACCAGATCAAGAAGCTGGATCCTTTAGAACGCCGACAGCATGCGTTGAAGAATTTCCTCGAAGAAGCGCCTCGAATTGTCCAAAAGTGGTCTTACAAGTTCCCCGATGAGGTGAACAATGTCGAGAGAATGCACTGGGCCACCTATGCTGCCAACATTTCTCGCAATGGTACCAAATTCAGGAGCCATGCACCTCCACGTGTGACGTACACGTGGATGGATCATTTGTCAGTACAGATCTATCATCCTTGGGAGACTCATACTAACTTGTTTGCCAGGGCTGAGCCTGTGATGAAGACTATTTGTAAAGACTGGGACGACAAGATGAACAAGCAACTGCCTCTCATCAAAACTCCCATGATACTGGGCTACACGTGCGTATTCACGGCGTATCTGAACGAGATTCAGAAAGTCATAGGCGAGAAAGTCCCATCGTTGGAGTTCAGTTACAACAACATGAGACCCATCCTTGAGAACTCACAGCATGCCACCGAAATCAAGATTCGCGATGCACTCACTCAGCTGGCTGAAAATACAGCTACTGTGGCATTTGATGTTTCAAAGTTTCTCTCTAATGAATGGAAACCAGTCTTTCGAGTCGCTATGCTGGACAGTAAGTTGAACCATCAAAAACGCTTGGTGATTCAAGAATCAGCCCTGACCTAGTGATACAGGTGGACAAGGTTCTTACAAGCGAAGAAAGCAAACGATCCAGGAAAAGATCCAAAATGACTGCCCGACAATGGGTGGCCAGATGATCAAACGTCTCCGACGAGGCGTAGAAAAAGAAATCGCCACACTGCCAGTTCGATTAGAGAATATTGTCACTGAGGAGGTGACCAACGTTAAACAGCAAATGTCCTTCCTTGTCAACAATCTTGTTGAGAACTGTAACACCAATCCAAAGAAGAAGCTCATGAAAGCCAAGCTACAGGACATGATCCGCCCTCATGTCGAAGCTTGGGAATCTATCTGGGCCGAGGAAGGGACCTACGATGAGCATATCCTCGATGTGAACCTCAGCATCCCAGACTCTGTTCCAGAGCCTAACATGGATGACGACGATTCATCTGATAATGAGGACTCTGGCTCTGGCTCTGACTCTGACTCTTCTGAGGATGATGCTGACAAGGGCGAAGGGGGTGATTAGGAACAGGCCTGAGATGCTGGGGGACCGGTGGCGGACATATTGCCATAGTTGGAGTGGATTTCTTGGAATGTTACTCTCACGGGGAATGAGTTATAAGGATGCGTGGAATGTTTGCTTCGGAACTTGAAAGGCCAGGATGGCATATGATGATGACATATGATGGTTTACGATACCAACTGACACCCCCCAATTAGCACAAGATAGTATGACAGACACCGAAATTGAAACAGCGCACTATTACTCTGTCAATCTTGGCTTCGCATTAGAACTCCAAGTGATCTGCCATGTACCATATACTGAAGCGTGTGAAACTTCACTTGGTGTTGAAGACTGTTGGTTATTGTTGCCATAAAAACGTTTTTAGTAAAGAAATGGTCCAAATAAATAAGCAAACGGTTAATGGGAGCCTCCCAAGCATGTTACAGCGATCATTGTAGCGCCCTGTTGTGGAGGAGATAACCACTGCATGGCCGAATGTGGCTGATGTCTACCTGTCTCATATCAAACTCCTAATTACTATATATTCAGATCGCGTGAAGGAATAATGTGTCTTGGGACGAGCCTTTGGGTTTTTATCTGACGATAGCTCCAGGACCAGTGTCAGAGCGAAGTCGGTGGGGAGTTAACTGATTGAAGTCGAACGATCCGGTGGCAGAGGAAGCGCATGCGGGCGGGAAAGGGACAGCCTCCTCCGAGGTGAATACTGAGGAGCCCTAACTTCAAAGTCTTCCTCCGTCCTTCCATTCAGGTACAGGGCATTTAGAAGGCACATACCCGCTCATAGTGGTAGGACAGGTCAATATGAAGCCTGATTACGTCAATCTGGATGGTGGGGCCGTTCCGTTGGCGGGGGTCAAACATTACCCCGGAACTCGGCTAATCCATCTCGAACTCCGTGCTCATATCTCGAGCGTCTCTCAACATCGCTCATACAATACAACAGACGTGAAAGTATCTGCTCATCCTTAGATCTCTTACCTCAGACATTGAACCAACCACCAGAACTTGCTTCGTTGCACCCGTCACAATGTCAGGGAAGGTCAAGCTCAGTCCCACGAAATTCACACAGGCGGTGCGTACACTCAATGCCCCCCGAGGCGCATGCGATGCACAGCCAATTGCAACTCATACGACTCGTGCTTCCTCGAAGCTTAGCAATTAACTAGTGGTTGTGTTCTAGGTCGTGCGCTCTTTCATGGCAGACTCTGGTCTTGAACCTCGGTATGTATCCCAAGCCACCGATGGAGACTCGGCATTCCGTGATAAGATCCCGATACTGACTCCGTTGTCTTAAGTCTTCTAGGAAAACATGTATAGACACCGAGATAATGAGCCTGGTATATGTGTATTGACATGTTGTAGTTCCGTGTCACGAGTGCGACAGAAGGCAGAGTCGACTTCGAGCTTGACATCCAAAAAGAACACACCGTCCGTCTCTCACCTCATCACAATGAGCTCTCACTGACCTCATCCAGAACCGTCTTCAGACAATTCATGGTGGCACACTTGCCAGTCTCGTTGACCTCGGTGGTTCTCTCGCGGTCGCCTCATCAGGCCGCTTCGCAACAGGCGTGTCAACCGATCTGAACGGTATGTGCCTTTCTCCATCACGTACGACTTTGCTGACTTGGCAGTGACATATTTGAGCCCCGGAGGCCGCCCGGGAGACCTTCTCAAGGGCACTGCCACACTCGACAAGATTGGCAAGACGCTGGCTTTTACGCAGGTGACGTTCACCAATAGCAAGGGCCAATTGGCTGCGCGAGGAAGCCATACAAAGTAAGACTAGTCATTATTCGCTTATGTGGTGTTTTTATACTGACTGGGCAAGATACGTTACGGGTACTATGGGTGAAGATGGCCCATTTGTTGCTCCAGCTGAGTTCTCAGACGTGGACTAGACGACGTCACCAGGTTTAGACATTCTGTTGATACGGTGGATTTGAGATGTACTAAGTATCATAAAGTATAGAAGGGTGGTATCATATCTGTAGAAGTTGTCCGAATTCATTCATGCCCATTATCCATCATTAAACGATTCATTATATGCCCCAGCACGCTTAATGCTTCTCCGGGTATGGCTGAGCTGGTACCTGAGGAGGAGTACCATCGGCCTGGTGGTTCAAGCCCACCGTCTCTTCATGAGGAGGTGGTGATCTAGGCTGAGACACAGGAGATATAGCATCATAAGCCGCGTATTGAGGTTGTTGTGGAGCATAGTAGCCGTTCTGCTGCTCGGGCATTTGCTGCTGAGGGCCATACCCCTGTGCCAGATGCTGCTGTTCTGGCTGAGGGTAGTGCTGCTGCTCAGGCATGGGTACAGCATTCTGCGCCTGAGGGGGGATCTGCCCATAACCCCAAGGCGTGCGCTCTCCAGCCTCAACGGCCTTCACGGGCTCCTGGACTTGCTTTGACCAGATACCATTGTTCCTTGCACGACCGACAGCAAAGACCAAGCAGAGTACGACGAACTGCGGCCAGATTCCAAAGACGACTTCGAGGATGTAGTAAGCGTACTTGTACTCACGGTCGCCGTATGCACTGCTCAGATCGGTCCAAGCAGCCGTCGACGCCATGTTAAACGTAGTGCGCAGAAGCCAAACAACTGATGCGGCGATAAACATGTTTGAGCACCAAGTAAGAGCATTCTCACCCTTGGATTGCACCTTGATCAGAATTGCCCGCGCAACGATGGCAAGAGAAATGACAAAGATCAAAACACTAAATGAGAAGCCGACCTGTCGAGCTTTGATGAAGCTATCCACACCAACACTAGCATCGTTGAAGAAGACTTCATACACATATCGAATTCGAAGACCGAAAGCAGCCAAGGCGAGAGCGAAGAGGATTGTTGCTGCGATGTACGAGAAGAAGCGGAGGATCTTGCCCTTTGGATCGGGCTGGCCTGTCTGGACCATGATGATACCAGTGCCGAGACGGAGGAGGATTATCATGACGAGAATGTCGGTGACCATGTCGTAGATCAAAGCAAGTGTCGCGAGTACTTGAACGGTGACTTGTAGAGTCTTTGAGTAGTGCGAGTCAAAGTCACTGTCGATTCTTCCGCTGTTCCATAATTCCGTGTGCACGACTGAGACGACGTATGAAGTAAACTCGAAGAAGGTGTAACTAAGATGCGTCAGCTATTATCCTTCATCAGACAAGTAGTAGAAGATGGGAGCATACCCTGAGAACACTAAGAGTGCCAACTTGAGATATGTGAACGCAGTTCTCGCAGGGTCCCTCTTGCGACGCACGAGACAGAAACTGCAGAAGAAGAGAACGATAGAGGGGATCCATGCTCCAAGGAAGACCATGGCCCCATGGGCGATCCAATATCTCTCAAGCTCATACATTGTCGTATGTTGAGAGTTGTAAATGTCAAGAGTATCTCGATGAATGTTCAGTCCAAGGATGTGTACAAGTTACACAGACAATCGTGTATCGCCGCCAAAACTCGGAGCCAAGAGTGTCGATAAGTCTCGAACCACACCGCAAATAAAAATAAAAGAGCCAACAAGATATAAAGACCAGAAATTCGAGGGCCATCCCCCTCATATTTAGCTCCCCCAGCTGCATCACCTCTTTTCGCATCCTCATCACAGTCGAGAGTTTTCAGGGCTGAAGCAATTGGATCAGCAACCTGCATCTAAGCACCCGAGACCAATGGGCGAGCATCCGCGCTGCAGGGGTCCCGGCACTGCCTCTCCGGGCGTTTTAGCAGCTCTCGCTATTGGCTTGGCATATATGAGCTCTCTAGGCTCTGCATCTTTTGTAATTTACCAGGCTCTCAGGCTGTACCTCACTCTGTGGTCAGGCGTAATCTTGCAAATTTCTTCTAGTATTTAATTAAATAATAGAGTGAGTTTCTTATTATTTAACTGTTAAATTACGATTATTAATTGCTAAGCGCCGTCGTTGAAAGAACCAAACTCTAAAAAGCCCATTTATAGAACCTTCACAGTAGTTTTGGGTGGTCCACAATATTCGTAACCGCTCAGAGGATGGATACGATGTGATGCTGGCGCAGGAGTGTTACGTACGACTCGGTCACTGGCCCAGCCGCAATAGCGGATTGAATTGTGAATCGGCATCTCTGTGCCGTCTCGAAAGGGTATCGACCGTGCGAAATGCCTTGCAACAGCTTGTCTTGGCACGTGGTTTGGAGAATGTAAATGAGCGATGCTTCTGGGGCTGAGCAGCTGTTGTGTGTAGGTATGTTTTCTAAGCACCTTATCCGAATCTGTCAGCACTGTGATTGATTAGTAGATGCTCGTATTGTTTGAGGTTTGCAGATGAACTTATTAAAACACGATTCCGACGTTCATTGATGGCAAATGATAGCAGATGACATTTACTTTAAGTACCTTCTAGTCCAAAATTCTCATTATTATAATACAAGAAAGACTAGAGCCTCATGTTGCTGCTCTTTCTCCCCGGTGTATCTGAGCCCAACCTCAGCGCTGCGATGGCCTCACTGCCAAGACCGTTCAGCCATTCCTCTCCAACTCAGCCACGCTGACACTCACTCTCACGAGTCCATCCCGCAGCCTCAATCACAAAGACAACACCCAAAAGAAAAAGACGTAGAAGAGATCGATCAAGTTAGTGCATCAACTAGTCATCTATCATCACAGTCCCCCCATCACAACCTCACGAATTCCTCGTTGCATACAAAAACGTCGGCATCAAATCGGCCGCCGGAAAAAGATCCCTCGTCCCCGTCTTCAACCAACAATTCCCCCCCTTCACCTCATAATTCTTCGCCATCTCTCTATTAAACACAATACTATCACACTGCGTCGTATTTTCCTTCCCGTTGTTGATCTCGGTGTACATTGCGCATGCGTGCATGCAGTCGAACGCTGTGTAAGCCAGGAGAGCCACTATATCGTTCCCTGGGTAGTCGAACCCGCAGGTGTATGTGAAGACGTAGCCGTTGTTAGTGGTATAGTCGTCTTTGCCGTTTGGTTGGGAGCACGCGTTGGGGAGGGTGAGATTTGTTACTTGGTCTGCCTGTTTGGGCTCGTAGAATTTTGACTCGGTCGTTTCAGTCGTGTCGCTTGCGCTGGCTGTGAGGGTTGGACAGGCCGAGTTCTGTATCGCGGATGCAACTGGGGCCTCAGATACTTGTGAACTGTGACTGTTAGCATTTAAGCAGATTCTAGTGCGTCCGGATATCGTACTTTTTGCAGTTGGCCAGAGCTGATCCAAGACCTCCCCCAACTCCAGCTCCGACAACCACGGCTGTGATGATAGCAACAATCGCACACAGGCCCAACATGCTTAAACCCAAAGGACCCTTTCGCGCCTCGACGACCTGAACATAACCCGCCATTGGATCCTTCGAGCCTTGACTATAAACACCATGAGGGCTGACCTCTGGTGCATGAGCTGCGCTGTCCGAGTAGACCTCGAGGCCTTCGTGATACCGTGCTTCCGACATCCTTTCATATCATTGACGTCTCCAGGTGTTCTGATAGAAGAGCCGCACAGCGCGGATTCAAGTTAGCGATTTGCAGCTACGAGGGAAGGTCACATATTAAATGAAGGCAATTCTCAAATGGAAGGCTTCGGGCTCGGGCTCGGTACCGAACGCACAGCCAAGCCATGCCGGCAGTTGTCACGTCAAACTCTTGATGTATCAGCTCGCATGCAGAATTTGAGTCACTTCGTGAACATATATCTGAAATGAAAGTGGCAGTTCAAATCCTGCAGGATCATTTTGGTTACATCAATAAAACCTTTTGGATCTCGGAACCCATGGTCGACCAGGGTGTAATTGGACGAGTACCCACACGGACCTGGTAAATCGGCAGTTAGATGTTAATTGTGGTAATCGCCGGGAAGCTTGGTATAAGACAAGATGAGACTCGGGCTGGAGCTTGGGAGGAATCTCAAACACTGGTCTGTGAGGAGCGAGATGAGGTGATGTGACTGATCAGCGGGGGCCTCATTGTGGTTACATGTTGGCTTTAAATCAATATCTGTTTGATGAACTCCCTTTTTTGGGTGCTGAGGGGAGTAACAGTGAATGCAATATCGGCATCGAGGCCGTCTCTCATCCCATTTGTGTCTCCGGTGCTGGATCCACACGGGCTCGGTAGGGTCCAAATGCGGCATCGGCCATCGGAGGTTTAAGTTTAATTGATCGAGAATCAGAGTGCGATACTGCAGAACAAGAGCACCGTGAGGTCCAGACAACGACAATAAACCCTATTTCGGGTAGAAGACAACCAAGTCCTTCAATCTAGAACATTCTCTCCGTCCCCAAACCTTACTATCCCCATCCAAAGTTCCAAACCTATAACCCCCAAGCCAAGATCGACGATCTCCCAAAATAAGCACTCTCTGACGTCTCCCCATTCCCGAAGAAAGCATCCACTCAGAAAGAGCCAAGCATCAGATCAATTAAGAGTGACATCTCCTCAACGGCCATTAGCTCACATTACCCTGTTTTCCACAAGGCTGACCTGATGCAAAACACTTCTTACCTCATCAAGACGCAATGATTCACACAGGACACTTTAATCTCGTCGCGTGGTAGGGATGACGTCACATGCACATCGCGAAATCGAGAGCATGACGACGTCACGACTTACTCTTGAATCCAGGAACAAGAAAGTCAACGAGGTAAAGTGTTAAAAAGGCAGTCAAGAGCTCTCCTCCTCGGATAGCTTTCTCTCAACGAAACACTCACTTCAGTACCTACCTACACTCTAACAATAATAACCCCATCAACAGACAAAATGGCCATCACAAGTGCTATCAGCGACCTCTTCAGCTCCATCTACGAGCTTCTCGCCTCCGTCTTCAACACCTTCTACGCCGTCATCCACTCCATTCTCACCACAATCCTCGGCTTCGTCCAGGGTCTTTTCAACCTCATCGGCGATGTCGTCTCCGGCCTCGTTGAGGTCACGGGTGGCGTGGGCAAGTTTGTAGCAAGTGAGTTCCCTTCTCCGTGTTCATATTTTTTTTTCTTCGCGTGCTGACGATGACATAGGCAATGCTGCTATTCTCGCTATCGGCGCCCTTGGTGCTTTCGCGTACGTGAGGTACACTGCCCAGGGACGGGCTGTTGCGAACAAGAAGACTCAGTAAATGCTTATTGTCGATTCGGTCTTTGGAGGTTTACTTGGCAGTAGATATACACGATACCCTCATGCATGGTGGTAAGGGCCTGGTTGGTGTTGGGGATACAAAGGAAACTGTCTTTCGCTATTGAATCCTAGTTTATCAAGTCAAAATTAATGAGGTGTCCGTCAAACTTCTGTGACCTCTGTGGTTGGCCTTGTGCTTGACTTTAAACTGCGGCTCAACCGATCCCTTGCTGGCTCTGCAGATCAGACAATAGCCCTTGTGCTAATCTAGATCACCTTATCCAGTTGCCGCACTAAATCCGTTCACTGTCTCCATACGCACGAGACTTTGGGCCTTGTGACAAAGACGAAGAAGAGTCTGATTCACTACAGAAACACAGCATTTTACGATACAAAAAACATCGAGTAAAATTAGTCGCATGAGTTATGGTTAAAATAAATGTCATAATTCGTTAATGTTGTAGGTTTTCCAATAAATACTCCAATCCCAAACTTGTCTAGATCCTTGAAACATAAATATCCAGAATATACACCTCATTTCATATGTATCCCAGTCTTGCGATATATCCTGTGAAAATATTTGGTTGCCCTCATAAGCCATCAAGGCCGTATCGTTTTCGTTCAGTCACCCGCCTTGGTAATCGATGACATGTCGTTCAAGTCAGAGTAGCAAACATGGCCCGCATGAGCTTAGGAGGGGGTCCTGTGCAGCCGAGTCAGCCACACGTTCTCAAAAGACGCGAATAACAAAAAAGGCGCACCTTTAACGGTACTTAGGTACGCTAATGGACATCCTACCTTTCTTGTCCTTCTCAATACGAGGAGGTTTGCGGTGTTCAACCACCTTCTCCAATCTTTCTTCTCGGATAACAAGCTGTCCGTCGGGCAAGCGCTCGGCACGGACAATTTCGCCGCTGGTGGAACGGCCTCGAGGACGGTGAGCCAGCTCACGTTCGAGAGCCTTGATCTCCTTTCGGATGTCGCGTCCACTTCGGGATCGAGAGCGAGATCGAACGACGAGCTCCTCGGTGGGGTGGTGATGATGGTGGTAAGAGTCCCAGCTCGAGGAAGTGGTGGTTGTGGTGAACCGAGACGGCGAAACGTCTCGGATGACAGTCTCCTCGGCATATTCAAAGGGTACTTGTTGCGGAGGAGGAGGCCCAGGCTGGTAGAAACCAGGCGGTGGTCCAGGCTGAGCCATAGGAGGAGGCATCATCTGGACGGGTGGAGGTGGCATTGGAGTTTGTTGAGGAGGAGGCATCATTTGAACAGGTGGGGGAGGAGCTGGGGTTACGACCGGAACAGCAGCTGGAGGAGCTTGAACTGGGGGAGCGGGAGGCGGGGGAGTCTTGGCCGGCGGTGGTTCCGGGGTTGGCTCTCTGACCTTTTCCTTGGGTGGAGGTGCAGGCAAAGCAGCTGTAGGTGCCTTTTGTTCTCGAGAGGCGGCAATTTCAGCTTCAACTGCGGAGTGTTAGTAGCGTATCGATTTTGTAGACTGCCAACTTACCCTTTTTGTAATCCTCGCTGACTTTGAGAAGCTCGTCGATGTTGTCTTGACCAAGAGCCTTTTGCACAATGATTGTGGTGCCCTAAGTCTTGTTAGAGGCTATGGATCACGTTCTCAGATTGGTTACAAACCTCTTCAAAGAATGGGTATCCGAGATCAATGAGAGCTCGCTTAGAAACAAGCTTAGCAGGAATGCGAGTCTTGCCCTTCTTAGGATACTCGCTCTTCACTGTAGTGCCACCGCTGCTGCTAGAGGAGCGGCTTGAAGATGAAGAATACGAGCTGCTTCGAACAGAGCGAGTTCGAGTTGACCGAGATTCTCGGCTGCGTCCACGACGATTGCGAGACCGAGTGTATTCTCGCTCGCGAACACGCTCGGGCATGGATCGGTAATCCTCGTCGCCATAATAGTCGGGCTCGGCAATCTTGATGTCGTCATAGTACTCGTCGCCGTATCTGCGAGGTGGAGGCAGTCCTCGGCTCTTGGGAAGAGGAATAGGTGTGTAAGGAGGAGCACGGTAGTCATCCCGAGGATCTCGGTGATCTCGAGGACGGATATCCTCACGGCGGGCAGGAGGGGGGTATTCCTCACGGTCCTGGAAGAAACGTGGTCGGCGGTCAAAGGTGTCAAGAGATGATTGTCGGCGGAGGAAACCTGGTCGACGAGGTGGAGATTCGCGGCGAGGAAATTCTCGCTCTCGTTCTCTCTCTAGAACATCTGTGCGGCGAGCCCAGGGAGGTGGCATATCTCGCTCTCTTTCTCGCTGAGGCTGAGGGCGAGAATCATCGCCGTAGTAGCGACGGTCACGGATGTCTTCTTCTTCGTAGTAACCGCGGCCAGGTCGACGGTCATATCGCTCATCTGAGTGGTCGCGGCCTCGTGTGCTGCGTGTATAAGAGCGATCATCATCGAAGCGATCTCTGTTCTGTTCGCCGCGCATTCGCTCAAAGCGATCGCGGTCCCAGCGTTCGGCCATTATAACTGTGTGTAGTGTGGTATAGTGTGATTGTGGCTGCTTAAGCAGACCGGAACGAACAGAGGCTAGTCCTCTGGTGTTAGTGGTATGGCTGATCGCTTTTTTAGCGAAAGGGTATCAAGTGCAAGTTAAAGGTGCAAAAACGATGATGGGGGAAGGATGGAGGAGAGAAAGAGAAAGAAGAGATGATGTACTGGAGGGTGGGCGGGATACTTGATGAGTCGAGAGGGAGGGAACAAGACCAAGGATTAGTGGTAGCAATATTCAACTGGGATTGGATGACCAAGATGGAGAGGATGGTTGATGGAGGGTGAGAAGAGGCCGATGACGTTGACAGACTGATCCAAGACCCCGCTTGTCGAGACATTCCAGGGCCGAACTGTCCAAGTGGATCCCCGTCTTCTCAGTGGCTTGTGACCTTAGCGACAATTACAGGGGGCTGAGCGGTACAATTGCATGAGGGGACAGCCCTGGAGCTTCAATGTCCAGCTGATGACGACTTGTGATGAGACGAAGTTGAACAGTGAGACAGCACAGCACCTGATATACATCAGACAAACAATCAAGGATCCTTGAAAGCCTCGAAGAACCAATGCACGAGATCGGAGAGAAACGTTACGTGCGCAAATGTACACAAACACAAGCTTACACAAAGAAAGAAAAAAGAGAACCACCACTGTAGCTCAGCGCCCATTCGCTTCGACAGTGGTCTCGACGCCCAAGCACAAACCAAGTGGGCCGGCGAAGCCAAAAGCCGGATTATGGCACATGAAATGCAGGGACTGGGATTAATTGAGGCTGCGGGAATACATACTGTTAGTAGTCAGATAAATCTCGATAACTGATCAAATCTGTAGAACCATATGTGAATTCCCATATAAGGCAAGGGAATGTAAGTGTTTACGAATGTCAAGTCTTGGTGTTTTACTACCAAGGGAAATGATCGTCATTAGTCGATCCAAGTGTGCACTTCTAAAAATGGCACCTCTATCGGGTGATCCTACCCTTCTCTATTTTAACGATAACAAAAGACAAAGCCCACAGGGAACAAAGTTTCTCAAGCCTGCAGGGTCTTCCCTTGAAAGGAACTAAACGATGGAGGGGAGAGCCTCAAAGGGCGGGCTTTGCTCTCGTCTTTACCGAGACCAACGGCACAAGCCGTATTTCTTTGATCATGGTAGCCCAAAGCTCGCCGCTCGGGCTCTGCTGCGTTGCATTTGGGTTTCTTGGGCCAGGGCCTGAATAGCTCACCGGCAGATGGAATTTCCAATGGGTAGCTGCAGCATCGGGGTTTGTGCAACTTGTCCATCGGAATGGCAACTTCTTACCGAATTTTCTTTTGGGAAACAACAAACTTGTCACTGGGACGTGTCAGCTTGGGTAGTCCAGTTCCCCCCTCAAGACTTATCATCCTGGACTGAAGCTGTCGTGCAACCAAGGACCTCAAGTCGCAGGGAGATTCTCCTGTACGATGACGTCGAGAACCCAAGACACAAGCCCTGGCTCGACCCACATGAGCAACGCAGTCTCCGAGCCAATCATGTCTTCCCAACTCTAACAAAAAGCTGTTGGGCACTGAAACTCGAGATCTCCAGAAGATCAACTGAAACTCGGCAGGATCTGATTACATTGGGCAATCACTGCTCGGTACCTGATTAACCTTCTCGGCCTCCATGAGACCAGTTTTGATCTAGGCTTCCACGGTAGCTGAAGAAGGTGGGACCGCCAGATATCTGTAGACAACCATGTGGAAGGTACTTAGGTGAGCATTTGCACGTATGCTCACGTGACAGACCAAGAGGCGTCCACCAACACCACCTCACTCTAGAGTCATAGGTAACCAACCGCTTAACTTCCTACATATTCATTCCTGCCTCAGTCTCATCTTCACCACAATTCCTACGCTGGAACTGCCAGTGCACTCAGTGGAATACAATGCCAGAGGATATCTGACGACATCTCAGCAATTCACGAGGCTGCGAAAAGCGATCTTTCCATGTCCATCAATGCCAAGCGGCAAATAGCTAAAGATCTCAGCGTCGCTAGGAGGGTCCTTCAACCTGCTTCTCTGGTGGCTATGACCTTCGTGCCGCCATCAACTTCCATGTACCTTAGAAAGTTTCTAGGGTGCTCTGTACAGCACTCCAAAAGGCATTTACGGTTACTTCCGGGGCGCGAGGACTAGAATTCATGAAAGGCGCCTGGGTTTTATTACCGGACTGGTTGAACAAATGAAAAGCAGGCGCATGAAAGACAAGAAACTATGAATTCCGCGTAGAGTTGTCGGGAAGTTGAAGTTGGACGTGTTGGCCTGGGACCGGTTGAGCTGCGTCAACGCCAATTTGTCCCACGGCTTATACTGGCGCATCTAACGGGACCTGGTGTCCGAGGTGTGATGCTTGACGATTAGAGGACATGGGACCTGAGCATTGTCATGCTGTCACTTTTTGATGGAGGAACAGAGAAGTACTAAAAGCACGTTGGTGATTTCATCTAAGCTAACTTTCCGTACAACAATCGCGGCCACTAAGCTCGAAACCGAGCTCTAGAAAGTGCATAAAGTACCTACCTACCTAATCAGCGCGTCTTCGCCCACTGGCTTGCTTATCGCGAGTCGCGTTTCGCCGCCTTCTAGCATCCTCTAGCATCCTGTACTCAGGCTCCAGCTTCGCGAGCCTTCGGCTTGCCCGTTCCTTCGTATACGTTTTGCGCTGCCTATTGTAGCGTTGGGGTGCTGTTCGTGGCGGGGCTCCCACTTGCGTCAATGTGTTCTTAGTGACCCGAGCGCCACAAGTTTTGCGAAGAGTGTCTCTCGCTGGTTGAGGTGTCGTTGCTGACGACTGCGCCACTGCTCACCGCATCTGAGTACCTGGGACATCGCCTGTCCCGCCTGCTTTGGGGACTGTTGCTGGCGGCGGCAATAGTTCTGCCCTTCTGACGCTTCGGTCGTAACCGTACTTGTGGGCGAGGTAGTTGGCATTGGGACCGAAGTGGGTAAGTTGCGACATGCAGCTCCTGTGTTTCATTTCCTCCCGGTCTTCAGGTGACAGTAGATGTCCAGTTCCATCTGACTGTTTTGTCAATTCTGTTGACCTTATAATGGCCATTTCTAGAGCCTCACGGTCTCTCTGGTCTTCGCCCTCAATTCTTTCCAACTCTTCTGCACATGATGCAGCATCGCCCTGAGCATCAGACCGCAGGGCCTCTCGCCTTCGCCGGCGGGAGATGCGACCGTGGGTACCTTTATGCCAGAGATCCCATACACCCAAATTCCATAAATCCCAATCCGTATTCGGTGGAAATTTGGTAGGCTGCGATCCGTAGAAGCAGTTCCAGGCGTCATGCTGGGAATAGGTGGCCGAATCGGCTTCTTCTTCTGGGTTTACATCCTTGCTGAAATTACCAAGCTCTCTTGGTACAGGATTGCCCCGTGACCATTCAAGGAAGGCTACGTCCGCTTCATAAACAGCAACGATCTCTTCCTGCGTCCAGCCCTTCTTGGGGAGGCTGATATGGTCCCGGATGTTGTCTTTTTCAAGCCACCACCGATCACTATCACGTCCGTGAAAGCTTTCCATTAGCTTGCGTTTCTCACGGGCTATCTTGTTGCCCGGCTCATTTTCACGTCGCGCCCTAGCCCTGTCTATGATCTCGTCTCTTAGGAAGAACCTACGGAAGTGGTACATCTCCTCGGTCCAGTGCCAATGCGTTCGCAAGTACTCCATTTGTTCCCATGGGTCTGCCGGGAAAGGCGTCGGTTCGCGAGACTCAGCACTGTCACTTGGTGGCTGAGGTGTCTGGGGTGCTGGGGGTGGGGAAGGACTGCGTGGAAGGCACTACGCTTGCAAAACCGTCGACATCGATGGGCGTCCAACGGCTGACGACCTACTATAAAACTGGCTGACATATGCCACCTTGAGTTCAACAGCACCGCCGGTTTCACCCCAGCCTAGCGTAACGACAACTATAAACTCTGTATCACCTGTCCTCACGGACTGGGAATAAACGGTACGAGTACAGCCACTGGAAGTTCAAGCGCTTCTTTGGTGGTTTGTGCAACCTTCTAGACTCGTTGTGATACTCTGTCGAAGGAAATAAGCGTGCTGCCGTCTCAGTACTATCGGCTTTAATAGTCACTCCCTGCTCTTTGTTTATTTTATCGATTTCTTGATTGGTCCCCTTCTTGTAAGACTCAGGACCAGAACTGAGGAATGAGCAGTCAAAGGACTGACCAATTGTCTCGCAGGTCTCTTTGTCACAAAGAATTCCTGCCGCAGCCTAGCTGGACGAGGACATCCTTGACTGCTTTTCAGCACAGGTCACCCAGTGGTGAATTGTCAAGCGACACCATTGAACAGTCTAGGTATAATCGCATCACACTATTTCGGGTCGCCTTAGCAACTTCTGCTATAACATATAGTGTTTGTTCTTCCAAGCGAGTATCACCAAGCAGTCCTTCCCATGCGGACATTTGCATTCAGCGTTGTTTCGTAATCTAGTGGTTACCTATACAAGTTCCGCCTTCAAAAGCCCCCCTTTATCGTGTGCCATACATGATCCAAAGTTCCACAACCCCCCGAGCTCTTCAGTTGCACCTATATTCTCCCTACTTCACTCGCCCTCTAACATCCCAGGCTGACAGCATTGGCGAACAGAGCATAGGTATCAGCGTGGTTGATGTTCTGCTCAGCAGTCAAGCTCTGGATGAAGTTATATCCATAACCACCATAGTCAGAAGTTCCCTTGATCTGGTTAAGATGGGTCATCTCGTGCAGGTTGGTGTTACCCTGGTCCTGAGCATGGCAGGTTGAAGTGCTAGCAGGAAGACGCTCAAAGTACAGGTCACAGTAGGCCATGTAGTTTCCACCAGGAACAGTATACGCAAGAACACCGTTCTGGCACGCGCCGTAAACATCAGTACAGTAGTATCGAGTATCTCCAGCATTGGTCGATCCACACTCAGCAGCGATCTTGGCAAAGACATCAGCAACAGTCGAGCGAGTCGCAGCGTCAGAGTTCTTGAAGTACTCCTCCACCTTCGCAGCAGGACCATTGGACGCAGCCTCCTGGGCAGCTGAAGCCTGTCTAGCACAGTTCGACAGAGCAGCCTGAGTGACCTGGAGCTTGCTGCCAGAACAATCACTCTGAACTTGAGCACGCTTCTGGTGGAAAGCTGTGCGGACGGAGAAGGCCTGGGGACCGTCGACTTCGGCGTCGAGACGGTTGGAGTAGAAGGGAACTGAGCCGATCAACTCGGTTGAGTTTTCCTGGGCGAAAGAGAGGGCGCCGGATGAGAGGACGCTGAACTTGCCACCAGCGGAAAGATCGTGGAACTCGGCAATGTCGAACTCGACTTCGTACGAGTTGCCGGAGGGGATGCTCTGGAAGGCGGTATCATCGAGCTGGGTGGTGTCGAGGGCGATGCGAACACCGTCGAAGGGGACAGTCTCTTTCTCTGTTGGGGGTCAGTAAATGAGTGGCTATGGTGGTAGTGACTGAGACGAGGGGAGTATCGAGGATGCCAACACCCAGACAGGCTACATGCTCACTCCATCCGACACTACCTCACATCTAGAAAGTCTTACCAGCAGAGAAGACCTGAGCCCTCTCGACAGGAGCCGTATCAAGGAATGTTCCAACCTTGAGGAGCTTCAAGTTGCTCTTCCCATTATTGGTGATAACAGCCTTCACCTTTGAGTTCCCCTGCATCTTCAACTCAACATTCAAGGGAGTAGGGGCGCGCTTATCCACCAGGGGCGCAGCGACAGCCATAGAGGCGAGAGCAAGACCAGCAAGCAGCTTCATATTGAACGATAGACCAGATCGAACGAATGTGGTTTAAAAGAGTGAAGAGAATGAAAAAGAACGAATGAGTGAATGAAAGGAATGACTGTTGTGAAGAGGATGAAGACATGCTGAGATACTCGAGGTATCGTGAATACTTATACGAATGTCGAGTTGATACCCTGCAACTCGTCTGGACTCGGCAGCAGGGGACTTGCGACGATATTGATCCGTCTTGGTGTGGACCGATCAAGGGTTTCGTTTCGGACATGTCAATATGTTTGACACGCACCATTTCCGCTCTCCAATCTTGGCGATTCTCGAATTAATTGTCCGAAAATTGACTCCCCAACGTTACCCATTCTCTACAATCATCGTCTGTTTATGCTATTTTCGCCTTTTGAGTTTATCTTCCGATTTACACAATTAACCTTAACTTTACCAATTGACTCTGTCCGATGTAACAAAATCGAAGATCTCCCAAGATTAAAAAAGGATCAAGGTCAGGTCCGGGCGTCATGCCCTTTCGAAACACACCATGTAGCATCGTCGGCTGGGATGAGTAAGCCCCACAATAGGATCGGTCAAGGCTATAAGAGATCGTCGTAACTCAAGGTTACGAGATTGGAAGGGTTGTTTGTGAATGTATTAAAACAAGGTGTTTCCCCGTTTGACTTGAGACGGCTTTGGACCGTTGAGGAAGGAGATTGTGGTTTGTTGTTTGACGGGCCGTTTCTATAGCGTTATGAGTTGAGATTATTGGACAGAGGAATTTTTACGGATTCGAGTAGAAGAGCTGGGCATGATGATGTATCAGATTGCTGACGGCATGTGATTTTGAGGTGGTAATAATTGTTTCAATGGCAGCTATGATCACTAACGACAAACAAGCCGAAAACATTGCACCAGACGATCTTCAGGTAAACTGATAGATCTGATGGTCAAGAATCTCCAGACTTCTTGGCTTTCCACTATCCTGCATATCCTCCAACGTCTAAATAAGCCCTCCACACTACCACTTAAGCTTATACAACAGCCTCCGATCATTTCCATTCTCATATCTGACAAGATTTACAGGGATCATTGATTCATCTCCGGTCTACAGGTACTAGACCCATGATACTCGAAATAACGTACAAAGATCGGCACGGAGCATTGACTTCAGAACGTTTGGAGCAGGTGCCAAATCTAGGCCAAACAAGCTTGCTTGGACCAGTTTGAGAACCTGACTTGGGTATTATGGTGGAAGAGTCCTATTGGTAAGACGCTCCTGAATAGTCTAGAGGATGATGGATTCTTGCATGTGAGTATTGTTTGTTTGGCTTGCCGCGTTTATTGAGATATTATGATGTTGGGGCCAATTGAAGGTATCAGTTTGTGGTATCAGGGATAACAATAACGAGACATGTGATAACTCATTGCAAGTAAGAACTAGATTTACATTGGACTTTTCACTTTTGCAGAGGTGTAGCATCGATCCATTAGGAGAGCTATCGAAGCTTTCACTGGGGCATTCAACAAGAGCATTCATGCGGATCGGATACCCATGGAAGTGACGGATTAGCTCGAACTGTCTCTGAGATTTTTCTGTTCGATATGGGAACTCTTTAAACAAGCCGAGAGACTATACTTCTCTGTCAAACTTTTCTGCTGAAGAGACAGCCATGAGAAGAGCTGGGGAGAAGGTGTTTCTGGTTGCTGTGTTTCTGGTTACGTCTAGAAATTCCACCCTACCCTGGACCAGTCCATGATAACCAGTAGCTACAACGAGTTGCGCAACAGCCCAAGTATTACTAAGTCAATCTTCAATGCTGGTGCATTTATGGCTGTTCCAAATGCACAGCACTTATATAGAATGACAATTGTAGGCTGTGGATATGTATATGATAACCTTTACGATGATTGCTGTGATATAACACTCAGATCGATTACCCCATTCCTTGCAGCAAAGGGAGCACCGTACAGGGTTCGGCAGGCATCTAATCGCCAGTACGCGATACCGATTGACTTGCCAGCAAAAAGACATCATGGAAGAAGCACAACTACAAAAAGAATGATCACGCTGGGGATCGCTGGGGATCGAACCCAGAATCTTGATCGAACCCAGAATCTTCTGATTCGTAGTCAGACGCCTTGCCATTGGGCCACGCGACCGTTTCTCGTTATTGAATTGTCTTCCCAAAACGTCCACTACAGATTCTGCGCTCAGATTTTCTCGCTAGACCCGGAAGATTGCCCGCATCACTTAAATCAAACTCGGTACGTCGCCCACAACCCGCGCCAAGCGACAGGAGCTAGCGACTGATGGAATCTGCTAAAGAGTAAAAGTCTCCATAGCGGCGTTCAATAGCTCGGAGTAGACCCTGAACTAGACCAAGCCATGCAATGACAGTTCTTTGCGCCACCTTTATAAGGGAGGAATAGGGATAGGCGGCACAGCACAAAGAATGCAATGCAGGTGCACGTGAGATACCGTGAGCCCCTGGAGCTTGCGTTAGGTTAGGGGAAGCAGTCGCGTACCTTTTAGCTCAGACGTAAGGTTAATTATTATCTTAAGTTAGTTTTTAATGGGACGTACTCTGTCCGAATCCAGCTCAGCTCCTCTGCCTCTGCCTGCACGTTCATTTCATTCTCTTGGGATCAAATCTTCATTCATCATCGCACTCACACTTACCTCACACTCACCTCACTCTCCTTTATGCCATCATCTACGTGATACAGGGACTGAAACAATCCCTTGTTCCTTCGACGTCAACTCACTCATTTCATTTCTCTTGTCCCGCTGTTCAAAAACTGAGCTCATGCCATGGCCATCTTCGCGTCCTCAGCTGTACGCCTACTCATCGGCCTCACAGTCGCACTCACCTTCATCGCCTTCTTCACACCAACAGGCTACGTACCAGACGTCGCATTATCATTCAGGATGCCAGCTGCACTAAAAAAACTCGAAGTCTCCATTACCCAGGAGGAGAAAGATCCTGTTCTCATCCGCGCAACCGTCAGAAACAACAATGACGAGCCCGTCACTATCCTCAGCTACGGCTCACCCCTGGACCCTTTGGGCATTTCTCTTGGCATTCTTTACATCACGCCAAAGGGCGACAGTAAACCACTTGACATCATGCAGATTGAAGCATCACGGCTCTGGCCGCCTGCCGATGATGCTCTAATTGAGATTCTCCCCGGCCGATCGGCCATTTGGGAATTCACCCTCCAGGAACCTGTTGTTCCGATGGATAGGGTGTTTGAGGGCGCGACGGTGCAGCTAAAGGGGACGTGGAATGCTGTGTGGACCAAGGAGAAGAAGAATGTTGACTACACATCCTTCGAGGAGGGCACACCAGCAAACGAGACTCTAACAGGGCCATTCAAGTCAAACGTCATCGACATTGAAGTCGTATAGACATGAATTGTATCATCACCATTGTTATTATTACTTGGCGTTTGGGGGGGCAGGCATGATTAATTGGTTCACTTGTCACTACGTTAGATGACCTGAGTGATTGATGGGTTAATTGGGAAGAGAAGCAAGGGGCGAAAATGTTTTTTATTAGAATACATATAATCCAACCCAACCCAACAAGCAAAGAAACAAGCAAGCATTCTTTGTGTCTCCCTAAAATGCCTGCAGTCAGCCCTTTCGACGCAAGCCACATTCATACCCTGTAACAGGCCATTGACCAACCAAGCCCAGGCATGGACAAGTGTCTTAGATTATATCCAGAGCCACGCAACGCCGGCTGATGGGTCTAGTATTCATGGATCGTTAGTCTAGTCAATGATTGATAGCGTTGGTATGGCTAGCTTAAGGACCGGCGGTCCGGAAACCCCCTTTTCCAAATAAGCACTATCAACACTACCCTGAAGCTGAACAAGTCATGACGATTGTTGGTTCTGATGAAGAAATGCTGTCTCTTGGGATTGTCATACGATGAACTGACAATGCATACATGCATGCATGTGTAGATTGCGCTGTTCTCAGCCAATCACAAGTTAAGTTGTTGGCAAATCAGCAGACTCAACCAACAACAAACCATGGTTATTATATTAACCCGCTTGGCAGCAACGCACTCTCTTTTCCCACGCCTAAGTTCATCGCTTTTCTGTTTACATCAATTTACCAAAATTGTTACCTCTTTTAGTTATGCCACAGAGTGCACCCAGCTGCTTGTGACAGTATTCCCAGGCTGTTGGGATGCCTTACTGGTATGACCCTGTGATGCTTCTTCACCTTCGACCATTGAATCACTGGTAATTGAGACGATGCTCAGTCGAACCTGTCTGTCTCTACGGGAATGTATCGATGTGCTGTGGTCGCTGTATCCTGGGACTGCAAGCTGCCGACGGGCATCACCACCTCAGATTCCTCTTCCCATGCTCAACAATCATCAACATCACGTTCTCAGTATCAAGCGTAGTATAACCCAATATTCAATTTTACTCTAATCTACTTTTACAACATTCTTTCCCCGGATATCATTCTACTCCCGAACAAACATACCAGCCATACCCATACCCGTACCAATACACATACTCACAACACCAACCTCACCACCATCCCTCTTAAGTCCATGCAAAAGCGTACTCGTCATTCTCGCTCCCGTTGCTCCGAGGGGATGTCCCAGCGCAATAGCGCCTCCGTCAGGGTTAACCTTCTCCTTCGCCCACGCATCCTCGAGTCCCAGCTCCCTCACACAGTGCAGCGCTTGACTAGCAAACGCCTCGTTGATCTCCCACCGTGACACGTCCTCTGTCTTAAGACCAACTTGGTCAAGAAGCTTGGGGATGGCGAGGGCGGGGCCGATACCCATCTCATCGGGGTCGCAACCGACTGTCACGGCTGAGACGAACTTTCCGATGATGCGGTCTTGGAGGCCGAGGGCAGTAGCTGTGCTTCGGCGCATGAGGAGGGTGGCAGCAGCACCGTCGGAGACTTGGCTGGAGTTTCCAGCTGTCGAGGCACCGTCGGGCTTGAAAGCAGGCTTGAGCTTAGCAAGCGCCTCAATGCTAACACCCTCACGAATACCATCATCAGCAGTGACTGTAATTTGCTTCTCCTCGCCAACCTTATTACCCTGCTTATCAACCTCCTGGAATCTTGTCTCAACGGGTACAATCTCCTCCGCAAAGCGGCCCTCCTTTCTCGCACGAGCAGCACGACGATGAGACTCAACAGCCATAGCGTCCTGGTCCGCTCTCGAAACACCATATCGCTCCGCAACGTTCTCCGACGTCAAACCCATAGGCATGATACAATCCTGTGCATGGCGATTAGGCGAGGTCTTCAGCTCCGGCCATACATCCACAGGAATCGCTCTGCTTCCGTAATTCCTCGTCATGCTCTCCATACCAGCTGCGATACCGGTGTCGATCATGCCTGTCTGGATCTGCGCCGACACAGCAGCGATGGCCTGCAGCGAACTAGAGCATGCGCGGTTCACGGTGTACAAGCTGGTGGTGTTCTTGAAGCCGACGTGGTTGAGAGCCATGCGCGCCGCCTTGGAGCCGCCGAGCTCGGAGAGCACCACGCCGACTGCTACATCGTCGACGGGGGCCTCGGGGTGTGCTTTGAGAGTGGCCTTGAGGACGCTGGCGAGGAGCTCCTCGGGGTATGCATCCTTGAGCTGGCCCTTGTAGGAGCGGCAGATGGGAGTGCGAACGGCGGAGAGGATTACGGTGTCGGAAGGGGATTTGGCGAGGACGCCTTGAAGGCCTTTATGAAGACGGGCTGACATTATGACGGTATTTGGGGTATATGTGAGATTATGGGGTTAGAAGGTGACCAACTGATAAGATGAAGGAGAAAGAAAGAGATCAAAGGTTCATGATGAGAAGTGAGAGAAGTGTTTATGAGCCGGGTAAGTAAATATCCCATTACCCATTGCCCTCCACCCCCGCCGAAAGCCGGAACACTCCCGTCCCGTTGCCATGAGCCGAAAGTGGATCCTCGACACCGGCTTCAGACTTCGGGTAATGTTTGGAGTGTGGCTTGAAATGTCGGAGCGTCGGGTAAGATCCCTACGTGTGGCGTTGGTGGCTGTGCATTACTCATCATGAGACATTCACATTCTGTGAGCTTCAATACTGTTGGAACTCGAACAATCTTTCCATTTATACACAAATCCCGCTGTGGCATTCTACCCTCTTTTGATCACGCCAATATATATATACAAACTCGCCAAATGCAATGCCTTCAACGCCCTCCTGCGCCAATGCCATCGTTATTCGTACCCCTGAACTCCATTTGCAATCTGGTTCTGACATGACATTTCACTGTCTATACTGAATCCCCAGTCCTAGCTTATCTTGTCCATCTGCTATTGGTTCAATCACTTTGGACTTCTTCGCTGGACTTGCTTGATCGAGCCGTATCTCCTCGGTAGATAAATGGTTGCCGCTGAATTTTCGCTTGTCGCCATCTCCATTTCGATGAGAAAGTAGTCTCTCCTGCATGCGAACTGTCTTCTCCATTGGTCCTGGCGTGTTTCTCAGAGTTTCAGCCACTTCAAAGCTCTGCCGCGGATCTCGCCGCAGCATCTCTGCAGCAGCTTGACTAGCCTGGCTATCAAATACTTCTCCGTCCTGGTCGCTCCGGTTCCGTGGCTGTGATGTAAATGACTGAGCTGCAGCAACCGACTCAAGCGCTTGCCTAGCTAGCTCCTCATTATCGTCTGCTGAAATAGTGCTCTCTCGACTCCTACGGCGGCGGTCAGTCTTGGCCACAGGTGTCGTAGGAATGAACTGTCTCTGGGAGTATCGATGAGGCTCCGAGTGAGGTACCAGATCCACCGATGGAAGAAGCCCAACATTTGTACCCACCGGCCGGTTCATAGGCGTCGTGGGCAGGGACGACATGGATTGCGAGTTGCGGTGGTGTTTCCCGACGCGTGGTGCAGGGCGGTGAGAATGCATCGGTGTCGAAGGTGCGCTGTTGTTATCCTGGCTCATAGCCTGTAACAAAGCCGAGAGACCATGCTCGCCTTGTGATCTAGATGTCTGCTGCTGTTGAGAGTTTCTATGCCCTTGTGTCACAACAGAGCCTTTCTGTCTAGGTGTCAAAACTGCGTGAAATATACCCCCAGGTCTACAGAGCATCTGCATGTGCTCTCTGTTCTCGCGTATCCGTCTCAGCAACATGTCTCGCTCTTCATGAAGAGCAATGCTTTCATCCTCGCTTTGCTTGATGACTTTCTTAGCCGTCTTGACTCGGCGTTGGAGGATCTCATTCTCTTGTAGCATGGCCTCATACCGCGTCTTCATCTGCAAGTACTTTGTTTGTAATGCCTCGGAAGGCTGATCAAATTCTTTCCTAGCCATTCGGGTAAATTCTGCATTTCGCAGCGCGTCTACCTCGCGACGCATCATCTCGTGTTCCACAGCAGCACGCTTAGCGTCGTCGTCGGCCTGGATAGACAACAAGTTATACTGCAACTTATGATGAGCTGTCTCCATCTTGAGCTTTTGTTGTTCTGCTAGAGCTGATTGAAGCATGACACGAAGCTCGTCGGCGGACGCTTCGAGGACCTGATGTGGAGCGGGAGGGAGGAATTCTGTTGTCACAGGCCGTTCGCATATGTTATTGGGTACGGTAGCTGGCGGGGAGAAGAGTGTTGACGACTGCTGGGAGCCAGAGAACTTTCGTTTGGAGGGACCGGGACCAGCTTGACTGGCATGGCTGTTGACCTGGGTCGAGGGGGGCGGTGTAAGTGACGATGGGATAACAGTAACGGCCGGTCGGTCCTCGTTGATCTCGGTTCTAAAAGATTCGTTTGGATCGATGGGCGAATTTGGAATCTCAGTCGAAGGTAATGTCACCGCAGCTGGATCTTGGGGTCCTGCTTCCTGAGGTTGAGGTGTCGTGGGGTTCTGTCGCTCGCGAGGATGCCTAACAACGATCGTATCGCCCTGTACGGTTTGAGAGGCCTGTGTGGCTTCGGTAGGAGAAGTCATGTTGAAGCAATCGTGTTCTGCTTTCAAATAATTCCCCAGGCAACCAAGTCGCGTCAACAGCTCTCGTCGTTCCGATCCGTCAGCTGAGGAAGCCGGATCTTCGACAGCGGGTGATATATATGGCTGGCGTCTTCAATGCGTACATGTGCTTTGCATGCGCGTATGTTTATTATCCTTTCCAAATCAAACTTTATGCGTTGTCGTGCAGCGCAACGCAACGCACAACGCGCCGCGATATGGATCCACAGTAAACAGCGATTGTGATGAGGGAAAAACAATCGATCACAGAACCTTCAGTGGAAGAGGAGCAATGGGGATATAAAAGCACAATATCAGTAGGAAACGGTAGACACAAGTAAGAAATGCTTCGGCTTGTGACGCCGTCGTTTTTGGTTGCTTCCAAGAAATGAGAAGCTAGCTTGGTTGAAGATGAAAGACCCGGGAACAAGGGTTTTTCCGTCGGGCACGCGCCTAAGTGTTTTCAGTGGAGGATGATGCTTGTTTGTAGGCACTAAACTATAAGGGGTTCTAGGTGAGGTTCGGCGATCGCGGCCTGTGAAACGATCCACAGGCGTTATCTGTCAGCGCCCGAGACATCCAAACCAACCGAGCCGAACCAAACGAAACAGATACAGGATGAAAGCTAGTGGAGAAATCTCTTGATATTGAAGCGAATGAATCAAACCCTGTATCCAAAAATGACTGTCAAATAGAATGCCCCAATCTGCACTCCCCAACTCCAACCCTGTACCACCAAAACACCAAACAGTTCGTGATACCCTTAAACAAGAGTGGTTTCAGAAGTCTCACTCTCCGTCTTTTGCTTCCTTTCCCCACCATACTTCAAAGACAGATTCCGAATACCTCTTCTAGCAGCCAAGATAACATAACCCAAGCAGATGACAGGCCAGAACAGAATTATAGTGACCCACCACGCTGCCACGCCGAGTTTTGCCAACATACAACCGTTAGAGTCGAGATACCACTCTGGGACAAAGCTACTGGCTTTTCCGCGCGAGTTTAGGACCAGACCGATTATCAAGCCGAAGGTAATCCAGCCGCCTGCTGTGATTGCTGCCACGAGTTTGATGGTTGCGGAAGGGCCCAAGGCTTTGTCCCTTAGAACGTTGTTGTTATCTACCACGTCGCGGGCCATGAGGGCGATGGTTTGTATCATAGTAGGCATATTGACGATGCGTGGAGATGTGAAAGGTGTTGATTGTAGTTCTAGGTCGTGCAAGATGTGTAATGTGATGGTATCGTCAAGTGTCGCTTGGGCTGGTCTTGTAGTTCTCGCGCGGGTGTATCGGCGTGATTGAGGGATACTCGAAGAATGTTTCACGATGTTAAGAGTAGTGATGAAACGTTCCCTCATACAGAGGGATATTCCTGTGCTTTATACTTGATGATAAAGTTCGTGTTGATACTGATAAACTCGTCTCGTCCATTGAGACTTCATGTTCACGGTGTCCTAGGTTCTTGCCCCAGATAACCACGCGCACCTTCCAAAGTATGAAGAAGCTCTCACTGCCTGAAGGCCTCTAGAAAGTTCCGCCCGTGTTAGTGAAGAGACGAAGTAACAAATGAGTTCATTGGCCTCAGCATCAGATGCTTTTAGTTGCGTATGACTCACGGTAGTAAGAGTCTATAAGCTCAAGACAATGGATTTTATGATTTGTTCCCTCATATTTGACCTCAAATATTGAGTAAATAGACTCGGAAAAATGAAAGACTCTTCTCATACATCAGTATTATAGGAAAGCTAAAGATGAACCGACAATCAATACTAATCCATAGCCTTGTAAGCTGGCTGACTGCTCGTGGATTCTCAGATCCAGCACTCTATTCTCGGGAAAATCGCCAAGGGCCTCATCAGCATCAGATAAATAGCCCAAAAGATACGGCTAAGAGCACTGGAATGTCGCCTTATGTTTGTCAACTCAGAGTAGCCTGGAGAGTTAATCGTGGTCAAAGAGACGCTGTGTGGATATAATGCCTGGCTGCTTCAGTGAAAACCAGCTCTCCAATTACTAACAACAGCGTGGCAAACTTCTAAAGACTAAAACGAGGGCTATTAAGAAAGAAGTACTGCAGTGAAGACTTTTCAAGATTCCATGCTAAAGTTTAACAAGCTTAGCAGACTTCAGCAAATCCTTGTGCTGGCCCATGTACAAAGAACATACTCGCCTCAACGGATTGCCTTGATAACCATTGCCCGCGATTGTGGGGCTTTTAGAATGCGAACCGCTCCGATGGCCACACGAGTTTTCATCGAGTCAAGAATTTGAACGATTGGGGTAAACTGTCTCTCTTCCAATCGCGTGCTTGGAGCCGCTAGATGCGAGTGAATCTTGCACAATGGGCGCAGCCAGGTTGAATTATATTAACAAGAAAACAAGATGGTATATAATCCCCAGTGATAAAACTAAATACGTCAAAAAATGTACCAAGAAGCGAAAAACCACCCATAGCAAGTGTACATCAACCAGCGCCAAGTCTGACTACAGCTCATAATCAATCCACCTCAGGCTCGTCATCATCTCCCTGCCATGTAGCCATATCAGCGACTGGCACACGGCCCCTGAGCCACCGCAGAGTGGCATCCGTGCCTCGCTCGATCACGTTCCACCGCGGAACTCTGAATCGGTTGCCTACGACCTCAAATCGCTCGAGTCCGCCTGGGCCACCAAGAAGACCAATTCGAGGGTTCAGGTGGGCGATGTCGTTGTTGCTCACGTCGACGATCTTAAGACCCTTGATCATATCTGGTTCGAGATCGACGATGTGGTTGTTGCTCGCTAGCAAGACGTTCAGAACGGGAAAAGACTCCTTCAGATTCGTTGGGAGAGCGTTGAGGCGATTCATGGTCACGTCAATCTTCTCCAGGGCTGGTGCATGCAAGAACCGCACAAGCGCTCCGAGACCGGTGATGTGATTCGATGCCAAGTTAAGTTCCCTCAAAGCTGGGAGTTCCAATTCCTCCGTCAGGTACGCCTCGCCAACCATCTGGTTGTGAGACACAGACAGGGCAGTCAATGTTTCGGCAAAAAAGCTAAGCGAGTTGGGCAGGGTGGCAAAAAGGTTGTTTTGGAGGAAGATTTGTCGGACACGGTGTTCGGCAGCGACTTTAGAGCAAACAACGGGATGTAGTGATGAAGACTGGGTTTGGGATCGATCTAGGATACCGCCAGGCTTGACGGGCCAGGTCTGGTTCGACAACGTGTGCGATCGAGAGCGGTGGCTTGATACAGTGTGAGATCGGGAACGATTAGGGCTTTGGGGAGGTGTAGCGAAATCATCATCTGACCTGTCATTTTCATCAAACATTGCGTCAGGGTTCGATTGCGTGTTGTCAGGACCCTTTATATCAGCCAGAACATCTAGGATGCCGACTTGAGAAGCTGGCTCTTGGTAGGGAGGTGGTGGTTCAAGGCGGCCAGCAAGCACCTCCTTCAGATCTTCGGTGGTGATGGAGAGGAACTTCTTGTCACGAAGAGGGTTGCCGCTGAGTCGAATCATAGACAAGTTATCCATGCGAGACACCTCGGGAGGAATCACTCTGATGTCGTTGCTAGAGAAATCAGCATGACGAAGTTTCTCAAGACCCATGAAACTGTTGGGAATTCCAGAGATGTTGTTCTCTTCGACCGATAACGTCAAAAGGCTTGTCCAGGTCGTCATGTCTGGAAGCCCTTGAAGACGGTTCATTGAGAGAGAAAGAGAATGCAGAACTGGCAGATCGATTGAGGCACCCAAGGGCACAAGTCTTTGCAACTGGTTTGCAGAAGCATCCAGTGTGTGCAACTGAGGCAGACAGCCGATGGGCTCCTCAATCAGGGTGCCCTTGAGCTTGTTCTTCCTGATGTTCAGCTCGGTAATGGGGAGGGTGGCAATGCTATCAAAAGGCAGAGACTCGAAGCTGTTTTCGCTCAAGTTAAGAATACGAAGACGCGACATGTTTTCGACCTTGGGAGGTAGTGCAGAGATGTTGTTACTGTGCACGTCAAGGATTTCCAGCTCATTCAGACTCGACAGCACGGGGTTGAGGGGGCCGTAGAAGAGGTTGTTTGCAAGCTTCAAGTCGCGCAGAGAGGTGACTTGTGAGAGGGTGTCAAGGCTGTTATTCGTGAGGCGATTATTTGACTAGCAAGGTTAGCAAAGAGGATAATTAGGAAAGCGTATACAACATACCAAGTTCAAGGAGGTCAGGCAAGTCAACCGTCGAAATCCCAACGGGACATTGACGAGAAGATTGCCATGCATATCCAATGTCTCCAAACCAGCAAAGATGTTTCCTTGACTAGCTTGGGCCTCGTCGAACGAAGAAGGGTTGCTGTCAGGGAAAATGAAGTCATCTAGTTCTTCGAACTCATTGTCCGCAGCAACAAATCGTGTCAGATCAACACTCTCTGCCCAGCTTCCATCAAAGGTACCGATGCTCTCCAGATCGTACATCTTGAGAACCTCGACGGGAATTTCCTTGAGGTGCAAAGCCGCGATGTTAAGTCTTCCAGTAGTCCTTGCATTATTGACGCGATTCTGGAGAACCTTCTTCTTGGGGTCTTCGCCTTTGCGCGCATTGAACGGATCATCATGGGTGACACCAAAGTCAAAGCCAGTATCCGAAGGGACGATTGGTGCTTCTTCTGGATGCGTTTCAATCTCAGCTGCCTGCTTCATCTGTGCCCGTTTGGCAGCCTTTGCCTTGGCGATCTGTTCACGCAGAGCGGCTGAGGACTTGCGAGCCGATGGTGGTGTTCCAGGCTCGGCCGAATCAGCTGTCAGAGACGTATTGTGAGAAGAGCCTGCTGAAGGAATTGTACCGTCCCAGGAAGCCGTGGAGGCAGAATTGACCGACACACGGCGGTTCGAGGTCCCATTCAGCGAAGCCTTACCGAGAGCAGGAAGTGAGGGCTTCTTGAATAAACCCTGCACAGGGGCCCTTGACTTGGCAGGTCGTAAAGCCATAGACTGCGAGCCTTTGGGAGACATCATGGTAGGCTTGCCAGGGCTGGGGCTTCTCGCGTCGGAGAAGGGAGCTGGCTTGGAGGCCCCTGCTCGAGTATTGGGAGTCTTGCTTCCGACCACCGATGATCGCTTCTGAGGAGTTCCATCGATGGGAGTCAGGGGCTTCCTAAAGGCACTTGCGGAACCTCGAAAGCTGCTGTAACCAAGGTCGGATTGTTCTGAGCTAGAGCCCGGTCGACTCTCGGTCCTGTAAATTCTGACTGAAGCATCTGAAGCATAGCTAGAACCTGGTCTGGAACCGCCGCTATCTGCTCTTGAACGTGGTCGTGAACTTGATCGTCCTTGATCGAAGAAGTTTGAAGACTTGATCATGGCAGGAGAAGAAGGGATGGAAGCCAGAGTCTCGATGGTTCTCTCGCTCAGGGAGGGTCTTGGCTTGCGAGAGCGAGCCCTCAATGCATCTGGTTTATCATCCTCATCGGTCGAAGCGGTTCGTGGTCTTGATTGGTTTGGGTCAAAGATGTTGTTGGCGGGATCATACAACGGTGAAGTTGCAAAGGTCTCTGAAGGTCTCCTTGTAAGAGTCAATTGACGAGGGAAGATATTGCCATCGAATTGAACACCCATAGCTTCTCCCGGCGGATCATAAGGGGGTGTTGTAGATTGTTCCTCAATGATATCAGCTTGTCGCTCCATCGATCGATGTGGCGTGGAAGGAATTCGTTGGGCCATAGGCTTTGCTGGGGATAAGTGTGTAGGTTTTGTGATGAGCGATGTACGTCTTGTTCCAGTGTTGAGATGCTCCCTGGAAACTGCAGGTCGTAGTCTTTGCGCTCGCTGTTGGAGATCTGGCTGACCAGTTCGTAATTGATCTCTCGACATTGAAGGTCGAAGCCGAGGATTCCGTAGCTCACCACCGCCCAGACTCTCCCTTGATGGCGAGGGCCGAACAACTGATGTTGGCCGTGGTAGAGCTGATGCTGGCTTTGGGATTCCTGAAGTTGGTCTTGGTACAGGTAGCTTCGAGAGTCGCGGAATAGCGCTCATGCGCTTCTGGGATGAATCCTCCATGATGAATGTATCTGCAGGAGTGTAATAGTATCGTGTTCAGCAGAAGTCGTTGTCTTTAAGGGGAATGCGGTTGGCAAGATTGCCCGAGACAAACGGACAGCTTTTGTTTGTAAGGGGTCTCAGAGTGGGATTTTTGTTTATCGGGGAGCCTAGCGTTGGCGGGTGGACGACGGGACGGAAGGGCTTGCGGGAACTAACGATGAGGCGACCGATGAAGGCATCAACCTAGCATATCAGAACAAGAGAGGAAATATTGAAGATGCAAGTTTGAGACACGAACAAGAAAAAAGAAGAGTTGGAAGAAGGTGACAGTGACAGTTCGCTTAAGCTTGTTGCTAATGTAAAGAAGAAATGATATCTCCAGGGGTTGAAGCGAGTGCCGTGTCTTGGGTTTGGAGAAGAAGATCCCATCCAGTCAATGATACCCAGACAGGCCAGTTCTTCAGGGCCAGCCAGGGTCGGGGTTGGGTTCCAGTGGGGATAGGCTGCGAACCCACTAGATTGCGCTAACCTGTTGATGGTGTTTAGTGGCTTTTTGCAGGCCCGCCTTAGTCACGCGTCTAAACTGCCTACTGCATTCTCTGTGATGATACAGTATTAAAAGTATGTCCTGAGCAAGTCGCGTGCAACAGTCTGATCGTTGTTGTTTTCGTCTGTTTCCGGAACAATCAGCCATGTGTTCCTAACCCCCTCCCCTACCAACTTGTGGCTAAAGCTTCCGGCGTCCCGTCTTTCATCCCCAGTCCAAGCAGGGGATGGGCGCCGGTTAGGTTGACCTGGCCTGGCTAATCCTTGTAGGGATGCCCCTGAAGTTTCTTTGTCCATTGTGTGCATGTGCAGAAAGCCTCATTTTTACTTTTTGTAAACAAAGGCTTGGAGTTATTGATGCTATTTGTTTACAATCGCGTGCCAGAACCAATGACGACACTGCATTCTTTGCCATCTACGGAATATGGTACGTTGTGGATTGATGTTGTGTTCAACATTAACATTAGGCACGGTCATTCAGGTGGGTTACGAAAGAATCCACATAGCAACCAGGTTCCTGGCTCTACCTGCAGGTACAGAGTAGCATCTGCATCGATCCATTGCTAGGAGTCCCATCATCATCGGCTAGGAATTGAGGAGATAGACTTTAATTGAGCTGAGTGATGATACATGACTGAACTCAAACTTCGCTCCCTCAAAAGTCGCACAATTGGGTTACTGCAGAGTTTTATGTCCTGTATCTTTTGTAATAAAGCCTCTGATCTCTATCAAGTGAAACGTCGATCACGGATTATCGCACCTTTGCCCCTGTCGGCAGAACGTGCAAAATATTCCGCCACGGGTTTCGTTTTCATCCTTAGCTTATGTTTCAAGTGCACCTCTTTATGTATCAGATAAACTAGTATCATCCGTAGTCACAGTCTTGAAGCTCCGGCGACATGGTCTTAGGCAGCAAAAACTCTTGACACCAAATCGAGGTTTAAAAAAAGCCACCAGGCCTAAAACCGTTCAGCCTGTATCATCTTATCCTACATCTTTTTGACATTCGAATAAGGTACTTAGTGACCTTACATTTTTACCCCCTCTTTGCCTCTTTGGAAGAGTCACGATTCTAATGACCCGCCAATGAAGTCTAAATTAGTGATGCCCTCGTGGTCGCATAACACAAAGCACGGGAGCATCGGTACGGAAATATCATGACGACAAGACATGGCATACTCACAGTGCATTTGGCCATGGCCTGATTCCCAAGCGCCAACAAAGCCATCAAGCATTTCAATTGCATGGACCAAGATACAAAAAGTGAATCCCTCCCACTTTCAAGATGAGCAACCCAGCAAACCTTCCACGTCACAAGCCAGCTTCTTACCATGGCTTTGAAGTCTTTTCACCGTATGATGGACCTCCCGCTAGAGATTCGTCAGGAAATTTATTTCATGGCTACACCAGACCGCGTTGTTCACATTCGATCCGAATTCCCAGACCTCGGAAAAAGAAAAGGGCGTTTCTCATGTAGCACTCTTATCCCCCCTCTGCTACACACCTTTTCTGAGTCTCGAGAATTCCTGGAAAGAACGGGCTACAGACTGGCTTTCCGAGACAAATCAATTGGGCGGCAATTCTGGTTCAACTTCAAAAGAGATACCATGTTTATCGACAAAGGGGCACTGGTCATGATGCACCATGGCATCAATCCATTCCCCTCCAGTGATTGCCAAAGAGTTCGCAGAATAGCCTACGAGAGGGAGGACTTCAGGTGCTATGTGCAAGGCGTCATGCTTGCTCTCCAAACTTTTAGAGAGCTTCAAGCAGTCTTTCTCATCGAGTGGCACAGAAAGGTGGTGGATTTGGACGAGCCTCGGACCAAATCCAGCGAAAGATTCTTTCCCGACCCTATTCCACAGAGACACAGCTACGATACCAGGAACCTCTGCAAGTTTACCGAGATCCAAAAGATTGATGCATATATATGCTGGCTTCCCCACTTTAAAGATCTGCAGGGCATGGCCCTATGGATGCGTAACGGTTGGGAGACTCTTTACAGCGTTTTCCCTCCACTGGTCTTACCAAAAGACACAGATATCGTCAAGTATCTCAGCGAGCCTTACGAGAAGTGGCGTGATCACAGACGAGAAGAATTGGAGTTAGATTTGGCGAAATACTGGGCTAAATTAGGGCGGCCGAAAGCGAAGCTGCCCAAGTTCAAAGTCGTGCACCTCCTCACCGACGACGAATGCCAACTTATCCGACGAAAACGACGCATCTGTTCGGAAAAGATTGAAACAAAGTTCCACAAAAGCCAGCTTTTTGAATTGACCAACGGCAATCTGGTGCAACTTTTTGGGAACTTCTAGCAAGCTTCAGCATGTTAGTACAGGCAAAAAGAACACATCATTACACCATGATATAATCTCCATTTGTCAACGACGTGAGAGTCGAAGAATGCGAATCCCCAATGGAAGGCTGGATGGTGCCCTGACTGCTACTGAGATACATGTCTTCATTTTGCTTTAGTGAGAATCAAATTTATGAAGTTTGCTCGATTTGAGTTTGGTTGATGGTCAAATCGAAACAGATAGCATGAAATCGTCCAAGACAAGATCCAATGAGAGAGATTATAGCAATGGCCTCGCATTTGCCTTTGCCGCAAGAAACTCTTTTCTGGTTCCTTTCTGCTTAACAAACAACCCTATTGTTGCACCTACTTCTAGTACTTATAGATCAAACCCCCCAGAAATAATAATACATAAGTTTATTTACTTTTCCCCATTCCTCACATTTCCCAAACATACAAGCAATGGCCAACTTTCTAAGCCTGCCTCTAGAGATCCGGCAGGAAATCTACTTCCTCGCAACACCAGCTCGTGTAGTCCACCTCAAAGCTGATTGCAATGGTTTTTGTAGTCGTTTGCCGATCGGGATTTCCGACTGGCCACTAGGTAGATGCCCCCGGAACCATTGTTTCTACAGCAAAGCTCCAGTCCCAGCCCTTCTTCATACATCTTTCGAAGCGCGAAGCTACTTAAGGGAGAAGGGATACCAGCTCGCTTTCAAGACCAAGACCCGGGAGCCAATGACGTGGTTCAATTATGATCGAGACGTCCTACTTACAGATCAAACATCTTATAGCAATGTGCAGTTCGATGCTGATGAAGCTGCGAGAGTGCGCCGCTTGGCTGTTGATTGTCCCACCGATTGTCTCTACGACCCGATAGGATATGACGAGCTGCCAACCTTACACCGTTGTGGAGATTACTGCTTGTATCCATTTATCAAGGATTTCCCGGCCTTGGAGGAGGTTTTTGTGGTTGACTGGAAACGAAATACTTTCCCCACGGAACTAACAAGGAACACGGACTATCCTTTCGAAATTCCATCGATGCGACACCGTTACGATACAGAGAATCTCTGGAAATGCGTTAAAGTCGAGGATAGTTCCCTGTTACGAACGATGTACCTCCACGACCTCAGGGAAGAAGAATACAACGGACCGAGTATCTTAGGCGGCCTTGGACATGGTCCTGCACCCAAGATTGCAGACTGGGGTACTTTCGGCCACCGGAGTGCATATGTGCAGTTGGAACTTGCTGTCTGCCGGGAAGGTCAAGAGCATTCTGTTGGCGACTGGAGGGTGCCGAGAATGATAACTCCGGTGCATTTGATTGATGAGCGACAGGAAGAGATTTTGCAGCAGAAACAGAAGATTGCTGTCGATGAGTTGCAGCAACTGCGGGAAGACTGGGCTCCTGCTTTAAAGGAGAGAAAAGAGCGAATAGATTCCGGGGGTGGTGTGATCAGTCAACGTGAACTACAGTATCTTTGGGCAAATCGCTGGGAGATAACGTGCTGGATCGAAAAGGATACATTTTCATAGTCTTGAGTTTGAAGTCTGGTTTAGGAAACTAATGGCATCGTCGGAGTGGTCTGACCTTGTCACTGTCCAAACTTGTTATATCTCGGGGAGACGAGGTGTACCCGGAGGCTCAAGCGAGCAAGAAGCCATCTAGTCTTGACTTCAGTTGCTAAAAGTATTTATTCTCTAGCGTATTGGATTTGCTTTGTTCAATATAAACTTCTCATTTGCTTAGCATAAAAAGTCTTGACGTTCCCTACCTATTTACCTAACCTAGACTGGTTCGATTGCTGACACTAAACTTCTGATATAACAAAACCAGGCACAACAGGACTTGGTGGATAATCTTTATGGTCAAGAGGGTCCTCGCCTCTCTCAACCCTCCACCGGTTTGTCGCCTCCAACGGTCCAGACAAGTCTTTGAATAACCAACCCCATTTCTTAACGAATCCCTCTGACATTTCCCAGCCTGATACATCCCACGGCGGTGACCAAGCAATCAAACCGCGTCTTTCCATCTCATCATCCGGAAAGCCCTCGTACAAACCACCAATGCAATCAGCCCATAAATCATCCTCATCGAAAGTCCCATAAGCTCGAATCAAACAATCCCGTGCCTCTGGGGAGGGAAACATATCAATCCAATCACAGTGCATCACTGTTTGTTGGAGAACTGTGGGGAGAAGTGCTGAAGGGAGGGAAGCTGGGTTGCTTGGGTAGGGGACTACGTGGATGATGTCTTCGTCGCCGCAGTCGAGAGGCGTGCTTAGTATGCCGGAGATGAAAGTTCTGTTGACGGCCAAGGCGCGGAGGGCGTTATATTGGAGAAGAGTGATGAGATGGTCTGAACTCAGAGGGAAGGAGTTCGACTGATTCTTCTTGGTTCTGTACGCTAGTAGGGGCTGTCTGGCGTTGTATATACTCTTGGCCTGGGATGCTGGGACGACTGACATTGATTGCTGGCTAATATCCCAACATTCAACTACCGGCTCAAATTTGATTGTCTCCATTTCAGCCTTTGGCCCCTTGGCCTTCTTTTCTTGAGCTTTCCGCTTCCCTGACCAATCATTAGCTAGAGGCCACAAGGATCATTAACGATGAGAGGCCTACGATATGCTCTCATGTTAAGCCTCGTCTGCGCCCTCCTTCTTGCTGCAGAATCTGTTGTCCCGGTCCAGTCATCTTCTAGGCTTAGCGCCTGTATCTGGTAAGCAAGTTATGCCGCACCATCTTGTAGGTTCATACCTCAGCCAATTGTGGCATCGAAGTGAGCTGAACGCATGGCTCTTGCTGATGAGTCGACATTTTGAAACTAGGTATCAAGTGGTGATGCCGAAGGGAAATGCAGGCTGCTCACATTGTCGTGCTGACGGGTAAAGACGTTGGATGTGAGGCGCAGACTAGCATGGATGGAAATCCAATGCGATAAGATGATTGGGTGCTAAGATAGAGACCAACCTCACACAAGTTAGCGTCATGCAACCTGCTCACTCGTCCGTTCCCGTCTGGGCTTGGGTGGTAGTGCCCCATGCAGCAGACGATGATTGGCCAGATACCCAATTCCCTTCATGCAGCCTGCTCACAACACTTGATATGCAAAAGGCACGATGGGATTAGCTATGGAGTTAAGCGTCGGACTTTCGCTGTGGACTTGAGCAGGAAGAACTATAAGAGGACAGCCCTTGAATGGATTTACCAAGTTTCTTTCTATCCTTATCATTTCCAAACTACTACATCTCATCAACTCTACTCTCTCACTTGCCTAATACTGAACTCAATCTAACAAGACATCTATCACAATGACTTTCCACCCCGACAGCCTCCCTGAACTCACCGGCAGAGTGTACATTGTCACAGGAGGCAACTCTGGAATGTAAGTCTACCTTTCATCTTTCTACCAACAGGTCTAGATTTCTAACCTTTCTTACAGGGGACTCTACACCGTTTCCCACCTAGCAAGACATGGCGCCCATGTCTACATGTGCTCACGATCTCGAGACAAGGGAAACAAGGCTATTGCAGAGATTCAGAAAGATCATCCCACCACCAAGATTGACCTTTTACAAATCGATCTGATGGATCTCGCAAGTGTTGTTGCAGCCGCTAAGCACTTCCTATCGCTCGAAACATCGCTCCACGGCCTTATCAACAATGCCGGCATCATGGCTACACCATTTGACGTCACCAAAGATGGGCATGAGGCTCAGTGGGAGACCAATTATCTTTCGCACTGGGTTTTCACAGAGCACCTGATCCCGGTGATGCTGAAAACATCAAAATCGTCACCCCCCGGAACTGTCCGTATCGTCAACCTCTCCTCATCCGGCCATCTAATGGCTCCCAAGAACGGCATCAACTTTGAAGACACATCCCTCAAAGATGCAAGTGTATGGGAACGTTACGGTCAAAGCAAACTCGCCAACATTCTCCACGCAAAAACCCTCCACAACAAATACGGCCCCGCCTCGGGTAACGGAGAGGGCGAGATTTGGACAACATCAGTTCATCCCGGTCTTGTAGAGACAAATCTCTCCTCGAGTGTAGACTCAGCCGAGACTGGAAGCTTGCGACTGGTGTCGTTGCTGAGATGCATGAAACTGATGTGGACTGCGGATCGGGGTTCTTGGAATAGTCTTTACTGCGCGGCCAGCCCGGACATGAAACCTGAACAGAGTGGAGAGTATCTGGAGATCTATCATCGGCTGTTTGAGCCTTGGTGGCAGAACAGTGCAGCCAAGGATGAGGATTTGGCGGAGAAGTTGAATCAATGGACGAGGGAGACAATGAGAAAGGAAGGGTGGATTAATTAGTGGTCTTTGTTGTGATTTAATTGTTTTATAGATTCTGCTTATGCTTATAGACTTTGAGGATGAATTTCATAATGTAACAAAAAAGATCTTTTCTCGTCGGTTTTGCTGTATTCACAGTAGCTAAGGTAGGTATATCAGTGATGGTTCACCAAAGGTATCGTCATCCGTGGTAGAGAGCTTAGACTCAGTTTTGGCGCCTTATTAACTGGACGCTATCACAAATCAGAGCGGTACTTGAACTGGAGTTCGAAACTGTGTAAACCAGGTAGTCAATGCCGGTATATCTTCCTGGAAAACCAAAGATTACTTCAAGTTATCTCTCAGGCATAGGTATCCCCTAAACTCCAACTCTCAGATTCCATTGGTGACAGCCTGAGTTTCCAGGCGCAAGTGTGAGGCGGGCCGCTCCTTACTTCCCAGGAATTGACCTGTGTGCCTGCCGCCTTGTCATTCCTTCCACATAAGCGGCCATTTTCGATGAGCCTTGAGCTCGATCTTGTCACCAATTTTACGAGTAATTGTTCATGATCATACGGAGATCATAGTGCAAGAATTCTTCTTATTTTTATACCTATCTTACTATTTCATCGTGGCAAGTCAATCCTTGATCAATGGTCTCGAAGAATGGAAGATCGTCGACGAATCTTTGGTCATAGTCCCTCCTGACAATGTCCCATCTTTGTATCAACCGCTAACCCAAGCCCACGTGATTCTCCGCCCTGCAAATCGTTCTTCGTCATATCCTTCGCGATCACTCTTCAATCACCAATCTACTTTTCTTGGCCGCTGATGCGTCTAGTTTTCACAGAAGCCCGCCATATCTCATTTCCCATTTCCAGAGTTGCTACACAACTCTGAGAATATCCCCAGCCTATCTAGCATATCGACGAAGCGAACCGTACCGACAGTATCTTAACAATGGCTTTCGGCTTGATGACATGATGCCGCCACTCGACCGCAGAGGAGTACTTCATTCCAAAAGGATTTTGGGTATCGACTAATTTTCATAGGAAAGCGAAGCTGAAATTGCACCTGGCGAGTTATATTGCCGATTTTGATCCCCATATGACGCCCTTGTCACAAGGTCACTTTCTGGAAACCCTTGACTTTTCAATTTCTAACGTTCGCTGAAAACCGTTGTAGCGTACTGAACTTTCAACACATACCTTACTGAAGAGTCATTACAAAACTCATGACATCGCCATCATTTCTCGCCGTGGCCGCGATGGTAATCTCAATTACGCAGAAGACGAGGAGGCCCTTCGTACGGAACCTGTACCCTATCTCGAGAGATTTGCTAACGCATTTGGCTATACAGAATGGTACACGGAAGTAGTAGATGGGCATATCGCCTCTTGGCCCCTCGAAGACCCACACGAATAAACGGAAACCGGAGTTGAAACCAGCACTCTGCTTGCCAACGACGCTGCTGGTACCGGCAAGGTTGGTGAGGCCACTGAGCCTCCTGAGCATGAGCATGAGGCTAATTCTACCACTGATATCAATGAGAATATAAGACACTTCAACCTCTGTTACGTTGCGATAGATCTTACAACAAATTCGATAGGTTCCGGATAAGGACGGACTCCTCCGCCTGGACATCAACTTGCCCGAGATGCAGCTGTATAACGAGGCTCATCGTTTCTTCCTGAAGGAAGCCAAAGTCTCAGATGGCAGTGTCAACCGCACTATCAGAAAGCGGCCTATGGGGCCCTTGTCCTAAAGAACAAAAAGAATCTAGGTAATTTAGCCTAGGTTTATGATAAGTTTAGGGTACCTTTTGCTGAGTTTGTTTTAACACCCTGTATCAAGTTTCGATGTCTTGCTCTCTGAGGGGATGAATAAGATACCTAAAAGTTCTCGCATGCATGGCCAGCGAGGAAATATTCAGGCGCAGCATCAGGTTTTCCTTATCAGTGCAAGAGGGATTTGGGGCCAATTGAATGTTGGTGTTATTGAGAACTAGAGAACAACAGAATGCGGTTTTCAATCAACAGTAGCTGGCTAGGTAGAATACCATAGCCGTACACAAAGCTTGACTATTGTAAATTAGATTCAAGGAGTTCTCAGCTGACTGAGACTTCAGTTTGAGGCTATTGAAGCTAGCTGTTGTAATCTCTTGGCAATCAGGCTGTGATTATGTTATAATGAGTTGGGTCGCACGAATAGCGGCAGCACCCTCCTTAGATCTCCTATAAGAGTGGCGCTATTTGATGGAAATGACCTGTATGTTAAGTTATCCACTCACTCAGAGAATGGCCGTATGACGGGCTCTCGTCAGTATGAACAGCCATATATGACACTTCTGATGCACAACCTTGTAATGTTACTGACTGAATAACAATCAACTCAATTACTAACCCTTTAGTGAATGCTTCCCTTGTGAATCTTGGCCAGGCGAGTTGTGGTATACCAACCTCTCAATCGCTTTCCAAAGATCAAAAAGACAAAGACCGCAAGGTTATTGACAAGCATAACACTGCAGAAGATTCCTGCAAATACCGTCACATATCCATCTTTGGTGATCCAGTTGATGACCTCATATCCGAACCCAAAAGAGATGGCCTGTTTCCCAATATTCATCGCAATCAACATCTCTGGTACATTTGCTTCATAAGAGTCCATTGCGTACGCTAGTGTATACGTCAAGAAGAAGAAGGCCCCTGTTTCAAGAACATCAAGATTAGCACAAAATATCAATGTCTACCGTCAAACATACCAAACTGGAAGAGCCCAACTGCAAAGACCAGACCGAACCAGTGAAGGTGTTTCTCGGCTGAGTATCCGTATAGGATCAGAGATGCCGGAGATACGAACAGCACCACCACGAGACACCAGAGACGATACTCAGCTTCGTAGATGTTGTTGTTCTTCTTAGTTAATCTTGCAGAGAACCGATCGGGGAGCGAACTGAACGGCCAAGCGGCAGCGAGGTAACCAAGAAATGCTGCCACTGCTACAAGCCCTGTATTTTCCTTGAGGAGATGTCAATCTTCGTCTAGAGGTTGCCTTTGGTGCACTGACAATTGGCCACGAATAAGGCGGCGCTGCTACAATACCGGGGAATGTTGCTGTGAAAGCTAGGGCTGCCAGGCCAATGATAATTCCTACCAAAGCGGTGAGTTATGTTGGTGACTCCATTTGAAGTAAGCTGGCGCATCTGTAACATACCGTAAGTTGAGCAGACCCAAAAAACTGGCGGAACCACAAAATATGTAAACGATTTGATCTATAAGACGTTAGAAAATACTTTAAAGTCACTGAGACTTCTCACCATCATCATGAAAATCGGAGAGTTTGGATCTGTTCTCCTAACAAGCTTGAGTTGTTGTAAGTAACTGTCACGGACGTAGGTTCGCGGCGTTGCCTGGATCTCGATCTCTTCGGTAGTCTGCCGCTTCTCGTCCTTCTGAAGTCTCGCCGAACCATCAGTGTTCAATGGAACGCCTGGAATGTGGCTGTCCCTGAAGAACATGGTTTCTTCAAAGAGAAAGAAAACAGCGAGTAACAAGGCACAGCCGATCGCAAACTCGACCCAGAAGAATAGGTTGTAGGAGTGGCCACCCGCAAGCATATAGCTGGCAGCAACAGCAGAGAGAGTGCCAGTCGTAAGTGCAACTGAGTTCTTGGTCAGCAGGGGCTGTTCTGGGCAGTGGCTATGTGGCTTACAGGTGTACCATCCAAGGGCTTTGCCGCGCTCGTGGAGAAAGAAGACATCTGTGACAACCTGCGCAGGAAGAGCCTCGCAGACAGAAGAGGCGAAAGCATGGAGCATTCGGAAGCCAAGGAGTGTGTCGTATGAATTGGAGAGGGCACTTCCTAAGAGACCGGCACAGTACTATCAAGGAAACCCTGTCAGCATAGGCCTTGTGTTTCGATAGTGGGTAACGAGGTATTACCAGCACAAGGGATAACAGCATGACAGGACGGCGACCGACTTTACGATACATTGGCACGAAAATTAGAGAACCTATGGGGGTTCCAAGTCAGCATCCGAAAGCTCAGTAACAGGCTGAAGATCTACCGAAACCAAACAGTAAGTTTGGGTATGTGGTCAGCTGAGAAGTCTGGCTTGGCGTCTTTTGCCATTTATTAGCTAGATAATCAACGTATACTGTTGGGCCGAACAAGCTTCCGTTTGCGAGGAACGAGTAGACAGACACGAGAAGCAAGATCGTGGTCTTTTTCCATTTTGGCCACTGGTTGTATGATCAGCACGAATGGGCTTGGAGTGTGTGGAGACTATTCATACCTGGAGAGGATCGTTGGGGTCGTCGGAGGGAACTGGATAGAGAGCTAATCCGTAGGCAGTCGGTTCTTGGCCTTCTGCAGAAGCAAGATTGTTAGTCAAAAGGTTTGCCGGAATCAAAAGTCTGAAGTGCTGTGCTTGTCTACCAGAGAGGCTCATGTCAACTGTCCCAGGAATGTCTGGGTCTGTACGGCTGTATTGTTGTTACTAGTCTGTTAGATAGAATTTCCTCAGAATTTCGCTTACATGGGCTCCATGGTTGAGGCTTCGTTGGCGGTCATCATGAAATGGTAGTTAATCAAGGTGTGTGTAACCGAGAGTGCAGGATGGAGTGATCGAGTGAAAATTGGGAATTTTATACATGGCAGATAGAGAGGCTGGCCTTTTATGTAAATTCCCACCATGATTGGGACTGCTGATATATCATGGCATTGGCTAGACGTAGCCTTCTAGCTTTAGGGTTAGTATATTGTCTGTATCTGTATTGTCTGTCTCAATGGCCCCATGTTAAGGTTTGACCCCAGAATCCCCAGATCAGACTATACCTAATAAAATGAGAATATGGGGTAAATGTTTAATGGGGTGGCTCTAGACCCACAGCTATTACCACGGCAGAACCGAGCTGCTCTACCGAGGGATGCCACAGCCCTAGTAGAGGTACGAGATTTTGAGCTGCGTTCTGATATGACTAGCAAGTACCTACTAGATCAAAGCTGAACCTGTCTCTTTCCGGGGCCCCGAGGGGAAGCCTGCCAGTGGCTTCTCTGTAGTCAACAATGGTTGGTATATTATTGCTGTATGTCTAAGATAGAGAGAACCTGAACTAATCAGATGTCGGAAATGTTTCCGTTAAATCCATTTCCCCGCAAAGCCCACCCCAGGTCAATCCAGTTCTCGACTCCTGAAACTAGGAACTAACGTAGCATTCTAGTCTAATCATGACTGTGCTACATTCTGCGGCAATGCCACTCGGTATCCTCCCCCACATCCTCACTCCCTACGGGGTAGCCATCTGAACCCCAATTCCGTTACCTTGGGATTTACTCTCTTCCATCTCTGACTCGCCCAGCCGCAAAAAAATGGACTCTGCAGTCTTGTCGCCGCCGCTTTCCTCCCATCAGAAAACAAAGCGCACTCAGCGCCGCAAGCGATCAACTCGACCTTGTCTATCATGCAGGTTCAGAAAGGTCCGCTGTGATGTCTCTGTGCGCGGTCAGCCATGTACCAACTGTCACCTCGACTGCAAGAATTGTCTGGTAGTTGGACGCGCTTCCAGGCTGTAAGGAATTGCCCTCGCTTCTTGATTTCTTTGCTTCAATCTCATTCCTTTACTAACTCACGTCGACGCCAGAAACCAGCAGGTACCAAGGAACGAGACAAACTGGTCGCCTGAGGATGATTATCAAGAGGACGACCGGCAGCTGTCAGGGCATCTGGAAGACGATGATGTTAACGAGAACATTAACGCCAATGACGCTGAAGCCGCCCCCATAGACACTGAGGCGCTCGATGGCCACCCTGAGTTGTGCTTTCATACACCCAGTCTTGATCCTGGGTTGCTGGCATTCGGCGATGCTTTCAACGACGCGGCCTTCTTTGAAAATCGCCTTGGCGACAGCGAGACAGAGACCGCAGAGATATACTCGATGTCATCTAGATATGATGATGTTCGGACCATCAGAGGTAAACAGCCCACCCTCACTATATCTTTCACTGCACCTTCATCCTGGTATCTAACCAGATTCGAACAGAAACAAGCTCATCAGAACAAGAATCTATGTATTGTCATAAGATGACGGCCTCTAGAATTTCATCGGCTCAGCCGGCGGCGCAGAGGACCAACACCAGTACCACGGAGCTCTTTGTTCACTACCCGTATCTGAAAATCCACAATATCCATTCGATCGCTCAACAAGATCTCAACTACATGGAAGCTCAAGGATGTTTACACGTTCCAAGTCGGCCGATACTCGACAACTTTGTGGAGCAATACTTCAGAGTCCATCAAGCTCACCTTCCACTCCTCAATGAAGGTGATTTTTGGGAAATGTACTCCCAGGAAGAATCAACGGGTCCGCAATCCACTATATCACTGTTGGTGTTCCAGGCTATGCTTTTTGCCAGTTGTAACGTGAGTCTGTCCTTTGTGCCACATCACTTGATACGGCAGTATCAACTAACAATATCAAACTATGTAGTTTGTATCACTTCAAATCATCAAGAAACTTGGGTTTCCGAGTCTTAGAGCCGCTCGAGCAGAATTCTACAGACGGACAAAGGTTGGTGTTAGAACTACCCAACACTTCGAAATTTAACTAATCGTAAATGTGCAGCTTCTATACGACCTAGGATCAGAAACATCATCCCTACCTCTAGCTCAAGCAGCCATTCTCATGATGGGTTGGGTGCCGCCTTCGAATACGACACTGAACCCTTATAAAACATGGTTGAGCTTGGCCATCCAGCATGCCAGAAGTATCAACGCAGATCGATACACGGAGGTTCCAGAGATGATAGAGATGACATCCACGAAACAACGGAAATATCAAAACTCTCTCCACCGCTTATGGTGGTGTTGTATCATCATGGACCGTATCTCACCCCTCTGCACGCGGTATAGCCTCAACATCACTCATGACCGTTTTGACTTCAAGAACGCAGTCCCTTTGGGCGCCGAACACCTTCAGGACGACATATATCGATCAAGTGTATTCACGCCAGCTATGAAACGGCGCCAAATCAGTATTTTCTCAAAGTTTCTCGAACTTGTGAATCTCTTGACTGATGTGCTTACCCTGATGTACCCATTTGAGGATTCTGTAAGATCAAAGTCACAGTCAGCTGAGGCCGGAGATCTCGCGTTTGAGAAATGCGAGGCCGCCTTGGAGGCCTGGTATGTGAGGATTGCTGCTCAGTTCCCTCGCTTTGATAATGCGCCTAAAGACTCGTGTGGAAAAGGTAATGACTAGGATAAGTCTATTGTGCTGCAGACGAATCTTATGTATATCTACTACCAGTGAGTTGGTCTATCATTTCACCCTGAGACTGGACTAACCAACGATACAGCACTGCCTCTATCGCACTCTGTCATTCCAAGATACTTCGGCAGGCTCTTACATCCGATTCCGTTGGTGGTGATACAGTAAGACCTGGGCGAAGTCTGAAACTCCAGCAAAGCTCATTTGAGGTGCAAGATGCCGCTCAGAAGATCACAGCATGTTATAAGGAGCTTACCCGCCGTCGCTTGGCCCGCTGGCTCCCCATATCAGCGTAAGTCCAACAAATGGAGCACTGCACATGGTTTTGCAATTCAGTTCTCAAACTAATGCTCATTTATAGCCTTGCTTGCCTGGCTACACCCTTGACACTCCATACCGTCACCGCGCGGTTATCGTCCCTCAGTAACGAGCTGTCATGTAACGGATCCATGGAAGCCCCCTCAGCTCCAGCATCCGCATCAAATCAGGATCGACTCAAAGCATTAGTTGATACGATGAATGCTTTCTTTCCACAGTACTATGGAGTAGATTGGGTGAGACAGACAGCGAGACACGTTGCCAACTTAGTCCAGAGCGGCAGCCAATCTCTATTTCAGGCCAGTGGGAATTGCCTGACAGACTGGAGTCAGATCCTGAGAAGCCAGCCAAATATGTACCTAAAAATGATCTGGACTATCGATATTTGTATCAGCAAGGGCAGGCAGCCGGAAGAGTTCGACTTTCCAGCATGGCTGCGCTGCTTGTTGGAGAGGAACAAAGGATCAAGCATCAGGCCGTGCCGACTGCCATATACAGTTGAACAAGCGACTAGCCAAGAAAGGCCCATAGCCGACGACCTACTGGCCTTCCTTAATGATCCTAAGCTGTCTGCTGGCGATGGGGATATCTTTGATGAACCGTTGCTGGAGATGTTTGATCTGACATACCTAGGTAGCAAATTGTGACTCTGAAACATTCTATATATCGAATAGGCTTTCATTTTCGCGTCTGGCACTCCCCTTGCGAAACAAGAATATATCAGATCTTAGAACAGGGCATCAAGATAAACCCAATACAGGGTATCCTAAACTTATACCAAGTTTACACTAAAATTTTATTAGGTTACCTAAGTCTTTTTATTACTCAGGATCAAGATCTTAAGCTTTCCTTCCTTGCCTAACCTCTAAATCCGGAATTGTCGCATCTAGGGCCACCCTGGGACGTTTGATGGCCTTTCCACGAGATTTCCACCCCCCTTCTCTATTGCGGAATGCGTGGTATTGATGGCTCTTTCTACGAAGACTTTCCTGTCAACGCCCATCAACTGGTGGCACCATCTCAGGGGCTGGAGACCGTGGTTGGTGGTTCGGGAACAGATGGAGACGAGGTAGGCTCTGCCTACACAGCAGAAAGTGCTACATCATACGTCTGTTCAAATCCTAATTAGGTAGCATTCTTAACTTAGTACCTTGTAGAGGTGGCAGCTCGTAACTTACTCAGTGCTCAACGTTTCCCAAATGCGCCCTAATTTTATGGGAATTGTGCTGGTTCATTCCGTGGCATTTCATGCCAATGACACGGCAAACATACTGGCCCCTCAGCGACAAGTCAACTTGTACATTAGCTATATGGGCGTGCAGACTGTTCGCTGGACTTTGACTGCTTATTGGAATTTGGCCTCACACAAAGCCACTAGCTCGCTCACTATGATAACAGTGAGGCCAGGATCGGATGTTTACATCACCGCCATTATGTCCGTCAGCACTCGTCTTTTGCTACACATCCAAGGTGTGAATTGGAGGTTTAGGTACTCTAGGAGCCACCAAAAAATGATCTTCTTCTCAAGTCATGGGATGAGATACCAGTGCGAGATTAGATGGAAGGAAATAAGCTTCAGTCAGGACTCTTGACATAGCATCATACACGCGAATGTATATCTAGTTAGACTCAATTCAGTTCAGCTATACGAGAACCTGTAAAGTATACTGACATATATCAAACGAGTACATGCGACACTATCAACTAGCCATTGCGTTTAGTAGCCCAAGAGACACCTTGTCACGTAACCCTTCCTGGATCCAACCAGGGAATCCGCGTATCATAGAAGTCCAGGCCGAGGAACTTGGTACAACGATTTGAGCTCCATACCCAGAATAGAGCTGTTTCACAACACCATCAGCGACAGACTCGGCAGATATCGTGGTATCCTTCATTTTCCCCTTAGCAATGAGGTCCGCAATCAACGGAGTCTTCACCCAGGTTGGGTGTATGATACTACAAACGATCAGCCACACTGCAGGACAAGAAAACCAAGCCAAGACATCATGCCTTGCTCGCACCAGTGGTGCTTTGTAAATATGCCTCAGCTCCTGTAGCAAGCCCTCGTGGAATGCTAGGAGTCCAGACTTGGTACACCCATACTCGACATTAGACGCCTGACTTGCGAAGGAAGCTAGACTGCCAACGTTGACGATATGACCATAGTTTCTTCGTATCATAGCAGGCAGGAAGTGTTTAACAAGAAATATAGGTGCTATGATATTTACGTCAAAGACATTGCGGATCTTGGACTCGGGACAAGATAGAATGGTCATGGCGTTGCCAATTCCGGCGTTGTTAATGAGAACGGTTGGGTCGCCATGTTCAGAGACAATCTGTTTGGCGGCTTTGGAAATTTCCTCGGGGTCGGAAAGGTCTGCTGAACAGAAAGACACGTTGGAGGCTAGAATCTGTCAGCAAGTTGTTGATACGTTGTAATGCTGGCCTACGAAGGTGAAAGCTTGGAGCATTCAGATCAACGATTATGACCTTGATGTGCTTTTTTGCAAGCTTGAGGACAATTTCTTTGCCAATACCGCTGCTACCGCCAGTGGCAACGACGATTTCCTTTGCCCAGTCCCAACTATTGTCAGTAAGGAAATTGTTGACTTTTCTCTTGGTAAGCCATGCGTTGAATCGTGGGAGAAGGCCTATCAAGAGCACTGCTGCAGCTCCAGCCAAGATATTCTTGTTCTTGGTCAATTCTGCTACATGGCCCAGTGTGTCCTTGTCTAGCTTGGGGAACGACATGGTGAGCGGTAATGTGGTTGCGACAGTTCCGAGACAGTTGTTCACAGGTTGATGTAAATCAGAGGAACTAAAACAATGGACAATTTTATTCGCATACGACGTTATCAATTACTGGTGCGTATTGCTCTTCGTGACGCCGAGGGATGCACGGCTCAGGGGATATAATTTGCCATGGCGTTGAAATGCCGAGGGATCGATTTCCCGAGGGTTGTCGCCATTCACAATACTCTATGCCTCGGGCTCATAATCATGCCTCCAAGGTTCCAACTTGGACGTGATGGTAAATTGTGTTAAATATACCTATTTGTAGGTTATTTCGCATTCAAGTCAACTCTGGAATCGACTCTGTTCTGCTCAGTAGACCAATCACTTATAATTATTCTCATATTTATCCTTTCACACGAAAATGGCTTCTCACAAAGACGTCGATATTCCCACATATGATGGCCTAAAGCTCAAGGGAACCTTGTTCTCTGTCGGCGAGAAAAAGCCATGTATCATCATGTCTGGTGGTGTAAGTCAGAGCATCTTCGTGATCTTGACAGTATACTAACTCACCCTTCCACTAAGTGGTCATCACTGCGATCCCACTTTCTGCCCGACTTTGCAGCACGATTTAACAAGGCCGGCTATGGTGTTCTGACCTACGATAACAGGTGCTGGGGAGATAGCGAAGGTCTTCCTCGGGAACAGGTCGATCCGACGTTGCAGACACGCGATTACCTCGACGTCTTCAACTTTGCGGTCACTCAGCCCGAAGTAGACCCTACTAGAGTCGTTTACTGGGGATCCAGTATGTCCGGTGGAAATGCCATATGTGCAGCAGCTGTGAACCACAATATCGCTGGGGTAATCTTGCAAGTTCCTTTCATCTCAGGCGAATGGATCTCTCGTATGCCGGGGGCGCCGATAAGCTTGCTCCTCGGCGAACGAGCCAAGGCCGCAGCGGAAGGGTCTCCCTCCAAGATCCCCAACTTTCCTAGCTCTCTTGATGAGCTTAACAGCGGCACTTCGCAAGCTGTTCTCAAAGATCCAGAGTCGATCCCATTTGTTGGCGAAATGGAACGGCGAGGACTTGATTGGTCCAAGACATGTACTGTGCAGAGTCTAACATACGCTCTGCTCCAGGAGCCACTAGCTTACATCCATCGCATCTCGCCGACACCTCTGTTGATGGTCGTTGCTGATCATGATGTTACGACGCAGGCTCATCTGCAGCTTGAGGCCTATAGCAAGGCACTAGAACCAAAGAAGCTTGTTGTTCTCAAGGGGGCGGGTCACTTTTCGCCTTACTTTGGTACGCCTTTTGAGGAAAACGTGCAAGCCCAGATTTCATATCTTGATGAACTTTTTGCGTGATATAGCACACAGGCAAGGGTTACTAGAAGAAGTAGCAAACATAGTTTAGGAAAACTGAATCAAGCATTGGGTTGTTGTTATGAAACACGATTGAAGGTTTCCTTGATGTGAAATGAAGTTGATGATATGATAGTTTGCGAGTGCGTCCTCAGCTCTCGCTCCCATATCTTGCCTTTTCTTCTGCACCCGTAGTCTTTTATGAGAAGAACTGGTGAATATGAATGCACTGGCTTGTGGCAAAGCCCGTGGCCTGTCAATGCATCATCACTCACTTACCTAAGTTGCCCCTTCATGATTGCAAAACCGCCTTGTATTAGATGTCATGGCTCAAGCTGTATTCGTTCTCTGAAGTGGCTAAATATAAAGGCGTTCAAAACAATAAATGAGTACCAAGTACTGCAAATCAAGCATATATGATCTATTTTAGAACTTGGACGTAACCCCCGCCGGCTTTTCCTTCTCTCTTGTTTGCAAGACACGTCTAAGGATCTTACCACTGGGGCTCTTGGGAATGGCCTCGATGAACTCCACGCCACCCTGAAGCCACTTGTATTTTGCCTTGTGGCTTTCAACATATCTACAAATCGCAGTCTTTACCTCTTCGTCCGAATTATCACCGGTACTGACATCCTTCACCACAGAGGCTTTGGGCACTTCTCCAGCGAAATCGTCTGGGATGGGGATGACTGCGCAATCTGCAACAAAGGGATGAGAAAGAAGATGCGCCTCAAGCTCCGCGGGAGCCACTTGATTGCCCTATTGTCACCGTTAGTTGTGTCTACGTTGAATGCGAGTTGGATGGGCTATGTGCACCTTGACTTTAATGAGCTCTTTAATTCGGTCGACGATGACCATGTGCTCTGTACCAAGAGGCGAGCGACGTACAACAACAACATCACCTGTTCGAAGCCATCTGCCGTCCTCATCCCACACAAAGGTCTCCGCTGTGGCTTTTACATTGTTCATGTAGCCGAGACATATGTTTGGAGATTGGACAAAGAGTTCGCCTGGCTTCTCAAGCTCAGTCACTTCTCTGCCATCATCATCAATGACCTTGCATCGAGCTCCCAAGATGATGGACCCTGACGTGCCGTTAAGAATATCGTGCTCGCTTGTGACGCAAACAGCAGGGCTACTCTCTGTCAAGCCTGGCAGAGAAAACGACGTCAGTTATATCCTAGAAAACGCCTTGCTTTAGATCGTCTCACCATATCACTGTCCAACTTTCCATTTTGGCCATGTCTGCTGCATACTCTCGATCGTCTTGGCCCCGAGGGGTGCAGCGCCTGAACTAACCCATTCTATACTACTCAGGTCGTATGAATCGCATTTTCTTTTGTTCTGAAGTAGCTGGATGGCAATCGGCGGAACCTAGATAATTTCCAGGTCAGTTAGATACAAAGTTGGTGTATAAAAGAGCAACTTACAAGCGGCAAATGGCGGACTTTGTACTTTTGTATGGTAGCGAGCATGTGGTCTAAATCGTATCTTGGGAGCACCACGACCTCATCTCCATGCCAGGGCATTGAGTGAGAAATGATGACTAGACCGTAGATGTGGCTGAATGGCAGTAGACCCAGTCCGACCTGTGTCTCAACCCCAGCTAATTTGCGCCCATAGGCCTCATATGCGACTTGCAAGGCAACGTTACTAATGATGTTGTGATGAGATAACATGACGCCTTTCTAAACCATATTAATATCCGTCAGAAGGGTGGGTTTGTACACAGATCCTGGGAAAGAAAACTAACCGGAAGGCCAGAGGTTCCGCTTGAGAAACAAATATAGGCAACCTGTCGTTTCCCTTGCTCTTTTACCCACCTCAAGGGTGGAAGGGGAGGAAGCCGTGTTCCTTCCTCTATCAATGTAGATAGAGCCACAAACCTACTGTTGTTTGTTTGGCCAGGCATATCGAGGATGAAAACATGGTCTTGAGAGATCTTTGCCGCTGCCGCTGCCTCCAAAGCCACAGGCAGGAGAGGGACACAGGTGAACAAGACTTTTGCGCTTGTCGAACGAAGTTGGTGCGTAAGTTCAGAGACACTATATGCTGCATTTGCAGGTGAAGCAATAGCGTTAAGACGATGCAATGCGTGAGTCAATGGAACGTAATCGATCTAATGAAAGCAACTTTCGGTCAGCAATTCCCTCCAACATATCTTCACATCGTGTGCTCTATCTTACCGTATTCCAGGAAAAAACACAAGCCACCTTGTCCCATTCCGTGCCGTTGGCGACACTCCAATCCAGTCGTTTTGCTATGGCTCTGGCCATAGAGTCGACCCTTTCTCAGGACCTCAGCAACGGTATACGTCTGGCCTGTCAAACCACAGGTATACGGGTTACGGGACAGCTTCAATGATTTGCGGCCTTGTTTCTCCGAATACATGAATTCTTCGACTGTGATGCTGTCCGGGAGCGGCACTGAAGGGAGCGCTCGCGCCCAGGCTGGCGATTCGAAGACCATGATGGCGTTTCACTAAATCAAAGGAATAATTGGAAAAAGTTCACTATTGAGATTTGGGGTTCCTTTGAAAATACGATTCTCTTTTGCGTCCACCTTCGTTGCCTTGGAGTTACTCAAACCGCGACCCTCGGAACAATTGCCTCGGCATTAAGTCGACGCACTGTATTAATTTATTTTTTCCGACAGTCACGTTCCTTTTACCTTGGGAAGTTTCCGATTCTGTGTTGATCCTATGATCATTATTCTGTAGCCCCTCGGCAGTGCCGAGTTAATAGAACACAATCGGGGGCCCGTAGTAGTAGTGTATTTATGCTTAATACCCCACACACTCTACAGTAGCATGGCATTCAAACGACATTGCCAATACGAGAGCGAAACCTTGACAGAGAAATACAAAAGACACCATGCATTTTGAAAATATGATTAACGACTCTTCCAAGGAAAACGGCGGCCATCTTGGCCAGAATGGCCATACTGCCACACAGAACGGTTCAGGGGAAAACCGGCCCAAGTTTACCCTGAAGGACACTCCTGTCGAGAATCAACGTCCGATGAGAGTTGTGATCGTCGGAGCTGGTTTCTCTGGCATCTACTCAACCATCCGGTAAGTCATCAGTCTATTCAAATTTGGGTGTCTAAGAGTAAACGTTCAATACTGACGACTCGAATAGAATGACTCAGAGACTGAGGAATATTGATCTTATCGTCTATGAGATGAACGAAGAAACATCAGGAGTCTGGTAAATCGTCTGGCCTTTTCTTGGTGACCTTGTTCTAACCTGATCAATAGGTGGTTGAATCGCTATCCCGGCTTGGCCTGTGATATCCCATGTAAGTCTCTATCTTGGCTTATGATTTCTCATGACTGATGGAATCGACAGCATATTGTTACCAGTTCAGCTTCGCGCCAAACCCCTATTGGTCCTCACTTTATGCTCCAGGCGCAGAAATCCGTGCATATATGCAAGATGTTGCCGAGAGATATGGTGCCAATAGGTTCATTAAGACGTCTCATCAAGTCATTTCGGCTACTTGGGATGCGGGGGATAAGGTCTGGTAAGTGATACGAAAGGGATGTCACTGGCCTCAGGATCACTGACAATAGATTTAGGAGACTTACTGTAAAGAACATCAAGACCGGAGAGACATTTGAAGATACCGCCAACATCCTCGTCTCTGCAAAAGGTGGTCTCAATCAGATAGCCTGGCCGCAGATCAAGGGACTGAAGCAATTCGCGGGTAAGCTCATGCACTCTGGTGCTTGGGATGAGAGGTCAGTACATGATCAACTTTCTTCAGGTGAAAAGAACTTAACAGTTTGACAGTTGTGACTTGAAGAACAAACGAGTGGGGATCATTGGCAATGGATCGAGCGCCATTCAAATCTTGCCGGCAATCCAACCACTGGAGGGCATTTCTGTAACTTGTTTCGCTCGATCGCCGACCTGGATTATTCCTGCATTTGGCGACACAGCTATGCAGAAACTAGGAATGGATCCTTCACAGACCAAGTGTAAGTTTCTGAACAAGTCCTGTATTTGGGGATGTTGGGCTAACAAGGACAAGTCTCGCGCCGCCACCAAGAACAGTTAGCGAGACAGCCAGAGAAGTACTATCGGTGGCGAAAGACACTCGAAGATGAGGCTGCAACGATCTATCCTTTGACCTTGATGGGCACTGACGTCCAGAATGGGGCTAGAGAGCTCTTCCGTAAACAAATGGAGGAGAAACTACATGGCAGAAAAGACCTACAACAGATTATCCCTTCGTTTGCCCCTGGGTGTCGTCGTTTGACCCCAGGCCCTGGATATCTCAAGGCGCTCCAACAGGATAACGTCACCTTTATCAGCCAGAAGATTGAAGAGATTACGGAACGAGGAATCAAAGTCGCCTCGGGGGAAGAGGTCGACTTGGATGTATTGGTGTGTGCAACTGGATACGACGTCGAAGCACCTCCGAGTTTTGAAGTAACGGGCCGGAATGGGACAACACTCACCGAAAAGTGGAAGCCACACTTTGAGACCTACATTGCACTCGCAGTCGACGAATTCCCCAACTTCTTCCTCATCGGCGGTCCCAATTGCGGTCTAGGCTCAGGCAGTTTACTTAGCGTCTTCGAAGCACAGGGCGATTACATCGTCAAGGCGATCCGCAAGCTTCAAAAGGAAGACTACGCTACCATCGAAGCCAAGTCCGAGCGTGTGGCTGACTTTAGTCAATACATAGATGAGTACTTCAAAGGTACTGTGTACACGGACGAGTGCTCATCCTGGTATCGTGCTGGAAGGCTTGGGTCACGCATTGTAGCGCTGTGGCCTGGGTCTTCTGCGCAGTGTCTTGAGGTGTTGAGGTCGCCGCGATGGGAGGATTATAAGTTTGAGAGTGCGGATCCTACGGGGAACTTGCTACGGTGGATGGGTAATGGTTGGAGTCAGGTGTTGACTGAGGGCGATCCGTCGTGGTTCTTGGATCCTGATGTTGTGGATGCTCCAGACGAGGGGAAGCCTGAGGACAGTGAGTTCTATAGAAGACGTCCCTTCTCATACTAGGATATGTACCAGTGCAATTGTATGAGTTGTTACATGGGCAAGGCTACCCAACCTGTTCGTGACGTGACTGGAAGACATTCGATCTGATGCGAAACAACGAGAAGGGATGTTCTACACTGTTGCTGCGGCTGTCACTCCCGGTAAGCTAGACAAGAAGTCCCAAGTAGGCATTTGCATATTTCTTGCAATGAACTGGTCAGCTCATGTATTAATGTTCTTGTACTTGACCAAGTTTCCCCAAGTCTTTCTTTACTTAGGTTGAAACATATCTACTCTTCGGGGTCCAGATGCCATGTATCTCCCACACGAAAGCCCTCAGGAAAAGGGTCTGTGGAATCCAGCACAACTTGCTTGAAGCTTGTTATCCATGCTTGTCCCTCAACAGAAGGATAAATCGCAGAAAACTCGCCAACCTTGGTTGTTCCCTCGACCCTACCAACGAATTCTGTCCCAGTGATACCGCGGTGATAAAAGTTCTCGCCCACCTTAAGCTCTCCCTTTGCATGAAGAACTGCTAGCCTGGCACATGTGCCCGTCCCACAAGGGCTTCGGTCCAAGCGCCCGGGAGACACAACGACTGTGTTGTTTGCTGCCTTCCCATCCTTATACTCGTATAGAGGCTCTGTGAACTCGATGATTGTGACTCCATGAATGCCGGGGTTTTCGGGATGTACTGGGTCTGTTTGTTCCATGACAGCTCTCTTGATGCGTTCTCCGACCTTGACCAGTTTGGCTCCCTCTGTAGTCTTGATCTTAAGACCAACCGATGCGGCATCTACCAACACGTAGATCATCCCTCCATATGCAATGTCGACTTTCACAGTGCCAAGATCCGGTACAGAAATCTCTTTGTCTGTGGCAAACACAAAAGCAGGCACGTTATGAAACCTGACACTCTTGCATTTCCCATTCTCACACTTCGCATAAGCAGTAACAAGTCCAGCTGGCGCATCAAGCTTGACAACCGTCTCAGGCTCCTGCATTGTCACCATGCCCGTTTCCAAGAGACACGTCACCGTCGCAACGGTATTTGCTCCTGACATGGGCGGGTACTCTTCATGCTCCATGATAATGAAGCCATAGTCGGCTTCCGGGTTTGTTGGGGGCAAGACGAGGTTGTGACACATGGCGGAACAGCCCCGTGGTTCGTTCAGAAGTAGGTTTCGAAGATGATCTTCTTTCTTCCAAAAGCACATCATCTTTTCGTACATTGTCTTGCCGGGGACATCGCGAACGCCGCCGACTACGACGTCGCAGACTTCACCTCCGCAGTGGACGCCTACGGTGTTGAAGCTGCGCTTGAAGGGCATGATGAAGAGAAAGAGTGCAACTTTTGTGATGAGGGTGTGAGTTGGTCAAATTGCTGATGGCTACATATGAGGTACTATCTGAGATTGAAGATCTTATACAGGAGATCGCATCGGAATCAACAACCGTAGGACATTGCTGTTTCTATCTGAGGTTTCTTCATAATTGGCTGCCAGAGTAAGTCTGGAACAACGTTCCAGAAAGCTTAGCTTCTCCGCATGTTCGAAGGTTAGCTTAGCCGCTGTCTTCGTGGGGTTTATTCAAGGGTCCTATTTGCGGTAAAATTGAGGCATGTCGGTCGGCGATCCGTAGTCGGTTGCAACACCATCCCGGTTCGGCTCGGATTATTTTGGCCCGAGTGACAGAACACGAGAAAGATGTTATACTTTACATGTAAGTCCGCGGGGATATTGAATGCCATCACTTGATTTTCATGTTTGTCATTGAAGGTCAAATAAACCTATAAGTTAAGGATACAAAGAAGCTTAGATCATAGAAGCTCAGTCACCGTTCATCGTTCATCGTCAAACTCTGATGAGCACTCAATGCCAAAACCCCAGATCATCACCTAGTCATGCCAAAAATCAAGGATCTTAACTCCCAAAACTGGCCATTTTATTGAAGATCTCCAGCTTCACTCCTCATTCCCCGCTTCTTGATGCCTCGGCTGTGGATATAAGGTGACATTCGGCCTTCATATCGGATGCTTCACGCTTGAATACAAAATGGCTCGCGATACCAGCTTTGTTATCCCACGAGTTCGATCACCGTCTTTCGTACCTACTTACAGTGACGCATGATGATTCCACCAAGTGTTTCTCATCTCCTAGCTGTTGGCACAGGAATTAGTACCCTATTTGCCAATCATGTCTCTGCTCTCGACACGACAACTGTAAAGACGGACAATGGTGTTGTTAAAGGCTTTGCAGACGAGTCTTTTCCCAATGTGGTTCAATTCCTCGGTATACCTTATGCTGAGCCTCCGGTTGGGAAACGAAGATGGACTCCTGCCGTAGCCAAAGGACGATTCGAGACATTAGATGCATCACATCAGGGCCCAGCTTGTCCTCAAGCTGAACCATCCAACACTGGTCCATGGCGCCCTGAGTTTCTGATCAAGCCTAACAGTACAAGCGAGGACTGTTTGTACCTCAATGTTTGGACTCCATACAACACTCGGGGAGGCCACAAGGACAAGTTTCCGGTGTTGGTTTGGATCCACGGTGGTGGTTTTGGTGCTGTATGATCCCCCCATTGATGGACCATTCGTGAAATGGAATTTGCTTACATGCTTCGTGTAGGGCGGCGGTAACATTGACTATCAAGTACCTCCCCATTGGATCGCAAGAAGTCAGAAGCACATAGTCGTCAGTCTCAAGTATGTAAAGACAGGCCCCTTCTCACATTTATCACTAACCGTGAAATAGCTACCGTCTTGGAATCTTCGGGTTCCCTAATGCCGCGGGTCTTGACTCTAAGGAACAAAACCTAGGACTTCTAGATCAACGTCTCGCTGTTGAGTGGGTGCGCGACAATATCTCACGTTTCGGTGGAAATCCCAAGAAGATCACTCTCTGGGGTCAGAGTGCTGGTGGTGCCTCAGTAGGGTACTATCAGTATTCGTATCCTAAGAACCCAATCGCGCATGCATACATCCAAGATTCTGGGGGTGTCTTTTTACCAATCAACAATGCTGATTCCTCACACTCCAACTTTACTTCTATCGCAAAAGCATTCAAGTGTGACAAAGGCAATCAGGTCGATTGCCTCCGGAAAATACCATTTAAGGACATACAGAAGAAGGTTGAGAATACAGCGGGAGTAAGCTTTGTCCCTGTAGTGGATGAGAGAACTAGGTTCTCCGACTATTCGAAGCGACTTCTATCGTCCAAGATCCCTAAGCTGGTAAGCTCTCCATCACATCATCTGACCACAAGTGAAAGGGGACTATACTGACCTACCCCTTAGCCATCCATCATCGGTACAAATAGAGATGAATGGAATTTTGGTGGAGAGCCAGCAGAGCCTCCAGTCAAATCACCACCCGAACAAGTCCACACAGACAGCACATTCGGCTGTCCCGCGCACTTCGAAACAGCTCTACGATCCTCAACCAACGCCAAGACCTGGCGATACATGTACTCTTCAAACTTTACCAATATCATGCCCGGAGATGAGGGCGCTTTCCACTCTGCTGAGCTTCCTTTGATCTTTGGAACTCACGACATCGCGCGGAATAAGTCTGGGCCGTTTGAGTACAAGATCAGCCATGCCATGCAGGATTACTGGTTGGCATTTATTCAAGATCCATATGCTGGGTTAACAAAGAAGGGGTGGAAACCAACGGCTGGAGGGTATGATACGTTGCAAACTGGTGTGGAGTTTGGGTACGACAATGAGATTGTCACGAGGAAGTATTCGTTCAATTCTTTCCAGGATGGATGTAAGAATGCTACTGCAGTTGAGCAATAGGTAGTCCCATAGTTGGCTATCAGCAAATCTGCTTACAAGCCAATTGAATACGATTTTACACGATATTTGCCAAGTCTACGCCAATTCTTATCATCTCAAGACCTATCCTTAAGAGCCATCGGGAGCCGATCCGTAGTCGGATGGACCGGCCGGCCGTGGGGTCGAGAACCGGCTCCCTCAACCGGCTCCGACGCTGGCCGTTCTGCCCCTCCAGCGCCGACTTCGCTACCAAGATAAGCATCCGGCCTATATACCCATATCAATATTCAGTAAATATTCATAGCTCTGCTCTTCATCCGATCTTCGTTTATTTTCCACTACACAGCACTTAAGTTTTGCGTGCTTATTCAAGTTCGCAGCCATAAGTCTCAATTGCGAATAAGACATCTAGCTCACAACATAGACGTTACCACACACAGCACAATGACCAGCAACCTCATCGTCCTTGGCGACGCCGAAATCCGAGACCTTCTCATATCTCTACCCAAAGAAGAAGTCCTTCAGTTCAAGGAGGCTCTAGAAAACATCCTCATTGACTTTTCTGTCAGAGGTGAAGGGAAATACCAGCCAACACCAGACTTCGTCAATCGACCAAATGGGCAAAAGACTCTCTTCCGCACATTCACTTCTCCAGACTATGTAGGCACAAAGATCGTGGTTACTCCAGCTCCCATTAAGGATGCAGATGGCAACACAGTGAATCGTCCACTTGGGGGACTCTTGTCTTTGTGTGATTCGGCAGGTGTTCCGACGGGTATACTCAATGCAGCTGAGCCCACAGGGTACAGAACGACACTGTCTGCTCTGATCCCGTGGACTTGGAGACAAAATACGGAAAACATTGTGATATTTGGAGCAGGAAAGCAGGGGATTTGGCATACTCGTCTTGCATTGGCTCTGAGAGGTTCCGAGATCAAAAGGATCACTATTGTGAACCGATCTGTAGGCCGTGCGAAGGATTTAGTCAAGACAGTGACGGAGGAAAACAAAAAGTACTGGAAGTCTTCTGCGAGTCTGGATGTTCTGGATCCTGCTCAAACTGATTATGACGAAGCTTTGGCATCTCTCTTGTCGTCAGCCGACGCAGTATTCTGCACCGTCGGCTCAACAAGTCCTCTCTTCCCGCTCAAGACCATCCTAGGTGATGGTACACGAAGCAGATTACCTTTCGTCGGCGCCATAGGTTCATGGCAGGCCGATATGATCGAACTTGATCCAGAAATGCTTCGCCATGCTGCCTCTCGCGACGACTCATATAGCCCTCGTGGTGCAGAGGGCAGTATTCTTGTCGACGATCTTGAAGAGGCGATGGTCAAGTCAGGTGAAGTGATACAGAGCGGTCTCAAGAGCGAGAGGCTACTTCAGGTTGGAGAGATCTTGGATTGGCTAGATGACAAGTCTGAAAGCAAGCCTGAAGGAGGGGTTGACAAGCTCAAGACGTGGATTAGTGAGGGTTTCATCGTGTACAAAGGCATTGGCGTGAGTGTCACAGATCTTGCCGCTGGAAACGCAATCCTGGATCTTGCTAGGAAGAGAAATGTTGGAACGACTATCTCTAACTTTTAGCTCCATAGAGAGAGTAGACAAGAAGCTAGAGTCTCTAATATGCCAACGCAATTTGGTAAGAGATATGTTGATTTCAAAAGGTACATTCGAAGCAAATTCGGTGGTATTCAATTCCCTATTGGACAGAAATCAGTTATCTGCCAGGATCAATGATATAGAAGTTCATGTCAGTCTGAAGCAACCCTCCTTGATGCAGCCTATTTTCACGGCCAAGTATGTACTTGATCCGTGAGAATCCTTGAGAGACTCGGTGAGCTTTGATAAACTACACTATTCTTCCTTTCTATAGCTCCAATCTTGTTATAAAGAGAGAAAAACTTCATTTTTAGGCTATCTCTGCTTACAATCACAGATGCAACGAGTTGCTGTAAGTCGATGATGGGGCTGTAGATCGATCGCCCTGGGGTGCATGTATGACGTCGTTTACCGAGCTTTTCCCGCTAAACCCGCGTCGCTAAACGCTAGCCCGAAAATAATTCATCGTGCCTGGAGAGCTCGTGCTCAATAGCTTCGTGAATCTTCAAAGAACTTCAAATCTTGGACCTTGTAACATATTCACGTCTACCACATATCGGCGCTTAGGCGGCACCACGACATACTTCGCCGTCTCCCCATACCTATATATCAACACCTCTTTCATCAACGACGCGCATCGAGACATCCTCCCCAATTGAACACCAATCGATCATGCGATAGCACCCTTAAATACTGACTGACAGAGCGCTCCCCCCGTCGCCCAACATGTCAGTCAGCCCAGCGCCCTCCCTCCAGCTCGCGGAGTATCTCGAGAAACTCCCCGGCACGACCTTCCGCAAGCTCTACCAACAACCCTCAACCGCGTTCGCCATCTTCCGTCGCATGCTCCCGCACCTCGGTTCGTCACCACAACCACTACACCCGCCCAATCTCTAACACCCCCCTAGCAAAGACCTTTGTCATGCGCATCCTCTACTCTCCTAAGCCCATACTCCTCAGCGATCTAGACGACTGGGTGAAACCGAGCCATAAGCGCCAGAAGGACCAGGCGCTGTCGATCCTGCGCGTTCTGCACATTGTTTCGATCACGGCGCCTTCAAAGGAACGGCCGCAGGAGATGCAACTTACTACGAACTTTAAACTATCCCTTCGACTCGCGCTATCCGGCGGTGGCACACATAACTCCTTCGGCGTACCGTCAACACTCCAAATCCCCCCCGAAATCGACATCACCTTCCTCGACCGCTACGCCCGAAAGAAATGGGAAGACATCCTGCACTTTGTCGTATCTAGTGTTGGCTACAAGAGCGCCGGGGAATCTTCTGGACCGAATAAGAGCGTGAAAGAACTCCTCGTCGCGGGCCGTCTCGTCGATCGTAAAGCAAGCGGCAGCGTTGGGATCACACAAGCGGGTTTTACCTTTTTACTACAAGAGGCCAATGCGCAGGTATGGACGCTGCTGTTGCTCTGGCTGGAGGCTATGGAGGTGAATAAGATGGCTGGGCTGGAGGCTACAGATATGCTCTCGTTCCTCTTCGTGCTCGCTAGCATGGAACTCGGTCGCGCGTACGACACGAATGCGCTGACAGAACAGCGTAAGAACATGTTGCCCTCGCTTGTCGACTTTGGCTTGATTTACATCCCTAATCACAAACGATCCATGTTCTTTCCGACGCGTCTAGCTACAACCCTCACCTCGAGCAGCAATAGTCTTCGCAGCATCAGTGATGGCGTTGCAGCCGCTACAGCAGCTGCTCTTCAGCCAGGCCAATCCGGCGCACCAGGGGGCAGTGTGACAGCCGCCAATACAGAGCAGCGCGGCAGTGTGATCATCGAGACCAACTACCGTATCTACGCCTACACTCAATCAACACTTCAAATCGCCGTACTCGCTCTCTTCACCAAACTCGCGATGCGCTTCCCCGACATGGTCGCCGGTCGAATCTCCCGCCAATCCATCCGACAAGCCATTCAATTTGGCATCACCGCCGAGCAGATCATATCCTACCTCTCCGCGCACGCACACGATCAAATGCACCGCACCGCAGCTCTCAACAACAAACCTGTTCTCCCTCCAACAGTAGTCGATCAAATTCGTCTATGGCAGCTTGAAAACGAGCGTATGAAGACCACGAGCGGGTTCCTGTTCAAGTCATTCGAAGATGATAGGGAATACAAGGATATCTCAAGATTTGCCGAGGAGGTGGGTGTTTTGGTGTGGAAGAATGATGCTCGGCAGATGTTCTTTGCGAGCAAGCACGAGCAGATTAGAGACTATATGAAGATTCGCAAGAAGACGGAATGAGAATACTTCCGTAAGGTAAGACGGGAAAAGGGGGGTAAGAGACCTACAGCATTGGAGTTTTTGGCGTCGATGGGATATCTAGATGGACTCACTAAAACGATATTTCAACTCGAAGGGGGGGCCAAATTATGGTTGGCGTTGTGTGTGACTGCATTTCAGGCTAGAATCAGTGCAATTCGGTATCAAGGATGTTCAAACATGTTGTTAGCGACCGAAGATTTCTACAGAAGATTGTGCTAAATCTTATGAACTTTGACTGAAATTATCCAGATACCTAGTCTAAACTAAGGATTTGTTGCACTAAAGTCGTCTAAATATGTTGTTAACTTGTCAAATAAATCCTTCAGATCAGAGTGACTATCGTGTTTCATTTTACCCTTTCGGCGGCATATGATCATAAGCATTCCCATTCGTATCATGGTGATGAAGAATTAGGCATCAAAAAGAAATTAATTATTATATAGCTACAGCATTACCTGCATTCCTTCATGCCTCTTCAATCATAATACAGACTCGCCAATAAAAACAAACAGCTTGGGCTTTGACAGCTTGCGTCTCCATCAGGAAATAAAACCCTAACATAGAGGTGTACCACAATGCCAACTGTTGGCTGTAAACATGTCCCTTTCAACTATTATACACCTTAAAATGATCCAAGCAATGATAAGTGAGCTCAGAACAAAGAGAGCAATCATGTGTGTCCGTGCTTGTCTTCTTCCTCCGACAAAGAGCATTTAGTTGATGGAAACCCGCTTCCCACGTCCTCTAGCCGCAGGAACCGGCTTCGTCTTTCTGGCGACTGGTACGCGCGATTCGCTCATAGTGGGGAGGCTTCGTCTGCCTCCTTTGCTGGGGTTTGTGCCAAAAAGCTTGCCCATCAGACTCTTGTCCTCCATGCGACCTCCCTGAGGAAGGAGATGTGGCTTTCCCACGCGGCGGGCATATGACTGCTGCCAGGCTACCAATGACCGGCGTGCTTCGCTTGTAGTACAAAGGCTTTCGAGGTGTTGGAAAATTCGCAGGCATCTAGCATCCTTATTGCATGGTGGGGTGCGAGGCTTTGTTCCAGTTAGACTTGTAAGTGCCGATGTGGTGGTGGAGTGGGAGAGGTGAGTCGGACGGGAGTTGACAGCCACACGATCAGTGGTCATTG